TGTTCTGTACAATGGCATGAGCACTTCCCCTTTCTACTGCTAATACCTCTCCCTATACAACCAAGCATTCTGCTAGCATTTCCTGTCTGCCTACCTTTAAGTCATCAGAAATAATCACCCCTAAATCCCTTTCCTCATATGTTGAGGTTAGGACTCTATCAATTATTCTGTACTCTGCCCTTGGGTTTTTATATCCAAGATGCATTATCTTGCACTTATCGACATTAAATGTCAGTTGCCACAATTCTGACCATTTTTCTAGTTTACCTAAATCTTTTGCCATTTGGCTTATCCCTCCTGGAACATCAACCATGTTACATATCTTAGTATCATCAGCAAAAAGACATACCTTACCATCAAGACCTTCTGCAATATCACTAATAAAAATATTAAAGAGAATGGGTCCAAGTACAGATCCCTGAGGTACCCCACTGGTGACAAGTCCAAGCTTCGAATATATTCCATTAACTACAACCCTCTGTTGCCTGTCACCAGGGCCGGCGCGTCCATAAGGCGGCACAGGCGGCCGCCTTAGGGCGCACCGGCCCGGGGGCGCAAATGTCCGGGTGGCCGGCAGGAGAGAAGCGCACAGCGCCCCTCTCCTGCCGGTCACTACTTGTAGCGTGGCCGAGCGCCAGCCTGCATTGCCGCGGACTGTGTGGAGGGGGCGGGGATATGAACGTCATATCCCTGCTCCCTCTGTAGCACACAGCGCGGCTGGCGCCCAGCAGGGGCGGAGCTACGGGCCCCCTTCTAATCAGCATGGGAGGAAGTCCTCCCAACAAGACTAGGGCAGCAGAAGGCAGAGAGGAGGGGGCTGGGCAGGACCAGCTCCTCCAACTCCCAACTACCTCAGGCAGCACTTTGGATCCCAGGTAAGCCCCCCTTCTGAACCTGTTGGTCAGTGTATCTGTGTGTATATATGTCTGTCAGTGTGTGTGTATATGTCTGTCAGTGTGTGTGTATATGTCTGTCAGTGTGTCTGTGTGTGTATATGTCTGTCAGTGTGTGTGTGTGTATGTCTGTCAGTGTGTCTGTGTGTGTGTATGTCTGTCAGTGTGTCTGTGTGTGTGTATGTCTGTCAGTGTGTCTGTGTGTGTATATGTCTGTCAGTGTGTCTGTGTGCATCTATGTGTGTCTGTGTGTGTATGTGTCTGTGTGTGTATATGTCTGTCAGTGTGTGTGTATATGTCTGTCAGTGTGTGTGTGTGTATGTCTGTCAGTGTGTCTGTGTATCTATGTCTGTCAGTGTGTGTGTGTATGTCTGTCAGTGTGTCTGTGTGTGTATATGTCTGTCAGTGTGTGTGTATCTGTCTGTCAGTGTGTGTGTGTGTATATATGTCTGTCAGTGTGTGTGTATGTCTGTCAGTGTGTGTGTGTGTATATGTCAGTGTGTGTGTGTGTATATATGTCTGTCTGTCAGTGTGTGTGTATATGTCTGTCAGTGAGTGTGTGTGTATCTATGTCTGTCAGTGTGTGTGTGTGTCTGTCAGTGTGTGTGTGTGTATCTATGTCTGTCAGTGTGTGTGTGTATCCATGTCTGTCAGTGTGTGTGTGTATGTATATGTCTCTGTCCGTGTGTCTGTGTGTATCTAAATGTCTGTTAGTGTGTGTGTCTGTCTGTTAGTATGTCTTCTTCCCTATCATTGTGTATGTGTGTCTGTCACTGTGTGTTTATCTGTATGTCTGTCAGTGTTTGTGTGTACCTGTGTGTCTATCTGAATGTGTATCAGTTTGTGTATATGTATATCTGCATGTGTCAGTGTGTGTATCTTTGTATATGTGTATCACAGTGTGTGCGTGTGTGGCAGTGTATGTGTATATGTGCATATATCTCAGCATTCAAACACAACACTACACACAAATAAACACCTGCATGCAAACGTCAACACTACATACAAACACACCCCTGCATTCAAATGTCAACACTACATACAAACACACCTCTGTATCAGACACCAAAATTATATATAAACACACACCTGCGTTCAAAAACCAACACTACACATAAATACATGCTTGCATTCAAATGCAAACACTACATACAAACACACCGCTACAATCATACAAACATACTCCAAACAAACACATGCTTACAGTCAAACACACAAATACTGCTCCATGCTAAATACAATCCTGCAAGCATGGGGAATCGGTAGAGCCCCAGCTTTCAAAGCATTGTTGAAGTTGCACGACAGATGGGGGTCTATCTTTTAGCCATCCTGTGTACATACACAGACCGTCATACAGAGACATACACCATGTATGTCTCTGTATGACTGTGTAAATGTATTCAAAAGGAATAAACGCAGGCAACACTCCAATAGTAAGGATGGTATATTTATTGATAGGTGAACCACCCCAAAGAAAGTGCGTCGTTTCGGCTCAGCAGAGCCTTATTGCATGAGCTGAAACATCACACTTTCTATGGGGTGGTTCATCTACCAATAAATATACCATCCTTACTATTGGAGTGTTGCCTGCGTTTATTCCTTTTGAAGACTTTACTGGTGGATCCAGCAATGTCTGCCTGACATGGAGCATCCACCTCTGTAGATGGCCGGAGCATTTACACAGTGTCAGTGTGCAGGGTTCTTTGTTTGTCTGTGTATGTATGTCTCTGTATGCCTATCTCTGTTTCTTTATGTCTGTGTATGTATTTCTGTGAGTGCCTGTGTCTGTATGAATGTATGTCTGTGTTTGTACGACAATGTACTTGTATGTGTAGATTGTATGACTGTGTTTGTTTGTGTGCCTTTTATGACTGTGTGTCTGTATATCTTTGTGACTGTGTGCCTGAAAAATTATGTCTGTGTGCTTGTATGGTTGTGTGTCTGTATGTTTGTGTATTTGTGCATGTATGTATTTTTGCCTGTATCTATGTCTATGTGGGAGAAAAAGAGAGATAGATAGGGATTGGAGGGAAGAAAGAGACAGAAAGGGGCTGGCGGGGAAGTAAGAAATACATAAGAGGGGTTGTAGGAGACGCACTAAAGGGGGGTGTAAGGCACAAAGGGGCCAAAGGGGTAAGACATTCAAGAGAGTGGATATGCAACACTAATGGGGGTAAGAAATTCAAAAGGGGGCTACGAGACACAGAGGTGAAGATGCATTGTTTATGTTTTTGAGGGGGGGGGGGGCGTCAAAATGCATCTTCGCCTGTGTAGTCAAAAATCCTAGCACCGGCCCTGCCTGTCACTCAGCCACTGCCTTACCCATTCAACAATATTGGAATCCAAACTTAAAGATTGCAGTTTATTGATAAGCCTTCTATGTGCAACAGTGTCAAAAGCCTTACTGAAATCTAGGTAAGCAATGTCTACTGCACCACCCTGATCTATAATTTTAGTTACCCAATCAAAAAAATCAATAAGATTAGTTTGGCATGATCTCCCTGAAGTAAACCCATGTTGTCTCTGATCTTGAAATCCATGTGTTTTTAGATGTTCATCAATCCTATCCTTTTAACATGGTTTCCATCACTTTCCCCACTACTGAAGTAAGGCTTACTGGCCTATAGTTGCCCGACTCCTCCCTATTACCTTTCTTGTAAATGGGCACAACATTCGCTAACTTCCAATCTTCTGGGACAACTCCTGTTAACAATGATTGGTTAAATAAATCTGTTAATGGTTTTGCTAGTACACCACTAAGCTCTTTTAATAGCTTTGGGTGTATTCCATCAGGTCCCATTGACTAATTTGTCTTTACTTTTGACAGTTGAAATAGAACCTCTTCCTCTGTAAACTCACATGTAATAAATGGCTCATTTGTCCTTTTTCCTAACTGAGGTCCCTTTCCTTCATTTTCATCTGTAAATACTGAACAAAAATATTAATTGAGGCAGTCAGCTAGACCTTTATCCTCGTCTACATACCTTCCTTCTTTTGTTTTTAATCTAACTAATCCTTGTTTTACTTTTCTTTTCTCATTTATGTATCTAAAAAATGTTTTGTCCACCTTTTTTACTGGCTGTGCTATTTTCTCTTCTGTGTGTGATTTGGAAGCTCTTATAACTTGCTTAGCCTCTTTCTGCCTAATCTTATAGATCATTTTGTCTTCCTCACTCTGTTTTTTTTATAATTGTTAAACGCTAACTTTTTGTTCTTAACTATTTTGGCCACATCTGCAGAGTACCACAGTGGTTTCTTGAATTTTTTGCTTTTACTGACAAGCCTAATGCAATTTTCTGTTGCCTTCAATAGTGCAACTTTTAAAGAATCCCATTTCTCTTGGACTCCATTTAAATTGCTCCAGTCTGATAATGACTCCTCTACACATATTCTAATTTTAGAAAAGTCTGTTTTCTAAAGTCTAAAACTTTTGTTTTTGTGTGGTGTGACTCAGTCACTGTTCTTATATTAAACCACACTGACTGATGATCACTGGATCCTAAACTTTCACCTACAGTAATATCTGATACCAAATCTCCATTTGTTAACACTAAATCTAGTATGGCCTCTTTACGAGTTGGCTCCTCAACAACTTGTTTTAGAGACAATCCCAGTAGGGAGTTTAGAATATGTGTGCTCCTGGCACAAGTACCATGGATAGCAGGTGATTGGCATAGGAAATATAATAACATGTTTACTAGATGACAGTTACTCGTACTAGGTGGCCAATGATAGGCTGGTGAATGTCAAAGCCCAGGTCAGCAATTCCTCAGCACAGTGGTCAAGCAGAAAAAAAGGAGGCAGTGAGGATCAGGAACCAACTTTGGTGTTAAACCGCTCAAAAATGGTTTAACAAGTTAACAAAGGCATGCACACAGGGTGTACCCAGGCTTAACCACTTCAGTTTGTTTAACTACTTCACACATGCATAGATGTTTAAGCAAATAAATTAATACATAGGTTATTATTTTATTGTTTACCAATTATGAGTAGTGATGTCCCGAACGCTTCGCCGAACGCTTCGCCACGGACAGCGAACATATGCGCTGTTCGGTCCGACCCCTATGTCATCATTGAGTAAACTTTGACCCTGTACCTCACAGTCAGCAGACACATTCCAGCCAATCAGCAGCAGACCCTCCCTCCCAGACCCTCCCACCTCCTGGACAGCATCCATTCTACATTCATTGTGAAGCTGCATTCTTAGTGAGCTGTCCAGGAGGTGGGAGGGTCTGGGAGGGAGGGTCTGCTGCTGATTGGCTGGAATGTGTCTGCTGACTGTGAGGTACAGGGTCAAAGTTTACTCAATGATGACATAGGGGGCGGACCGAACAGCGCATATGTTCGCGGTCCGTGGCGAACCGTTCGGGACAGCACTAATTATGAGTGATTAACCTCTATAGGAACAATATAGAATTAGTAATAGAAACATTATTTGTATTTTACTTACCTTTTGACGTTTTCTTACCTTTTAGCCCTTGCGACACCCTCCACCATGTCCTTTTGGCTGAGTTTAACAGTTCTGATGATCTTAGTTAAGCCAGTGTTTCCCAATAAATGCTAGAGCACATTTACAACAAAATGAGGTCTATGAGACCATGTGACTTAATTGCAGATTTTAACTTGACTATTAGGGGGAAGCTCAACTATTTGCTGTCTGGAAGAGAGCCACTAGGGGCATGTAAACCCTGCAATGATGCTAGTGCATCATTAGACGCATTTATGCCAAGCTCAGGGTGCTGTCTGCACAGTATTCCCTTGGTTGGTCATCCTGCATGATTGGCAGGCAGCCTGAAGTGCATTCATGCCGGGCTGACCATCTAATTCTTCGTGCAGACACGCCCCCTTTTTGGGCATGTTTGTCCCTTTGGGCAGTTTTGGGTACATGATTCACATCAGTGGCCCACCCTTTTACCCTGTCTAACAAAATCCTTCTTCTCCGGACACTGCCTCATATTTGACATTAGAACACTTTGGCATACAGAGGAGTTCATGGTCGGCTCAAAGACTGGAAGAATCAAAACAAGCCCAAATCATCACCCCTCCACCACCTTGCTTGACAGTTGATATGAGGTGTTTGTTCTGATATGCAAGGTTTAGTTTTCACCAAATGTGGCGCTCTGCATTATGACCTAATATCTGTATTTTGCAGGGCTGGATTATCTGATGGAGCTGCAGCTCCAAGCCAATGGAAGAGGCCCACTGCTAAAAAAAAAAAATGTTTTAAATGTGGGTGGTTCTGGTTACATGATTCGCGGCAGTGGTCCATCCTTTTATCCCACCCACCGAAATCCTGCTTCACCGGACACTGCTGTTAGGGGATATGGATTTAATTGAAAGATGAAATTGAGAGATTAGCATAGGGTATGTGTTTTCTGATAGTTATATCCTGTGAGTTTCCTTCCGGCACCATCTCCACCAGATACATGATGCTTGGAAAGTATAACTGTTTTAGGGTTTTCGGTACAAAGATTCTGTAATTAGGCTCATCATAATTGTCAGCGCCAGGCCCATTGGGCTCCTAATCCAGCCCTGGGTATGGGTGACTTAGAAATAGCCATAGTCCAGGGTCCTACATAAAGTCATGCAAAACTGTGGAGTGCACTGAGTGGAAAAATAAACCACTTCAAGTAAACCCAGTGGAGTGCTACAATCTAATGAACATAAAAACTTACCCTCTACAGGGATAATTATGTAGTAGGGAAAATAACAGAAACAAACTAAAATGACAAAATATGGTGTAGTATTTAAAGATGATCGGAGCAATTAAAGGTCTATATATAACTCACTCACATGGTATAGAGCCTTGGGTGGATAGGCTCAGATTACACTCGCAGGGGTATTTTAAGGTAATACCAAACCAAATATATTTTATCCTACATAAAGTGTCCATATGAAATCCCAGGTGATCGTGACTACCATCCCAGCCCCAAAATGGCGAAAGGGCAAGAAGCACCCATCGCGGCTACACAAGAGAGCGCCAATGCATTTCAGTACTGGGACTCTCAAAGTATTGGAGGTACCGGGGAAAACCACACTCATGCTATACAGTTCCGTGCGCTGGTTTACATAGGGATTACAAGACCGGTCACTCTATTTTCTATTATGGGACTCTGAAATGCCTCTGATGAGCACAGGCTGATCTGGACTCCTGGGCTCTTGGACATCCGTTTTGCCCATCCCCCAGTACATATGTTGGGCAGCCAGCGGGACGATGCTCATCAGTCATGCATTCTTTTTGTTTACTTTGTTTTTATTAGTAATGTCCTTTTGTGTTATCTTTGGCTAATCACTATTAGTTACTATTCACTCTATGCAACTAGCTAGGGAAACCACTCTAAGATTCTATGCTGATATATGCTTGTCTTTCTTAAAAAATAATAATAATTGTGCAGACTACTAGACATACCAAGATTGAAACAACTGCTATTGCTATTTTCACTAAGCATGTCATGGTTACTAAAATGTTGTTATTTGCTTGCACAACAAAAATAAAGAATTGAGAAAATAAAGTCCAAACACAGGCAAAAAAAAGAGAGAAGAAACAAGGGTGGCCACCAATAAACAAAAGGAAAAATCAGGGAATAAAAAGTGTTTCGCTTCTAAGAAACACCTCATCAGCAATAAAAACAACCCATAAATTGTGACATAAAAAGGATTTAGGAGGAGGAAGGGAAAAAACAGGGATCCTCCTCGTATCCTAAAACACTTTGAGTGCTCTATGCTCTGACAGTTAATCTATGTATAAACACATCAATTGTACCTTGTTAGTTCCAATTAGGACACTAGTGCTGTAGGTAGGTACATGAAATTTGCTCCCATCACTAGAAACAAATAATTTGAATTAAATTAGGCCTCAGAAGAAAAACAAAACCCTGTGCTCTATCCTCTATAGCAGTGGTTCCCAATCCAGTCCTCAAGTACTCCCTACCAGTCCAGGATTTAGGGATTACTCAGTTGTGTCTAAGGTGTTTAAAAAAAAAAAAAAAAAACTTTAGACACAGCAGGGTAATCCCTAAATGCTGGACTGGTAGGGGGTACTTGAGGACTGGGTTTATAGCATGATCCATAAGCTGAGAAGGCTGCCGCCCCCGAACTTCATGGGGAAATGGGAAACTGCTTTCAACCAAACACTCACACCCAAACAATGGTCGAAGATCTGTACACTGACCTTACACTGTGCCGTTTCTAGGAGCATACAAGAGACAGCTTATAAATTACTGGCCTTTTGATACAAGAACCCCCAATCATTGCACGCATTTGACCCCACTATAGATGACTCTTATCCGACCTTAGGGGGGGACCATACACACGATCATACAATTGTTTGCCGAGGACCCTCCTCCTTTGACACCATTGGCTCTTCTCCTTTATCACACTTGACTATGTTCTTCGGTGTACAAAAAATCATTGACCATAAGAATCCTTAATGTAGCCAAAAGTCTCATTCCCCTATTATGGAAGAAGGAGGGTACAGATTAATTTGTTCCATCCCACACAGCTTGTCCCCGTAGGTGAAGCATGCTGTGTCTTTAAAGACCTCCACACCACTCCTACCTCCACTTGTTAATTATCATTCCATTCCCCACCCTTCTCCATCAACCTTGTACTGCCCCTCCCCTTTTTTTCCCCCTCTCTTCCCATCTCCCCTCCTTCTGGCTTGGCCACTTTCCCACCCTGTGATTAGAGTGGCGGCGGCACTGGGGTTGGCCAACGACCTTAGGGCCTGTCTTCATGGATTTTATGGTTACCTTCTTTGTTTGACACCATGACCTTGATCTGCCTGCGCCTGCTCATGAGAAGCTCATGTTGCTGACCGAGCTTTATGGTACGATCTCATGTGTTCTCACACAAGCTCTCTGACCCTGGTGCTATGAGATCAATGTACATGAGTTCCCATGGTTTGACTCTACCACTCATGCTATTGGTGACCGATGTGTCCATTCCTCTACTTATTGTGACCCACGATGCTATCCAGGTTAACCTGTGACACCAGTGAATTGTGAAAAAAAAATCATAACCTTTTCATTTTTTATTTAACATAAATTAACTTAAGTTAGAGATACACAGCCGACCAAGGTTACCTCCCAGGAGGTAACCGACCAAATAGATATATACAACACAGAGAATTTAGGTATCCCACTGATGCACCTAGTTTTTTTTTGGATATGTTGTGATACAGGTAGCCATATTCACTTGAATGTTATTGTAAGACTAGAAACTATCAGTTTATGAAGGACACACTAGGAAAATCGATCATTCAATACAATTTTTAAAGATGGAGGACTAACTGCAGGTCGGATTTCCGGACTGAAGTTCTGATGTATTAAAACCCCAGGGTGCTATAGTAAGTAACAAGAGGGACTGCAGAGCCACTCAGTGATTGGCACCGTCTGCCCATGGTTAGCTCAAAGCTTCAGCGACACAGACAAGGCTGGTGCACCACTGTCAATTACTGGAATCGGTGTGTAGTGTGCAAGTTATTCCACATACGGCAATGAATTCCCAGCTCCTAGAATGATCTCCTCTGTCAGCCGTTAGAGGGGTGCAGAGCCCACAAACAACGGGCTAATTACTATAATTTCAGTAAACTAATGGCGTAATTAGAGGGAGAATGCCCAAATAAAGCTGAGGAAAAAAAAATTGCTTTGATAAAAAACCCATTTCAATAAAAATAAATTTACAAAAAAAAAACTGTGAGGGTGGACATTGGAAAATACAGCTGAGTTGAATGTGGAGAATTGGAGCCAGGATATCCTCTATTGTACATGGCATGTACACATATTGTTATATTCACACCCCCATTTAAACACAGTATACACACAGTGATACACACTGGCACAGACTCACAGTATGCACACACAGACACAATAACACACATAGACACAGTATACAACGTATACCAGCTCTATAAAGAACTGCATGAAAATAGTGTGCAAATATACAGGTGGATAAAAACATTTAACATTTTTCTCTCACATGAAAGAATACATTTGGATTTCAAAATGAACTAAAGAACTGCTCATTATAACCAGACATGTAACAGCAGAGGTCAACGTTCCAGCCCTATTACCTTGCCGTCTTGAAAAAAACAAAACAAATATTAAATGCTGTTGTATGACTGCTTAAAATGTACGTTTTTTTCTTGTTTGTTTTAGTCCTGTGAGTGCTTTACATTGGATATATTTTTTATGTTTTGTCACTAGGAAAACAAAGTGGAGAGTCTGACTGTGAAGCTCTCATAATATGTATGTTATGTATTTATGTGGTTGATAGATATAATGATGACATAAATCCAAACATATATGGGGCGGAGCTTGCCGGCTGGCCAGATCAGAGGCGTTTAGTCTGAGATCCTACATTTGACATTGATTATCGGGGCTAGCTGCGGGCCACACGCAAATTCAGACCCAAAACTACACTCACCCTGCTAAGCTGCCGACGGTGATCATGGAGATACCTCACATGTGCCCATCTGACGGTGAACAACCCGGACTGAGGCTGATGGCCTATCTGAGCTTGAGCTGGGGAGAGACGGCTGCTCTCCCAATTCTCCGACGGACGCATTGCTGTCCCCCCCCCCCCTTTGGACCGGCGGGGGTTATCCCGGTCCCCACTGGCGGCCACCAACACCCACTACTAGCATCCAGCCCACGCACAGAGACCCTGGACGGGGCGCTCCTACCAGTAAAGCTTTGAAGTCTTCTAGCCAGGCTGAAGGCCAACAGGGAATCATTCCCAAAGCATCGTCCACTGACGCTAAAGACCCATCGCTGCAGGCGGCGACAGTCCACTGGGATCCACTGATGTCCCCTGCAAGGGAAGAACTCGGCCTCGTATTTGAGCACCCAAGTTCATGGTTCAAGGATGCAGGCCATCACAACGGCCTGTGGCGAGGGGGAGGACTGGCTCAGACTCTGCCTCAGGATGCCGCTTAAGCCCCTCAGCCCGCCACCAAACCCAGGCATCAGCTGACCCGGGACTTTCCACCTCAGACCCTTGGACAGTCGGTAACCTGATTTACACATTAGCACACTGTCCTTCCCATGGTGGGCCTGCTAGCACCCACGGTGCCCCACATGTTAAGACGAGCAACAAGCATCGCTATGTGTATAATTTGCCTGTTTACACTGTTTATTTGATGTAGCACTGCTTATCGGTAAAGTTTCCTGAGGGATGTAGAGGGAACCAGCCTCTTATAATGCAAACGCCATAAGCATACCCTTAGCCCTTATCAGCCTTTCCACAGGCCCCCCCCCAAAAAAGAGACAACATACCGGCTTCTCACAGAAACTTATGCTAGCATACCCACCTTGGGGAACAGGGGACCGTCTCATGTGCAGGGTTCTCGGCCATAGGGTGGTGGACCCAGTGGTATTGCCCTTTCACAGGCTTTGCTGGAGACACTAAATGTACATTGGGCCAGACATACAGTACAAGCTTACCCTACACAAACACTAAGAAGCATCTTGCTAATCTTTATCATTAAGCACTCAGTTTTGTTAGGCACCCCATTATTGTTATCCACCCTTAAAATGTGCAGTCTCACCAAAAGGATGATCAATAGTTATGCACCTACATGCTATGTATAATCTTGAATCCACATGTGCTGTCAGTCAGGGCATTTTAGGATCGGTTTACTCTCAATGCACAGGTTTAGAACATCTCATAAAAACTTTGCAGCCGTCATAGAATTTTTAACTTTACTTTGCCTAGCATGTACTATACGCGCGGATACTCACCTCACACTACTGTCGCAGACGGCTAGAAAGGCTTACACCTAATCGTATGTTTGGTATGTTTTGTTACAATCTTATGCCTAAAATGCCGGCGAATAATGTTAAAATCTGCTATACTGTGCACATGAAAACTACCAACAGAGCGATCATTATTTATTTCTTGCACTCATTTCTTAAACAATTGCATGTGTTATTATGTTGTTTGACGTTTAAAAATAAAATAAAATATGGCAACCTTTCTTGGGAGTGCACTACACACCATCTTGATATCATTAACTTGTATTACCCCACAATGCCTCCTCTCTTTATTCTGTACCCTATAATGCAAATGCAATAATAAAAGAAAGATTGACAAAAAATTTTTTTATGTATTTATGTAATTTCTGAGTTTATTATGTATCCTCACTCACACATTCTCACAGACACACTCTGTCACTGACACAGGCTCGCTCCATTACACAAAATAATTTGGGAAAGGTTTATAAATAGAAATGCTAACTTGAGTTAGAATGCAAGCTCTTAGGGTCATGCCCTGTAGCATCTGCATACTGTTAGGGACCAGGACGGATTAGTTGTGAAAGAACATACTATAGCATGTCTGCCACTTCATTAGGTGTTTGGCATTTGATATTTTTAGTGCCCCCACCCCCCCCACATCTATTAATTACTAAACCAGAGGCCTGATTCTGCTAGATTATTATTATCATTTATATAGCACTAACAGATTCCGTAGCGCTTTACAATATTCTGAGAGGGGGGATTTAACTATAAATAGGACAATTACAAGAAAACTTACAGAAACGATAGGTTGAAAGGGGCCCTGCTCAAACGAGCTTACAGTCTATTGGAGGTGGAGTTTAAAACACATTAGGACAGGAAATAGCAATCAAACAAGGTGGGAGTGAAGCAGAGCTGGAGGAGAGAGTAGAGTGCTGCCCTTTAGGAGAGAGCAAGAGACAGGTATGTGAGGTGGAGGTTAGTCTGGGAGGCCATAAGCTTTCCTAAAGAGATGGGTTTTAAGGCACTTCTTAAACAATTGAAGACTAGGGGAGAGTATGATGGCGGTAGGCAGGCTATTTCTTAGGAAGGGAGCCGCCTGCGAGAAGTCCTGCAAGCACGAGTTGGCCATACGGGTGCGAGCAGCGGACAGAAGAAGGTCAGAGGCAGAGCGGAGAGCCCGAGAAGGGGCATACCCATGGACCACTACAAAATTGAGGTAAGAAGGCACACTATAGTGGAGAGAGAACCAGTGGAGCTGGGGGGAAGTAAAAGACACACAAAATAAGCTGAGTGAGAAGAAGACACACAAAACGGGCTAAGAGAAGCTGGGGAGGGAGAAAGACACACAGAGAAGCTGGGAATGGAGAAAGACACACAAAGGGGGATGAGACACACAGAGTTGCTGGGAGAGTGAGAGACACACAGAGGGGATAGGGAGGGAGAAAGAGACACAGAGCAACTGGGGATGAGAAAGATACACACAGAGGGGCTTGGGGGAAGAGACAGAGAGAGGCTAAGGGGGGGAAATGCAGAGGTGCTGGAGGGAAACACAGAGGTGCTGGAGGGGGGACAGAAGAGACTTGGGAGACACACAGATGGGCTGGGGGGAGACACACAGAGGGGACACACCTCTTGATTATTGAATTCAAGTGTTTTAATCCGACCCATTGCCACAGTTGTATAAAATCAAGCACCTAGCCATGCAGTCTACATTTACGAACATTAGAATACAAGTGTGGTACTGTGATAGAATACCTTTGCAATAAGTCAGTCATGACGTTTCATCCCTGCTAGATATTCCACCGTGAACTGTAAGTGGTATTATTGGAAAGTGAAAGCATTTAGGAACAGCAACAACTCAGCCACTAAGCGGAAAACCATGTAAAGTCACTGAGTGGAGTCACCGAGTGCTGAGAAGCGTGGTGAGTAAAAGTCACCAACGCTATGCTGATTCCATAGCTGAAGAGTTCCAAACGTCTACTGGAATTAATATCAGTACAAAAACTGTGGCAGGAGCTTTAAGGAATTGGTTTCCTTGGCCAAGCAACTGAAGGCAAGCCTCACATCACCAAACACAATACCAAGCGTCGGATCAAGTTGTGTAAAGCATGACAGCACTGGACTCTGGAGCAGTGCAAACATGTTCTGTGGAGGGATTAATCACGCTTCTATGCTTTGCTGTTTGGGTTTGACAGATGTCAAGAGAATGTTACCTGTCTGACTGTATGGTGTCAACTGTAAAGTTTGGTGTTGGAAGGATAATGGTATGGGGCTGTTTTTCAGAGGTTGTGTAGGCCTCTTACTTCCAATGAATGGAAATCTTGAAATCTTAATGCTTCAGCATGGCAAGACATTTTGGACAGTGCAATGCTTCTACCATTGTGGGAAGAGTTTGGGTAAAACCCTTTTCTTTTTTTTTCTTTTTATTCTTTTTTTTTCCATCTTGGCGGGCACATTGATAGAACATCATCATAATGGCTTGTGCAAAAGCCAAATAACATGTCATACATATGAACAATGCGACATAACAGGCTACCATTGACACTGCATGTTCAACATAGGTAATAATTTCTTCACCCTCCACCAAGGAGTTTTTCATATTTTAAATGAACTTTTAACTGACATTAAACAGTAGGCAGAACAATTTAATCTACTTCACGATGGCAGTTACTATCTTGCTTTTATGATATGTGATTGCAAGCCTTCTATGGGAGTTAGTTCCACTAACCGGGGCCGTCTTGTTGAGTTGGCCTTGCCTGCACCCGTATGGTGCCATCTATGTGTTCTCTATTTCTATACTAATTATATAGCTATATTGTTTTTGGTACTGTCTAAGTACTTCATTATACCCTCAAATTAGGTATCCCCTGGACTAGTGTCCAAACTCCAGCGCCGCTGCACTCCTCTCTCTTTGTGCCTTGCGTACCCTCTAGAATGCACCGGTTCCAAGTACCACCGCATTCCATTCAGACACACCTCTCTCCTCCTGTCGTGCAGTAATGTGCTGTGGTAATTGTTAAATTGTCTCCCATCTTTACTTTAATTTGTCTGCTTTGTCCTAGTGTTCATCTGTTCCCCTGTATAGCATGAGGCTGAAGCTCAAATATTTTGGCCATATAACGAGAAGACAGGATTCTCTAAAGAAGACTCTGACACTGGGAAAGATTGAAGGCACACGAAGAAGGAGATGGATAGATGAGGTCACTGAAGCCACGAACATGAAGTGGTTGGAGCTCAGAGAAGCAGTGACTGACAGATGTACCTGACGTGCTATGGTCCATATGGTCACGGAGAGTCGGACACGACTGAACGACTAAACAACAACAATGCATTTAGAATGCAATGTCATAAAAGTCTCTGTCCATATGGTGTGTATATGATAATGTCTGTATCATCATGACATGTGATACACATTGCACATAAATAAAAACCAGAAAAGAAGAGGTTATGTTAATACAAAAGAACCCTCCAAACACCATAACCACCACAGCCTACCCTCAGCATAGGGATGTCCAAATACAATGCCACACACTGTTTAAAGAGGTAGTTCAAACTATGGTATTTGAGTAAAAAATACTTCCCCTGTTTGCAGCACTGTTAAAAAGGCATATCTCTCCTTTGTCTCTTATCCCCAGTGGTAAACAATACCACGAACCCACAGGCAAGGGAAGAAATCATTCTTATGTTCCAAAGGGGATATTTACTTAGTAAATTGCTTACAACAACTCCACAGAGAAAAGAGAATGGGCATTCTGTGAATATGTAAGAGCAGAGAAAAAAATATTACACAGTCCAAGAAAACAACTCACACAGTAAAATGGCACTTAAATACAAATGTATGGGCAAAGCGTGCTTTTTGTGACATAATATCAAAGGATTCACCACTCTTGCAGCTGTCACCAGTCAAAGTGCTTGGATTCACAACTTGCCTTTTCTTCCTTTGTCTACTATCACAAAATTTGCAGTTTTTTTAAAAATCAAATATCATAAAATAACTTCAATGCATTTCATCATTATAAATTACTTCTTTAGAAAAAAAAAAAAAAAGAAAAGACAGGAAAAAGATGGCAACTTTGCACGTTTCAGCTTAAAGGAAAACTCCAGTGCCAGGAAAACAATCCGTTTTCCTGGCGCTGCAGGTCCCCTCTCCCTCCCACCTCCCAATCCCTGGTTGCTGAACTTTGTTTAGTATACTATAGTGCCCTCAGGGTGCCCCCACCCTCAGGGTCCCCCTCCCGTGGCATTGAAGGGGTTAAAACCCCCTCAGTTACTTACCTTATTCCAGCGCAGGGCTCCCTCGGCGCTGGTGACCTCTCCTCCCCGCTGACATCAGCCCCCTCTGCATTTTTCAATGCTTTCCTATGGACGCTTTGCGTGATGGAGGCATAATATGCCTCCAGCGTTGCAGATGCGCCTCTAGTGGCTGTCCGGAAGACAGCCACTAGAGGCTGGATTAACCCCAAATGTAAACATAGCAGTTTCTCTGAAACTGTAATGTTTACATGTGAAGGGTTAAAACCTGAGGGACCTGGCACCCAGACCACTTCATTGAGCTGAAATTGTCTGGGTGACTATAGTGTCCCTTTAATAGCACAGATAATAACCAAAAAGAAAAAGGGTCATGGCGTTGATATACTGCACAATTTTTGTATAGAAACAAGTGGAGCATACATGTCTATTTCCGGAATGGCAAGGAGTAAGGAAACAAACATGAGTAGATTGACATGTCAGAAATGCAGTAGCATATATGTAGATATCATAGAGCATGGTACAGGCTTTGTAGAATATGCAACATTACCAATTCGATATATGAGGAAAAATAAACAGTAAAACCACTGGACGTAGGTCTAACATAAGGCTGCTGCCCCATAGAAAAGATATGAGAGAATAAAGGGCTCAGAGTTCTGTGGTCATCCAATGCTTTTGGCAAGCAGGCCATGCTGAGGCAGGTGATCAGGGTCTTCGGGCCCATCGCAGGTTGTATATCTTTTCGCTGTTAACCAGCTCAGACCAGTACATGCTCTCCTCGCAACAGTCAGGCTGAGACCTCGAGATTCCAGGGAGCACTGGACTGCCTGGGCGATTGAGCCGCGTGCGGGTAGGTGAGGTCGGTGAGATCCCCGTCTGGAGGGGTGTCTCTGTGTGGGAGCTCTGCGAGTAGGCTTTACCACAGGTGCAAGGTGCGTGGGACGCTTGCTCTGTGAGCCCACAGAGTCCACGTCTTTCCCCTGTAGAGACGAACAGAGAGTTCTGGTTTTGTGCAGCTTCTGATGGCGATTAAGCCTTTGTCTGCGTGGACACTGCTTTGTGGTCTTGTCTTTGCTGGCCCCCGGTTTGTGTGGGCTAGTAGCCTTGGGTACCTGTACTTGTGAACGTTGGTTGCCCGAAGAAGGCCTGTATACTGCCTGGATCTCACTCACATTTCTCTCCTCCTGGTATTGATGCGACTTGGCTGCCTGTCATGCCTTCAGGGAGGCCCAGAAGCGGTCAAAGAGTTCCTCCAGTCGCCCCATGAGGTGCTCAGTGGTGTCCTGAGGCACTATCTCGGGGTACTGGCGCCTGGAAAGAGCAGGTTGCACAGGCCGGAGACCATGAGGGTAAAGCTCTGTCGTCATCTTGAGAGAGCAGGCTGTGGCTGGAGTATCCGGGAGGGTGTGTGTGGGGATTGGAGTGAGCTTGGTCCGCACGCCACACCAGAGACCGGGAAATCGGACGCCTTTCCCCAGCTCAGTATCGTACAGACCATAATGTGGCGCCACAGTCTCCCGGTAGCTAGGGAGCCTGAGTGAGGTATCAGCTGGCATACCACAGCACCCCCAGCCAAGGTAGGATGTGATGGGAGTGGTGGTTTATCAGGAATTGGGAATGTACCCCGAAATTTAGCAGTTTGAGCGGGAGCTCACGAGGCACACGTCTAGTCAGGTCAAGTATTTGGCTCCGTCCCCCAACGTGCAGTCATTTAATAAATCTTGCTCCCGTATTGTAAAATGCATCTTAAATTAAAAACAATCCAACATGGCTATACGCTGTATTGTGGAGTGAGTGGCTCAACCCAACTTCGGCAAAAGAGCCAATTGGAATTGCTCCTTGCTTCACCGTGGATTGCAAAACAAACCAGGGGCTCCACATAATTATCAGCTGCCTGTATAATTAAAAATTAATCATTATGTATGTAATTATTTATTATAGAGGGATATAAAAATTATTGTATGGGGTTATAAATAGAATGCGAAAAAAAAATGCAAAACAAACACCACACATTTTTAAAAAGACTCAATATACACCTCCCAAGTGTCCCTATTTAGGATGGATAGTCCCTATTTTGGGTCCAAATCCCTATGTCCCCTTTTGCAACACTAATGACCCTCTTTTCTAGAACCTCCATATTGCTGGTGTAACTTGTAGTGTATAACAAGCTCCACAGCAATAAAACATGCAGTAATGTTTCTTTAACCTATAATAAATGTGAATAGAATTCTGTCTGTATGAATAAGAAACATTGTTCTTCTTCTAAATGGCATTTTAGTTCCATAAATTGTTATTTGTAAGTCTCCTAAATTTTCTCAGAACAGCACTGCATACCCCCGCTCCCCCATAAAATTAAAGTGTCCCTTTTTGTTTTTGAAATGTTGGGAGGTATGCGAGAAACTTTGGGGAGTCTAGTTTTGCAAGTACTATGCATTTTATGGAGCGGTTACACCAAGCATCAATCTTACATTTTGAAAATAAAATAAATAAGAGGATAGGGCTCTAATTTGGTGCTGCACATTAACAAGAAATTTGGTAATATTTACATAAAACCAAAATCTTTCAAAGAAGCTGACGAAAAACTCAATTAATTCACAATGTGAGATACTGCAGGTTGTCTACTTTTAGAAATGGTAGGACTGTACTGGGATAATTAAAGTGAATGAGCTGCTGAAAAATGTGATGTAGGCCTAGCAAATTAATCTGGCTTGATAAAAACCTCTTCGTAGTTCGAAACGTTGCTGTTCTACTTTTTGTTTTAATAAATCTGCCTGTGGATTTCACACTGTGAGTGCCTGGGAATCTTTCTTGCTGCCTTAACAAGTTAATCTGGCATTTGGCTCTGTAACTTTACAGAATGTTCAATGTTCATTCACCAAGGTATAGTGCAGGCTACTACCAACCCTTTGCATAACTGTTTATTTATTATTGTAGTATTTAGTATAGCATACATAAAATCTTAATACGCCACACAACTGTATACAAATGCCAGATTAAAAAGTGTCAGGGTCACAATGCCCAATGTATTTATTTATACATACATAGATATTCTCATTCTCTCTCCCCCTCTCTGTCCCTCTCTCTCCCCTGTGTCTGACACCTACGAGATCTAGAGCGCACAGCGACACCTGGTGGGTGCACAGTAGGGACTTGCAGGCCTGACAGAGAGCGCCGATTGATCGATCAGTGTCATGGCTGCCTCCTGAAGTGTGCATGCTGACAGATTCTGGAGCATTCTTGGTAACCGGTTTATCGGAGAATAACTATTGCAATGAGGGTGATAGGGGTTCACTATTTATGTGTGAACGTTTCAGAATCAATAGGCAGTAGCAAATGTCATAGGAGAGAAGCCTTGGGTGGTGTCATTCACTATTTAGCAGACTCATGGTGTGGTTGTAGGATCACGTTTCATTGACAGGCGCTAATAGAAGGGATTTAGAGCTAGCAGCGAGTCCAGGAGCTATTTTCTGTTAGCACCAGCAAGTCGGGGGACAGTCGCCTATTGCGTTGTACTAATGAATTGTGCTGTGGTCACGAGAGAGAACGTGGGGAAAGGTAACCTTAACAAACTAACAGATGTAGATAACAGCCAAACTATTCTAGATTTCAGAATCCAGTAAAATACGTAGGTGTTTCTGAGTTACTTCATAGTGGCTCATAGTATTCTGGGGTATTACGCTTAAATATTGTTTATCTTAGCAAAAAAAAAAAAAAAGTTAATGTATTTTATATGCAAATGTAACATTTTGTATTTTTTAAACTACCAATTTTAAAGTTCACACACACACAATTAAAAACTAGAAATGGTTTTACAATTTTGCAAAGGGGATGCAGAATATGTAGTCTTATTTTCTTTTATTATTTAACTGCACTACTGCATCTCTCTGTATCCCTTTATTGCTATGCAAAACCCAATAAATGTTTGTGTGAAGCATATGTTGAAAACAAATCAATGCCAACATTCCTGTTGGATTATAATTTTTTTTTTTTTTAAATAATACTATTTTGACTTTTTTTTTCAAATGGTAAGAAAGAGCACCCACCTTTAATTTATTTTGGAGACCAATAAGATGGTAGATTGCAAAGTTGGTTAGTGCCCCTAATATATACTGTAACATCTTACATTATCAGCACTGCAGAATCAATGGGTATTCATCCTCCCAATACATCCTACGAAAATTAGATAAAATATCTATGTATCCTCCAGAATATCTCCTACACTTAAGAAATAGTCGGTGTTGTGATGGACTCCATAAAGCTTTTAGAAGACAAGGACATTTTTTTTTTCTACACTTGAAATTTAATTAAATACAAATAGCAAAACTGAGACTAAAATAGCAGATTTGGAAAAATTACCCAGCTTGCCTATAGCCACAGTTTTGCAAATTTAACCTCAATGTTGGAATTAAATTTACTAAAACTCCAAGTGTAATGAATGACCATGTAAACTGTAGGTGCATGTAAGTATCATGCATTCTTTTTGTTCTGTATAAACCAAATACAAGCTTTTAAGTTGTGGTCATGTTTGTGATAATTATGATTTAAGTTGAATAAATCCTCTCTGATTAACAATAATCCTTAATGTTTTTGTTCAGGATTTGCTAATCCACCAACATGGCTGAGATTGCTCTGCCAACTGATAATTTATCAGAGGTTAAACTAGGCGACAGTGACTTAATGCCTAGTAATATTGCTAACCTGGACAGCATATCTATTACTATTGGAGCTACAGTACCTACAGGCTTTGAACTAACAGCAGCTGCTGAAGTACAGGAGAAACTAGGATGTGTGTGCAAAATCAGCAAAGATCGAGGAAAAATTTACTTTGAAATCAAGCAGGATAGCCTGGGACAGGTAAGCTTGATATTGTGGATTAGAGTGATGTTACTAACAGGGCTTGTACAATATCTGTCTGTGAAGATATATAAAACATTTTGTTTCACAGCATGCAGAATAATGAAGTTTAGATTTATTTATTTAATTGGTTGTTGGAGGTAGACTTGAATGAGATGTACCTGAAACAAGAACGTTTAGAAATAGGTTGCAGTAGGAAGGAGATGAAAGGCTAGGCAGAAACAAAATAATTGCGGTAGATATGTTGGAACAAGATAGGAAGTAAGGGTAGATCGTATGGGAGTGGGGTGGACCGAGTGGGGAAGGTTGAGGAAGGGTGGTTAGACTGACATAGGATTAATTGTTCTTGTACATCTGATTTGGAGAAGGTGGCTATTTATTGAAAAAAAAATTTCTTCTCAATCTTTCTTTTGTTGAGACGTAAGAGAAAGCGATAAGTAAGAATATATCAGCTTGGCAACTCCTTTTTTTGTTTTTTGTATGTGGAACACAGGCTTGGTGAACATAATTATATCATATATTATATATATGCAATCTAGACAGACATGTCTAAGTTAACACAAACAAATATGCTACATGGTAAAAACAATAAGATGTAAGATAACTAAATTATGTTAGGGTAGCAAGCTGAGAAAACTACTGAGGCTTGACACCCATTATTAACTTTGCATGGTAAAGAGTGCAGAACAAAATAAACAATAAGAATCAAAGTAAAGTAAAACATCCTAGGGAGTTATATGTGGCAGCTCAAAAAGCGGGGATAAGTAAGGTGGTGCCTAGTGAACGCAGCAATGCGTTCGGTATAAACTAACAGGGCACGGAATCCGAGAGAAGCGTGTTCAACCAATTCTGACACTTGGCAGTATGGTATTTTATTGAACATTTTATCCAACACTTGCTTTTGTTTTCTTCCTCGTTCTTCAGGTTCACCGTCTGAGGTCCGTGGATAATCTGTTTGTTATTGTCCAGGAGTTCTCAGACTTCCCGTTCAAAGAAACAAAGGTCAGTTATATGCAAAAGTGTTTATGCGATTTTACAATTTCTTCGCTTTCAGATTATCTTCTTTCAGTAGCTGCTTTAAGTCATCTCCCACAGGTTTCCATTTTTATAACCTTTGTCTGTTTGAAACCTTGAGTTTCTTATGATTTGTTATTGCCGTAAAATAATTTTCAGGACATCTTTGTGGCTTTCAGGCCTTTAACATTCGGTTAAAAATAGATATTATAGCAGACCTGTAATGCCAGACCTTTAAAGGGACTCTCTGGGCACTGTCGTTATTGTGTACGGTGCTTCCGGCTGCCCTCTTATTTGAAAGGGTAAAGCCATTAACAAAAGGTTTATCACCAAAGTCTGCAAGATGGCGCACCATCGCTCTGCCCCTGTACGTCCTCTAAAACCAGGTGCCAATAATAGGCTGAGAGCCTCATCTAATGCCCTGGGCCTGTCACTAGCTCCCCATTCAGAAAACTCAGTAGAAAAGGTACAAATCTTTTTTTACTCAATTTTTTTTTTTTTTTTTTTTAATGATGGCCGGATTGGTCCACTAAGTTTTTGTTATGAGAAAAATCTACCTCCACGATACATGTTTATTCTGTTTAAAGTAATACCATAGCTACTATTAGCCTTTTTTCAGCAACATCTCCTAGGTCAGACCTTGGGCACTCTCCAGAGCTGGAGAGGTACCTTTTACGACAAGGAGGAATGCCCTACTCTTGCATCCACATTAGAGTGGGCTGGCTTAAATCTGCTGTTTTAAGCCCCTGTAAGCAGTGTGCTTTTAACATGTATTGGTCACTACTTGATAATAACATTAAGAACAACTTAATAAGTGTAAAACTCATTTGAGGGTTATGAAATGCTTTAAACTGTTCTATAATGGAAACATCATTAAATTATGTAATCCTGTCTGTGTAGGAATCTGCTCTAGAGGATCTCATGGAATTGGCAGCAAAGCTTCCCTGGGATGCAGCTCTAAATGCCTGGGAGCTTAACAACAGTTTGAAAAAGAAAAAGAGGCGCAAGAAACCTGGAAACGGCAACCACAAAGAGCAGAGGGGCCAAGTAGTATCTTCTGAAGTTGAGGTTCAAAAAGAGGAGGGTAGCATACACCCTGAGAAAGAGCACGTTACTTTGGTAAATCTAGAAAAGGATGAGGACCGGAACCTGCAAACTACAACCGACAGCCTGGAAATCCCAGAAAAAGAGGATACAGAAGCTGGCAAGAATCAGGATAAGCCAGTTTTACTTCCAGATCCCACAGAGGTCACCGGAGAAGAGACTGCTAATGATCAGGCGCAGACTATCCACCTGCATGGATCTTCACAAGAAAGCAAGGATACTAACACTTTGCTTGATTCTGGTGTGAAAGTGGAGGCTCAGGAAGGTGGCGAGACTACAGACAGCACCAGTGTCTTGAAATTCCGTGTCACCTGCAACCGTGCAGGAGACAAACACAGCTTCACATCGAACGAGGCAGCAAGAGATTTTGGAGGAGCTGTACAGGATCACTTTCAGTGGAAGGCAGACATGACCAACTTTGATATAGAGGTAACTCTAAAATATTATATAGCAGCTGTAGGTTATAGGAAAATCATGCAATTAAAATGTTTAGGCAGACAGTTTTGTGAAATGGAGCCAAAAACTCCAATAACAAGAAAGGCTATCGCAACATTAAGAGGGGTCTTAGAAAAGTGACAGTAAAATATATAAAGAGACATGACTGCCTCCAGGATTTTGACATATGTAGCAGTTCCTCGCTCACTGCATGTCCTGCTGGGCTCTCTATTCCACATGGTGTGGTCTCCAGAGCTGAAGCAGTAACAAAGTGAATAATTTAAATGCCTATTCTACAGAGATTTCAAACAATGCGTTGCAACAAGCATTTTTCATGAAGTTGCAGAATCTTTATACAATTCATTATTTTTTCTCTCTTTGTGACCCCTCCCACCCCAAGCTGCTGTTTTACTTTTAATGGATAAATAAGGATTCTGAAATTTTCCATTGTGATTACTGCAACACCGTGTTTGAAATCTCCATAGAGTTGGCATTTAATTCATTTGTTTTAGGTAAGTGCTTTAGCAGACAGAACTGTAGGTTGAATAATTTAAGAATGCCCCTTGATGGCATTATTTTCTTATAACACACAGTTCACAATGTTTTTTTAATATTACATGATTATTTATTTATGTTAAGAATTTTGTAATGTCAGATAACCTATTTTAGTAAAGACTAAAAATGTTATAGAGGGCACACCCAGAACATGCATTTCTCCGTAATCGTGCTGCGGTAAAGACCAAAACTGATACAATATACAGATTAAGAAACAGTGCAGACATAAAAATACTTTTATAAGGCTACTTAAAATCACAGATCTTCGCAAACAAATATGGGGATTCAGTTCCACCACGTGGTCATATTGTGTTAAGCCCACCACTACTTCGCAGTACCCCAATATTGGTGGGTCCTAAACTAATTCCAATGTGGGAGACAAATTAAATATTACTAGTGCTAAACAAACTCAAATGTATTTTAATAATCTGTTATTTTTTTAATAGTTTTTTTTTTTAATCACATTAATTTTGTATTGAATATATTTATATATATTCGCAATGCTCTTACAACAGGTTATTAACATTAGCACTATTTAGATAATCTATTCTGTCTTTAAAGTTGCTGCGGAATGCAACACAAACCCTAACCCATACTATTGCATCCTTCCTTCTTACGTGTCCCAGGATGCTGAGAATGATAGCAGCCTGAGGTTGCCATGCTTAATTATTTTCACATCCCATGATATGCCAGGCAAGGTAACTGGGAGGAGAGAGGGGTACACTCGGTCTTTCTCCAGGCTCCTATCTAGCATATGGCATTGACACTGTTGATGTTTGACCACATTTCCCATAATGTTTATCCAACATAAATAGTCCATTTCAAATTCCAGAATAACCTGAATGCTTGGTAGGACCTTCCCCTATGAGAACTTGCATGTACTCTTCATTTTGCAATGTGATATGTTCTAGGTGCTCTTGAATATCAGTTATAATGAAGTAGTGGTGGGAATCGCACTGACTGAAGAAAGTTTGCATCGCAGGAATATCACACACTTTGGGCCCACAACTCTTCGCTCTACCCTGGCGTATGGGATGCTCAGGTAATGTTAGATTCGGCTCAGGCCTGGGTGCCATTTGTGGTGGGAATAGAAGGCCATTCCTGATAAATTCACTGGTAGATTTAAAATACATTTAAAGCAGAAGTTACAGGATTTTGTTTTATTTAGAGTTTGACCTATAATCCAATGTTGCATTCTTTTATATAAATCTTTATGCTCTCTATTAAATAATGTATTTCTGATGTGTGATAATTGCCATATGTGTTGTTGGAAACAGATATAGGTATGGTTTAGATATGTGTTATCTATTTTATTTCCCTCTGTTCTCTAGGCTGTGCAACTTACAACCATCAGATGTCATTATAGATCCCATGTGTGGGACAGGCTCCATCCCTCTAGAGGTATTCTACCATTTTAAAATAATATATTATACAATGTTCAAACCTGAATAAAACTCATGAAGATGTCAGTGTTGTAGGAATGTGCTGTGTGTTCAGGTGTCAGAATCATAGCATAAGTTGCCCTGGTACCCTTATATGCAAGTATAGTCATGAAGTCATCTTCCAGCTTGACTTCAAGGCAGGATGGGGCTCAAAGGTCAAGGCCTCTGATGAGATGCGTCACTGGATACCTATCTGTCAATCTTTGGTAGTTTTTATTAGCTCAGGTAAGAGTGGGTAAGAAATAATAGTGCTCTGGTAACATGTTAGATTTCCATTCATAGCCCTAGAATATCTTAGCTAGGCTTCTTTTTTGACAGTGTAGTTAATTTCTAAAGAGCAACTCTGGGACAAAGGTCTTAACGTGGAGCAGTCATCATGCAAACCAACAGAATGTTTGTGATGATTGCTGCACCTTCATACACTTTCAGTTTTTGCCTATTCTTCATAGAGGGAATATATAAACAGGCCCTTAAAGGATTACTAGAGAGACCGGAACCACTTTATTTCAATTTAGTGATCTGCATGCAGTGTCCTGTAGTTTTAATTCTACAATGTACAGCATTGCCATTCTGTAGATACAGCAATGCTTAAAGTGCAGCGTTAAATATCTGACAGCCACTAGAGGAGCTTCCACTGTGAGGACCGACTCAAACTCTGTTCTCACAGCCAACCTCCAATAGGAGCGCAACGTTGGCCACACATGCACCTTTTGTCCCCACTGCTCCTCTGAGGAGCATTGAATTGGACATTTAAAAATGTCGGCGTGACATTACAGGAGGCAATTCGAGTGGCTGCAGGGACTTCTTCTTGTTGCTGGAAAAATAGTAAGCAACCTTTATCCAATTTCTATTTAGAGGAGGGGGCTGAATCTAAATAAAGAGAATTCTATAGCGTTAGTAATACAGGTCTGCATTCCTAACGTTATAGTGCTCCTTTAATAATAAGTGTATAAGAGGGAATAATGGCCCTTAATCCTTTGAGTGTGAGAGAACACGCATCCCCTGAAGATGTAACCTCACCGGCTACAGTCAGCTTTTGACAGTGTTTAATATTTCCTGTTGCAGGGTGTGAGCGAGTGGCCGAACTGCTTCTTTATGGCTGGGGACAATAATCCACAGGCTGTGAACAGAGCTGCCAGCAACATCAACTCCTTACTAAGAAAGCAGAAAAACACAGAAAGGTGATTTTGTTTTATGTGGCAGGTTTTTATATAAACATTAGTTTAGCTGACAGTGTCTTTCCTTAAAATATATATATATATATATATATATATATATATTTGTGCTCGGAATTTAAATACGTAATGGATAGTATCTGTGAGCAAAGTTGGTTGTGGTGTGCCGAAACCAACGTACGAGTGGGCCTGTAAATAAAAGAGGGCCCACCAAGGATAATGTAGTTAAAACAGGGTGTAGGTGGGTGGGGACAATCAGCTGAGCGGCAGCGGTGAGTAGGGGCTGGGAGTTTAAGTAGGGGACTTACTCCTCCCACAAATTCAGGCCTAATGGCCTTTCTACTTGTGCTCGGAATTTAAATACGTAATGGATAGTATCTGTGAGCAAAGTTGGTTGTGGTGTGCCGAAACCAACGTACGAGTGGGCCTGTAAATAAAAGAGGGCAAAAAGATAAATTCGAGAAAATACACACTTTATTGCATTTTACAAGACCAAGTTCCTGAAAGCTTGGCGAAGCTCTTTCTCTGGTTGCGGAATATATGCGTTATATATGGAGGATTTCCATCGCCCGAGCCTTTTGATGATGTGGACCGGTGCGTTTGTGCTAGAGGCTGCTGAGGCGGCTCCTATGCGGAAGGAGTGCCCGGAGAATGCAGCCGGGTTGTGTCCGAGCTTAGATAACAGGGTTCTGACATGTAACATCAATTTTGCCGTGGTAAGCGGGTGCCCTTGTAATGTTAAGAGCGGAGAGTCTGGCAGGTGAGTGTGAAGAGTTGACCGTAGTTGGTCGAGAACTTTCACCGGACACCAGGCATTATCAGTAGGGAAGAGAGGAATTATTGTAGGATGTATTGACCGGTTGGTTTTCGTGGTAGGGATAGAAAGGAGGTAGTGATCCTCTACCTTGGTGAGGTGTGAAGTTTTAAGGCATCGTGTGATATCTCCTTGATAAATCACGGTGAACTCTCTAGGTCTGAGAAAACCGTAGAAAGCGAGATATATGGCAGATTTTATCACCGTATTGGTGTAGCTATCAAATGGGGCTGTGTCAAGGAGATTGCTAAGTGACCTGAAGATAGGCCCGTCTATGGGTAATCTAGTGCTTGCGAGTGGTGGTGAAACCTTTGATATACCTTTCAAGACCTTTTTAATGGGGTATGAAGACAAAAAAGGAGTGCTGTTAGGAAAATTGGTGAGGCTGTGGTGCTGAACCCCGGTGAGGTAAAGTTTAATGGTGTTGTGTGACAGATTAAGGTGTAGGTGGCAAAAAGAGGCAAAAGACACCATGGTTTGGATAGAAAAGTCACCTTGTAGCCCGAATTCTGCAGTGAATTTGTTAAATATGTTAAGTGCCCTATTGTAAGTGATAGCAGTGTTGGGTGATAATGCTTGGTGAGTGAGTGATCTAGCGTGAAGCAAGAGTGTGCTTAATCCAATATTAGTTCGTGAAACCGTGGTGTCCTGGATGGCTGTTGGTGAGCTGCTGGGAGTGCCTGAGAAAATGCCTGGAATCGAGAACGAGAAAGAGCGTCAGCGGCGGTGTTGTGAATACCCGGGATGTGAGAACATACTAAGTGAAACTGATTGGATGCTGCCAGCCAGGTCAACTTGCGAATCAGCCGCATGATGGTCAGGGATGATGAGCGCCCTTTGTTAATGATATCGCAAGCTGCCGAGTTATCTGAGTAGCATTTTACTGCCTTGCCGGACCAGAGATGACCCCAGGTGTGTGCGGCCGCCACAATGGGGTAAATTTCAAATAGGGCTGAGGTCTCCCTGAATCCTGGCAAGGCATCCGTCTCAGTGGGCCAGTGGCCCCTAAACCAGTGGTTCCCGAAAATGGCTGCGAAACCGGTGTTGGCTGCTGCGTCTGTGTGGATGATGGGTGAAGAGGTGGAGAGAGGGGGGATAAACATGGAGATACCATTCCAGTCTTTCAAAAACTTCCCCCACATAGCTAAGTCAGCCTTGGCGTGGGGGTCCAAAGAAACTGTGCCGGAGTCCGGGACTCCGTGGAGCAGGCAAAGAAGTCTGGAAATGAAAGACCTTCCCTGCGGAATGATGCGCATGGCGAAGTTCAGAGATCCAAGAAGGGACTGAAGTTCTCTCCTGGTGCAAACGTCATTCCGCAGGAACGTGTCTATCTCCCCTCTCAATCGTGAAAGTTTGTCGTGTGGAAGGCTGGCTCTGAGTTTGACAGAATCGAGCTCTATGCCTAAAAAGGTCAACTTTGTTGTGGGTCCTATAGTTTTGGCTGGGGACAAAGGGACTCCCAGTGTGGAAAAAAGTGCGGTAGTACTATTGATTGCTGTGGGTGTTGATGACCCTGGCTCTATCAGTAGAAAGTCATCTAGATAGTGAATAACGGAGTGACACCTGATGACGTTCAGAAGCAGCCAGCATAGTGACTCTGCGAAAATGTCGAAAAGTTTGGGGCTGCTTCGAGAACCAAAAGTGAGTCGTGTTGAGAAGTAATAATACCCTCGCCATTTAACACCGTGTAAGTGCCAGAGTGAGGGGTGTATGGGCAGTAATTTAAAGGCGTTAGTGATGTCTGTTTTGCTGAGCCAGGGTCGATTACCAGATGTCATGATGGACTGTATGGCGTCGTCGATGGTGACGTACTGCAGAGAGAATTCGTCTGCTGGAATGAGTGCGTTTATGCTTGGAACAAAAGAGGAGTGCGGTGCCGATAAATCGATAATGAGACGTTTTTTATTAGAATATTTGTGAATAGCAATACCAATAGGGTTAGTGCGCCAGGAGGAAAACGGTGAAGAGGTGAAAGGACCGATCATGAAACCGTTTGTGGTTTCTGCGGAAATGAGAGTTTCTACAGCGACTGGGTCTAAACGTGCAGACTGGAGGTTAGGACATTCTAGTGTACCTGGGGGAATGGCTACTATGCCTGTGTGAAACCCTTGTGAGAAACCTGTGGTGAGAAAATCCACTAAGTGCCTGCTGGGGTGAGACCTTAGATAAAAAACCAGGTTGTCGATATTTATGTCGGTTAGTCATTTGTTTGGTGACAACCTGGCTGGACACATGGTCTTGGTATGTGCCCTGAAACATATGGAGCAGATGTGCAATAATCTACAGGCGCTGAAACTGCAGGAGCCTGCGTTGAAATTATTGCACACCTGTGCTTTACCTAAAAAGGAGATGGGCCTACCCAGCTTATCCCGGAGACCACCCGCTGGCTTGTTGTGAGGGGTGAAAGAGGAGTGAGGTGTGAACGTGGGGTGAGGGGTGGGAGTGGAGGTGGTGGGATCTGGTTCGACGGGACATAAGTCCGCCATGTGGGATGTAGAATTACAGATGGCACAAGCCGGGGGCCTGAGTCCAGCGAAGTGGCGACAGAAAAGTTCCGTGTCCATCTGACCCCAGTTCATTCTAATGTTGAACTGCTTGAGATGGGTCGCCGCCTTCGCTGAAACTGACTTGTGGTAGTCATAGAAGGAAGAGCCCCCGTACTTGATGCCTAGATCCACTACCTTGTGGAGATAGAGATCTAGCTCTTCTCTCCTATGGGGATACACCGTGCAAATGACGTCGCGGTATATCCAAAAGCTATCACAAACTGTGGGATAGACAATTTTTTATTAAGCCTGGGATCCCTCGTTTTGAGCACAACTGAAATGTCACCATAATTGTATGCCTTGTTCTCGAGTACATCCTGAGAGGCTATGAGTAAAGACACCAGACACACATCCTTCCCGTCTAGGATATCTTTCCTGATAGAATCTGGGACGGAGTGTGCTGGTGACTCGAAAGGTGTGATGGCTGTGCCAGGTGCTGGAGGGGGGAGTATAGAGGGACATGTAGGTATGGCAGGTACAGCCGTGGTAGAGACTGGGACTACGGTGTTAGTACCTGAGGAGGAGATGGCGCTCTCCACCTTAGACAGCCTGCTATTGAGGGTCTGTAGATTGGCCAAGATATCTGCCAGGGTATCCTGGGTGGCCATGCTGTTTCTTGGTGGTTGTCCTTGAGAGCTAGTTCCCGGCCGAGGCTCGGGGACTTGGTGGGTAAGCAGCCTGTAAAGTTCTGCCTTTCTAGCTGTGGCTGGAAAGGGGATACCCCTGAGCCTAAGCTCGGCCGTGATTTTGGGAATAGTCCATGCTCTCAAGGACGTGGGGGTTGAAAGAGTAAGTGATTCGCCTGGAGACACGGGTCTGATTGGCGTGAATGGTGTTTCTTCTATCAGTTCTTCGGTTGGAATTGGTTCTTGTGACATTCTAAAAAGGAATGATTATGTGAAAGATATATTAGAAGGGGAGTGAGGTAAGAAGGGGGGGGGTATGGGGAGTGGTGTGTCTGGAAGAACTGGACTTTAATGCTAGATGCCGAGGCGAAAAACTTAACTATTGAATGACTGGATAGGTGAGGCCCTGCTAATGCCAAGTGGCGGTGAGAGGCTCTACCTATGATTTGGCTTATGACGTAGGTGCCACAGACGTGGTGGCGGGATGTTGGCCTCTCGGTGACGATAAGAGAAATCAAAACGTGTGGCCGTGACAGGTGAGGCCCTAACTAGAGCCCTGTAGTAAGGCATGCGAGGCTTATAACTATGATTTGGGCGTGGGGCCGTACCTCCGTGTTGAGGTGGGGTGGGGGTGGTAGGCCTCGCGGGATCAGATTTCCTGATAGGGTGGGCTAAGGCATTAGCCTGTGCCGTATAGCCAGTTCGATTGTATGCTTAAGGGTAAAGTTAGAGGACTGGAGTGGTGTGTGGATACTAACCTTGACTGGTCGCAAATGGCATCTGGAGCCTCCTGATAAGTGTAGAGAGTCTTGTCTTAATGTTGTCTTTGAGGAAGAATCCTGGGGGTTTAAAACAGATGTTGATGTGTTTATACGTATCGTGATGTTGTATGAATAGTATTGGGAGAAGGTTTGTTAGGGGCACCACGTGAGATCCTGCATTGAGGGATCTGGGAGGTTAAGGTGTAGGAATGGGATGATTTTGGATATGAGTGAGAAGGCAGAATGAGGCCTTGGGGTAGCGAATGGACGTACTTGAGTAAGGACGTAAGTACCTGAAGGTATGGCTGAGTACCGGGTCAGGTTTTTGGTGTCTTCTGAGCCTGATGGCCGTATGACCGAAAGTCTGTGTAGACAAGTAGTAAAGAGATAACGTATCCTGGGCGTAAGCCTGAGGAAAGGTAGTAATGGAGTTGAGACCGCGTGAGGTCTAGTATTGAAAAGAGAGTGAACTATACCTTGGTTTTAAGTACAGAGATTGTTTAATCGTGGCAGGTTAACTGCGTAGAAACGGTGGAAGCTTAGATAAATACAGGATCTAAGGGTTTAACCAAGACAAATTCCATATTTAGCAATAGATGTGAAGATAATTGATAAAACCTGATAACTCAAGGTGATAATAAACCATACCTGTTCCTGTAATAAAAGGACCTTGAAATAACAACTTTATGCAGAAAAGCAAGAGACCGATGCAATCTGTAAAAGCCAAAATGTGACAGCGTGATTTATGTGCAAGGAATAGTACGGATTATGTGTAATGGGTATAACTTGTAAATAGTGTTTAAATGACTTATCTGAGTGTTATTTGGAAAGAATGGTATAGCTTGTATTTAGACACGTATGAAGTTATGAACCATGGTAAAACATTGTTTATTACAGAAAAATACTTTAAATGGTTTAACAAGGTAGGAAAACACAGGGCTGGTAGTTAACCAGATAATGTAACCAAAAACTGATATGAAGGAATAAATAATAGTAGGATAGTGTGATTAGAACTTATGCATGCTTAGCTTAAAAGAATAGAAATAACTGAATGTAAATTAGTAAGATGGTGTTCGTGAATTTTACCATACGAATAGTTTGGTGCTGAAATGACCGAACAGAAAAAGTGAATACAGATAGTAATGAGCTTAAACATGAAATATATATTCGGTTGTTTCCGTACGAAAATGCTTTAAATGATAGCGAAATGAGCCGAACGTTCGTGCGTTTTTTGGCGCGAATGGAGATATTAACGAAAAGCGTGTATTCGTGAAAATGCGAAAGAGGGAGCCTACCCCTACGTTTTTAGGCCCGAACGGCGGGGAAATAGCGAACGCTAATTCCCACGCCTTGCTTACGTGAACGCGCCGGTCTCGTGACCGGAAGTCGGGTACCTCGACCGGAGAGAAACGGAGTGGAAGGACCTCGGACGGACGGAGGATTGCACAGGGCGTCTGGCTGCTGGAAACAGGTACAGTTCTGGCGGGAAGCTGGACCAGAAGTGCTGGTTGCTAAGGACAATCAGCTGAGCGGCAGCGGTGAGTAGGGGCTGGGAGTTTAAGTAGGGGACTTACTCCTCCCACAAATTCAGGCCAAATAGCCTTTCTACATATATATACACACATATATATATATATATATATATATATATATATATATATATATATATATATATATATATATATATATATATATATATATATATATATATAGGAAAGACACTGTCAGCTAAACTAATGTGCCAGCATGAAACATTAGTTGGACTCAATTTGCTTAAAGACACATATGGGCGGAGGGGGAATCTCAGTACAAAATAACTTTTACCTAAGAACTCACGAAGCCAGCAACAAAAAGAAAATCAACAGTTATAAACACATAAAATCAAATATTTTAACAGGCTCAGGTAAGGGGCATTTCTGCTCCAGTTGTAGATCTACACTGGCCCAGTAGGTTGGTTAGAGGCTCGTGCAAGCTCCTCTCTCAGACGCAGTGACCCAAGAAAGGTCGGCGCCTCAGATAGGTGTGACAGCATGCATGTTTTGCTGCCCTTTTCTGCTAAAAGGCAATGTGGGCTCCACTTAAAAGGGATGGAATTGTCCCTGAGAATGTGGGTAACTCTCCTTAATGATAACTCCATATAATATGTCAGGAGAAGTCCCTGTAAAAAAATTAGCTTTGACGGTTTATAAATGGAGAGTTTCTGGTGGTCCCAATAAGGGCACCCCTGTCTGAGTCTCAAACATAGCTTTGGGGCATCTTATGGTGCTTTGTTGGTCTTAGGAAGCCAAAAGCAGGCATCTATTGCAGTTTGCTTGTCTTGTCTCGATGTCAGCATAGTAGAGCGGAGCCGGCTGATATAATGGGTTCCGCCAGGTATTTCTTGGTCTTTTTCTCAATCGGTTACCTCACCAATGTTGCTGTAAATACAATTGTCAATGTGCGGCTGCCTCACTTAGGTGCTGGTTAGGCCCAGTTTTTTGCTTTTTGAACCTAATGGGTGTTGTAGTCCACATGGCTTGTTTTTTTTTTTTCTCAAGGCATACTACACATTTACTTAGTGTGCTGTTTTGTTTAAGGGGCTCAGCGGAAAACAAATTGGTTTGGCTTGGTAAGAAAGCAACTTGATGTTCTCCAAATTCCTCCCACGTATATCCATATGCCACTTAGTTTGTGCATTCTCCTTTTACTTCCTGAAAATTCTATTCAATTTTTTATTTCCATGTCATAAGCTGCATTTGGCGGTATATGGATTCCATTTCATAAGCTGCATATATTTATATATTCATTTTTTTGAATTTTTTTTTAACAAGGGAGTAACAAAATGTAAAAATGATCTTTGTAATCAAAAACAAGAACTGACGAGCCATGGTTGCCAGGCCTGTGTTATTATTTTTATTATTATTATTGAGATAATATATGAAATTATACAATTATGTTTACGCTCTGGGTTAATAAGTGCATTACTGTAGTGCCCCTGGTGCAACCATACACACTACTTACCCTGGTAAGAATCTAAAAAAGAAATGTTGCAGGATTTACTTAATTAAAATTATTTAAATTTTGTCATTGTGCATATAACATGTAAAGTACCTTGGATAAATTATGTAGTTAAAAGAAATGTTAAAGGTGTCTAGGCACCACATCCACTAAATTCCGATGCAGCGGTCATTATGCTATTAGTCTGAGGGCACTGTCCCTCGGTTTTCAGTCAAACCATTTTATCGTAGTTTGACCGAATCTGGAGTTCCTTGATGTTATTGGAGCATGCTCACCAGAATATTTTTCTGCATTAGCAATATCAATTTCATCAGTATTTGGAAGACACTGATTGGCTAGTGCTTAGATTATCCCAATAAGCCTCTGTGTGTGTTTATGTAATGCGTGTATGAAGTGTCTGGATGTTGTAATTATATAGTTTTGTATGTGTCTGTGCGTTTGACTGGCTTTTAATGCATAATGCCTGTAAAAGTGTGTTTGTGCATATGTATAATAATAGTTGTGCAGACTCGCCTTCCAGCTAGGCCAGTCCGATCCTCCTACATGGAAATCATATTTTTATCCTCTGAAAGTAAGTAGTCAAACAGTGATCATAGTCCTGTTTTCGGACATTAGCACTATTCACATTTATTTTCAAAGAATAATTTTCTCTTTTTTTTTTTCTTTGGTAGTGCCTCGCAAGGACTACCGATTGATGCTATTCAATGGGACATCTCAAGACTCCCTCTGAGGAGCTCCTCTGTGGATGTGATTGTTACAGACATGCCATTCGGTAAAAGGTAAGACAATCCGTTACAGGCCTCTCAAACTAGGATATTCACTGTTTCAATTAACAAATTAACAAACAACTGGCATTGTAGGCCAAAAACACAACATTTTCTATCCCAGGCAATTCTAAACATGAAAGTTGAGCTTGTAAAAAAGAACATTTTACATTGGACAAATAGTCCCAGAAGATTGGAAGTTGGCGAATGATGTGCCCATTCACAAGAAAGGTAGTAGGGAGGATTCGGGCAGTAAGTATTATAGGCCAGTAAGCCTTACTTCAGTAGTGGGGAAAGTAATGGAAACCATGTTAAAGGATCGGATTGTTGAACATCTAAAAACACATGGATTTCAAGATTAGAGACAACATGGGTTTACATCAGGGAGATCACGCCAAACTGATCTTATTGATTTTTTCTTTTTTGGGGGGGTGGGGGGGGTAACTAAAATAATATATCCGAGTGGTGCAATAGACATTGCTTACCTAGATTTCAGTAAGGCTTTTGACACTGTTGCACATAGAAGGCTCATCAATAAACTGCAATATTTAAGTTTGGATTCCAATATTGTTGAATGGGTAAGGCAGTGGCTGAGTGACAGGCAACAGCGGGTTGTAGTCAATGGAGTATATTTGAAGCTTGGGCTTGTCACCAGTGGGGTACCTCAGGGATCTGTAATTGGACCCATTCTCTTATAAGTTTTTATTAGTGGTATTGCAGAAGGTCTTCATGGTAAGGTATGTCTTTTTGCTGATGATACTAAGATATGTAACAGGGTTGATGTTCCAGGAGGGATAAGCCAAATGGCAAATGATTTAGGTAAAACTAGAAAAATGGTCAGAATTGTGGCAACTGACATGTAATGTGGATAAGTGCAAGATAATGCATCTTGGACGTAAAAACACAAGGGCAGAGTACAGAATATTTGATAGAGTCCTAACCTCAACATCTGAGGAAAGGGATTTAGGGGTGATTATAGCTGATGACTTAAAGGTAGGCAGACAATGTAATAGAGCAGCAGGAAATGCTAGCAGAATGATTGGTTTTATAGGGAGAGTTATTAGCAGTAGAAAGAGGGAAGTGCTCATGCCATTGTACAGAACACTGGTGAGACCTTACTTAGAGTATTGTAATCAGTACTGGAGACCGTATCTCCAGAAGGATATTGATACTTTAGAGAGAGTTCAGAGAAGGGCTACTAAACTGGTTCATGGATTGCGGGATGAAACTTGCAAGTAAAGGTTAAAGGAACTTAACATGTATAGCTTGGAGGAAAGACGAGACAGGGGGGATACGATAGAAACCTTTAAATACATAAAGGGAATCAACAAAGTAAAGGAGAAGACTATATTTAAAAGAAGAAAAACTACCACAACAAGAGGACATAGTCTTAAATTAGAGGGACAAAGGTTTAAAAATAATATCCGGAAGTATTACTTTACTGAGAGGATAGTGTTTGCATGGAATAGCCTTCCAGCTGAAGTGGTAGAGGTTAATACAGTAAAGGAGTTTAAGCATGTGTGGGATATGTATCAAGCTATCCTAACTAAGATAAGGCCAGGGACTAATAAAATTATTTAAAATATTGGGCAGACTAGATGGGCCGAATGGTTCTTATCTGCCGTCACATTCTATGTTTCTAAGTAGTAAATGAGTTTCGTGATTTTATAGATCGATATACATAACATTGTGATATTAAATACTAAAGGTAAATAGGATTGTAAAGAAGAGGAGTAAAAGAGAAATCAGAGGGGGTTAGAAAAGAAAAATACACATAAGAATTGAATGGACTTGAACCCTCATAACCTAAGATATATTTTAAGTATTGAGAGGGTTACACAATTATGCATCAAAGTTTATTGAAAACGCGTATGAGTATCCTGGATGAGGCTGCAAGGTAGTGCATTGTAATTGTTTATAAGGACACTCCAGTCCCCTAAAGCACTTTGAATTGCTTGTCCACACAGGCTTATGCTATTAAAGCTCAGATTTTAAGAGAAATCTGCACTTTTACCAATGACCTTAGTAAAGCCTCTTAGCTGTTAACCTGCTTTGAAACCATTGTTCAAAGTGTAATTGAGTGCTTCGGATAGGCAGAGTGCACCTTAGGTCCTCAGTGGGAAAATAAATCTAAGGGGGGGTGGGGCAGGGCCGCCGAGCTGAGCGGCTGCAACCCACGCCGGCTCCGGCAGAGCAAAGCATAAAACAGCCTGAAACTCTTAAAAAACGCACGATACCTGCCGAAAACCGAAACCATAGAGGAAATCAGGCGCAGAGGAACCGGGGAGTGCAACACTAGAGCACATATTGACCACCCGGCTCACAAAACGACACCTGAGGCCTCAACCACGCTACAGGAGACGGACCCACGGCGCGCAAGTAAGGCGCGGGAGACCTGGCCCGACCCTGCTCCCCCCCCCCACCTGGCCGGGGGGGTGATCCCGGCCCAAAGTCTGAACTTCGGAGGCTGGAGGAGGAGGCACGCCCGGTGCACGACACTCCCGTATGCGGAGCTACAATGGCCGACGGATACACAGTACTCACACAGCATCACGGGGCGACACACACGCAGCAGAGACCCCACGCTGAGATACCGGGACCCCCGGGACGGCGAACCCACGACTGGACCCCCATGGGCGGCGGACGAGTCGATGGAGAGCCGGCCCTGAACCCCGGATTGGGTGGTGGTCCGGGAGAAAATAGCCCCCAACTCTGTGAGCCCGATGGAGCTGAGAAGCGTGGGCCCGCCGGCGGACCGGTGGCCGGAGGGCACACGCCGGCAACACGTAAGTGGCCGGGGGAGGATGAGGCAAGACAGGGCTGGGGCCCCAGGGAGGCCCTGCTGAAGCTGGGGAGGTGCAGGAGGCGGGAGCCCGGCAGACTCTAAGGTGGGGAGGCCGCCGGACAGCCCCGGTCTCCAAGTGCCCACAGCGGGGGGGGGGGTGCCCCCTAAAGACATGGAATCACACCTTGGGCTGGAAAAGGAAGGGGACTGTCACACCCGGAGGAACCGGAGAGTCTCAAGGGGGGTACAGCTGACCCACCAGGTGAAGTACCATTCAGAGGTAGCCATGGGGAGGACATGTCAGAGGGAACAAAAGCTACGAAGAAGGCTATCAATTTCGCATCCGAAGGCTTCCTCGTGTCGGGCGCCATTACGCCCCCTCCAGCGAAGTGACTTATATGCTAAAAGTTTAAATCTGTTTTGCTAGGATTAACCACGCTAATGTTACCTTGTGCATAAGCCGTTGTACATAAGATATACTCTTTTGCATAGACCCAGCTTAAGATACACCTTGTTTCTATGGTTTCTTGCTTTGCATTGCCCCCTGAGGCGTTTGTTCACTGATGTTGCCTAATGTTTATTACACTATAACCTGTATAAAGCTTGCCCATAGCGAAGACCTGCTTCGATTAAATACCTGAGCTACATGGGCGCAAAATAGTTATGTTTTATCACCTGCATTGCCGTTACTCATATGACTGCCTGCACCGAAGTTGCTCTTATTACCTTAGGGTGACACTGCATATGTTGGCGCACCCGGGTGCTAGTTACTGTTGCACTGAGCACTGCCATTTATAGGCTCTACGCTACCTCTAAGTCTCATCTGGGAACAAAGGCATGAGGGGAGGCACGAGACACACTTCTAAGCAGCGATAGCTTCCACCTCAAGCAGCCAGCTATCCTCACGTAATTATCCCCCCTCCCCCCCCAACATTATTTACTCACATTTTTATTCATATACCCATTTTTTATATATATACTTTTTTATTTATTTTTTTTTCACATACGTCCCGGCCGCACGTGCATGGACCAAGGTCCCTGGGATCCATGAGAGGACTCAGTCAGGGATCTTCACGTAGGGCCCTATCCCTCAGGCCCCCTTATGCTCGGGGGCACCACCCCTCTTTTATTATTATTTTACTCTATCTGGCGCACAGAACTTAACTATCACAAGAGCTACTTAAGCCCTGTACCCGCTCTCCCACATATAAATGGCTCAATGTACACAGCTGTAATCCAACATATCAAGTTAGTCCTTCGTGTCACTCTTTTTACTAAGCAATACACTGTATAATGGTTAACATGTACGACTCCTTACACTGTAGCGTGTATGCAATATGCTTCCACAATGTTGTCCACTCCTCTTAAATTACTATAAGTGCACTGTCTATGTTTCTTGAGTAACGAATGCAACAAACGCCCACTACTCAATCCCATGCAAAGCTAAACCTAGCCTGTATAACCCAGCTTGCCTTGCAACATAAAAAGCTTGATCATCAATGGTATGTTTAATCTTCGCATGTCGATCTACAATAGGCACCTATCTCTTGTTAGCAACCTGACCTAGCTATGTTTGTTTAGCCTGTTCATTGTCTACTTTAAAAATGTGCAGAATTATCGCACGCTATGTACAGAACCAACTGTTTGCATTACCAGGCTTGTCGTTGCTGTCGTGGCAATACAAGTTAAAATGTATTCTACTAAATGCACAACAAAATAAAGTATTGACTGAATTATAAAAAAGAAATCTTAGGATTGGACAAAGATAATCAGTAATAATGATTTTACTGTGGGAGGGGCTGGAGAGTTTAGATTCAAGCTGTGGAAAATGTTTTAAATAGTTTTTATTTTTTTTAAATTAAAAAATTGAGGGAGAGGGTCCTCAATCTAAAATAAAATAAGGAATACTCAAAGGTTGATAATATAGTTATTTTTATAGTTAAGTATTCTTTTAATAGTCAAAATGGTCAGTGCATTACAGGTGTTTTAGTCTTCTAACACTAGCCAGCCTGTTCTGTGTTTTTTTTGTTTGTTTTTTTTGCTGATATAATTTTTTTTCTTTAGAAAAGCTTGCAAGGTTTGCAACCCATGTAAGACATAAACAGAATACAAATATAGTGAGCTAAGTGTTAACATCAAACAAGTATAGAGATGTAAGAAAAGCGAAAAGAATGATAGTGGAAGAGAGAGGTAAAAAACTTGGTTTTAAATTGCAGTGAATGCTTATCCCCTTAAGGACACATGACGGAAATATTCCGTCATGATTCCCTTTTATTCCAGAAGTTGTATTCTTAAGGGGTAAAGTTCAATGATACTGGAACCAAAATATTATTGAAACACTTCAGGCTCCATAACTACTTGCGTTATCTACATGGGTTATGGTACAAAAATATGTCTGCCCACAATGTGATGTGATCTATACTGCATCATTGTGCATGCAAGTTCTCAAGTAGTTTCGTTCATTTCACTGGTTTGAAGATTGGCTGACAAATCTAATGCAATTCTTAGACCCTGCAGAAGCTGCTGATATGGGTTAAACTATGGTAATTAAGGGGTGAAAATCACCAGTCTGGGTGTCTTTGTAACGGAAGGTTTATGAAAATTTAAATTCAAGTTGTTCAATCATGAGAAGTGCAGTCAGCAATCAGACGTCCTCAGACTTAGCAAACATATAATCAGGAACACAGATACTGCCTGTTATTTAGCAGTAGTATTAAAAAGGTTTGTGTGAAAGGCAAAAGGACGTTAAACAGTTGGCAAGATCAAACGTGGATGTAGTGGGTCAATGTTTGTGATATGCAAATTTTAAAGGAAGACAAGCTTATGCTATGCCAGTAGGTAACTACCTACTGTCTGGGGTACCTGTCACTATCTTGTTCCTACTCCCCTTTTCATTTTCAAGTAAAGAGAAATGTGAGTAAAAATACATTGAAAACTCCACATTCACATTCTGTCAGCTGTATTCATTCAGTACCTATAGCACATTCTTGCTGTTCTCTGATTTCACCACTCATAGCTTTGTCATAAGACCCACAGCAGTCACACACCAAACTCCTAGCAATCGCAGCCTACGTAAAGCATTGCCCACAACACTTGCAGACTTCCGGCTGCTCACTGCCCTCAGCATTCACACATGCTTACAGCATATATTCCCTTCCCACTGCAATCCGCAACTACACACAGCATTCACATACTAGCTGTAGCATTCAACGCTACACAATTCCACAGATTATCCACATTTAAACCGAACATTCACAAATTAACCATAGCATTAAATGTGGCCTTGGCTATGAGTGGAGAGACCGTAAGTGGATAATAAATGGTGTAAGTGCCTTTAGGAAGCATTCAGAGAAGTTTACATGTTCCAGAGTGTTGCAGTAGAACAACCAGTGATGACCCTAAAGAATCATAGAGCTGTTGAGCAGTGTAAATCTGTACAACATCTTGTGTGATTCTCCATCTGATACCAGATCATTTGTGATGTAAATCAAAACATGCCTTTATCGAGGGGTTAAATGTGACTTTCATTTCAGGTTCTTTTTTTCTCCCTCTTTTGTTTTCAGAATAGGATCAAAGAAAAAGAACTGGGACTTGTATCCTGCCTGTCTGAAAGAGATGAGCCGTGTGTGCAGGGCAGGTACAGGGAGAGCCGTACTGCTTACTCATGACAGGAAATGCTTTGTCAAGGTACAATAACCCGGGATCTGATTGTCATCTAAACTTGAAAGGATCAGTAACGCCTGAACATTATTTATTACTGGCATTTATAAAGCGCCAACATATTCTGCAGCGCTATACAATTAGGAAAAACACAAACACGATAAGAACAGACCAATACAACACAGAGGACCTTGCCCGTGAGCTTGCAATCTAAAGGTTAAAATGGGGAGATATGACAAGTGGTAGCAGTGGAATTTGTATGTGATGGCAGAGATAATTAATAGTATAACTGCAGCAGCTGAGAACTCGTGAAGTGTTTACCCATTGTGATGGACTCCAAACCAGCATTGGAAAAATACGTCACATCTCAATATAGTTTCAAAGTCCGATATAAACTTTCTATCTCCTAGTTGTGTAGGTTCCATGAATGCCTGAGTTGTCTAATAGATAAAATAAATTAGGTGCAGGCACTCAGGATTGCTGCAGGAAGGCAGGTTTATTGGAACAAAAAGTGCAACGTTTTGGCTTACACAGAGGCCTTTATCAAGCAATCACCTCCGTGTTACAGTACACTATTTAAAGGGTGTCAAGCATAGCCACAATAAACAAATTATGTGCAAAATTAATCTATTAAAAAAAGTTAAATACATAAGTTGTCTAATGCAGATTAGGCCGATTTATAAAATGTAATATACTCACAATCACATGTTGCCTTTGGCTTGGGAAAGGTTTAATGCGTTCTTAAGGCATGTAATTATAAAAAGTCACCCAACTGACCAGGATTAGGAGTCCTTTTCTTTAAGTCATCCCAGAATCACGTTTACAGTAGCAGGTGCAGACATACACAGAGTAAATGCATTTTTACAAATGGTCAAAAAAATACATTAGCATTACGTGAAAACTTAAAGGACCACTGTAGTGCCAGGAAAACACTTGTTTTCCTGGCACTATAGTGCCCTGAGGGTGCCCCCACCCTCAGGGACCCCCTCCCGCCCGGCTCTGGAAGTGGAAAAGGGGTTTAAACTTGCCTTTTTCCAGCGCTGGGCGGAGAGCTCTCCTCCGTTCCGCCCCGTCGGCTGAATGCGCACGCGCGGCAAGAGCTGCGCGCGCATTCAGCCCGTCGCATAGGAAAGCATTTACAATGCTTTCCTATGGACGCTTGCGTGCTCTCACCGTGAAAATCACAGTGAGAAGCACGCAAGCGCCTCTAGTGGCTGTCAATGAGACAGCCACTAGAGGATTAGGGGGAAGGCTTAACCCATTAATAAACATAACAGTTTCTCTGAAACTGCTATGTTTATAAAACAATGGGTTAACCCTAGAAGGACCTGGCACCCAGACCACTTCATTAAGCTGAAGTGGTCTGGGTGCCTACAGTGGTCCTTTAATTTCAACAAATAAAAGGCACATTACAGTGCATAGAAATACAGCATTGGGAAAACCTTGCATTGTTTGATTTCTAAACTGAAATACATAAGTATGACATTTGAGAATTTTCCAGTTGTGTCTTTTTGGAGGCATACATAAACTAAATTGTGAGCTCCGTATTATTCCAGAGTAAAATAGATTTTATTGTGTGTTCTCTTGCAGGCCCTGGCTAAAGCTGCACACACGTGGAAGAAAATTCACACTGTCTGGGTTAATATTGGAGGACTTCATGCTGGAGTCTACCTCCTCCAAAGGACTGCCCTTGACGCAAGTGAATGCACCACAGACAAGCCGAAGGAGAATCTGAATGAATGCCCTGTTTCACACTGCAAGGAGGAAGAGCCACCTGCACCTTCAGACACGATCTAAAACCACTAGAGAAAATCCCCACTGCTTGAAGCTCTAGCCACATGCTCAGGTGTTAATAAATGTTACGTTGGGTTTTTACTCCTCTGAGTTCTAGCGGAATGCAGCCATTTCTGGCACTGAGTGGCTTCTCTTTGACGGTTTTTAGGGTTTATTGGTTTTGCTACAAATCTCTTCTTTATTTCCCTTGCGTTGTTGGATGGTATGTTACATGTTATGTATTTTATGTGTTTCACTGAGATGCAATACTGCTGTAAGAGTGTTATACCTCTAGTTAGCTTAGGTTGCTGCTCTGAGCTGGTAGCCAGTTTGCCATTTAAATAAAAAGTTAAAGAAGTTAATAATGCGATTGAACTATGCATTGAAAACCCAATATCATGTGTTATGATCCTTTTAGTTATTGTTATTTGTAAAGCGCCATCAAATTCCATAGAGCTGTACAATGGGTGGAATAAGAGACACGTAAAACCAGACAAATGGACGTAGAGGAACAGAGGGGTTGAGGGCCCTGCTCAATGAGCTTACATGCTAGAGGGACTGGGGTATGGTGACACAAAAGGTATAAGTAGGGGTAATGAAATAGGCTGCTAGAATAGTATTAGGTGATTTTTGGCAGTTGCAAGAGAGGAGTCATGGGGGGTGGGGGGAGATGAATGAAAACCCGCTAACAGTTTAAATTATATGCTTTCCTGAAGAAGTGTGTTTTTAAAGGTTTTTTTGAAGGAGTGAAAGTCTAATGGAGAAGGTAAGGGATTTCCACAGAAAATGTGCTGCCCTGGAGAAGTCTTGGAGGCGAGCATCAGATGTGGGTGTACGGACAGAGGATTGACGTAGTTGTATATGTACTTCCATACTTTTTAAATTGATGCAGAAGGAATTCTCACCTAACGACAAGAGCTCACGATTAGTGACCGCTATCTGTATGGTTACCTCTTGAACAGGGCTTGGCAAAAGGAAGCTCTCCAGATGTTCTAAAAAATACAACTACCATGATACTCTTCCAGCCTTATGAATGCCAAAAGCATTATGGAAGTTGCAGTACTACATCATCAGGGGATCTTCTTTCCCATCCCTATTCTGGAAAATTGGTTAAACTCAACAGAACAGGAAACATAAGTATATGTACTGTGTTAAACTGAAAATTGTTGCTTTCAGAGGGTTAACCCGTGCCCCTTGATTAGTGACCTACTTACTTGAATGCAGCCCAACGGCTCTGAATATTAATACTTGGGTGTCCTCGGCTAATTAATCAGCAGAACTACCAGACAGTAGGCATTTGTCTAAAAAGATTTACTTACAGTCCTCAATTCTTCATCACTGTGTACAGGGTTTGTATGTGGAAACGAATTTTCAGTTAGACATAGGGTATAGATATGAAGTTAACTTATGAATCTACTGTAAATTAAAGTATTTCAGAAATTGTACTTCCAGAATCACTGCTATTAGGTCCTCAGAGTGGTTAAAAGACTATGGGGAAAGCTGGAAAAGCTTCATGGTCATTGTTCTAACCATAAACATTCTGATTGAAGTGGACTCACTGAATAGATTAGAAGTGATGCCTTCTAACGTATTATGACATCACTAAAGTACAGGAAAGTTTACCTATTAAGTCACAGAGCAAGGAATGAATTGTAAATCCCGAACAACAGCGTAACATTAAAGGGATTAAAATGAACACTGTGATCAACATTTTGTAATACCCTAACTATTATCTGTTAAAATATACCATATCATTATTTGTTTTAATTAATATGTATTGGCATTTTTTAAATAATTTGCCTACATTTCCCACTTTCTAACAGTCAGCCTTATGCACCTTCATTCGCATTGTCCAATTACCTGTTTCAATCCTCACTATTTTGCAAAGCATCTGTAGCTTTTAAAAATCGTGTGCTGTTTCTACCAGCAGCATTTTCTGTCACTCCAGTTTTGAAAGGCAACAACAGATCGTTGCAAAATAGTGAGCACTAGGTCATAAATAAAAAAACAAAATGTCAAAATACATGAATAAAAAAAAAAAAGAGATGGTATATTATAACATAAAGATTGTATTAAATTACTTAAGACAATTATCATTACACAATGAGCAAACATTTAGACCAAAATAGCTGCTCTGAAAAAACTGAGCTACAGCTACAGTTTGGTAATGTTAGCTTGAAGTTTTAATTGTTTAGTACAAATACCCTAAAACTGGAGGAGGAGGAGGGAGGGCGAAAGAAAGAGACAGATGTATAAACACCAATATAAGAATATGTGTAAATATTTTGTGCTTTAAAATAAATGTCACCTTATTATTGTTCATCCTCTTATTAAGGGTTGGTAACGAGATACAATACTCCATATCATGTAATATTATTTATGTAACCCACCTTCAGTAGCCATTTACTCACACGGCATATTATTTTTAAATCTTGGATCCATAAATGTAACTTTTTCTTTATAGACCTCATTTCTCATCATGCACATTAAGCCAACCGGATAAATGAGCAGCAAGGGAAATGAAGCCCAAAACATGTGGCTAACTTTTATAACTGCAGATGGTGGTGGTTTTGTTTCTTAAAATATTTGTTGACCGGATAGTTGCTTGAGCATGATGATAAAAAATAATAATTCTACGGCAGCTATACCTTAGTTTCCATGACATCCATAGCAGAATGAATACATTTCCGATAATAGCTACATAAATATATTATTACAAGATGCAGACCACTTAGTGGTCCTAATTGTAAACCTATTAATTGTTATCTGAATATAAAAGTTGTGCAACAGCAAGCTGTGCAGTGTGTATCAAATGCCAACATTTCAGTCCTCCTGAGGAAAGTCAAGGTGGGCTGCAAAGTTTGCTTAATCACAATATTTAATATACGTGACCTATAAACTAAAAAGAAAATTAATCCAGAAGAATTACATTTTGTATGTCTCCAATATTTTAGTGCTGGCTTCTAGAATAATTTGTCAAGCACAAAAACTGTAGAGATATGTTTTCAGTACAATGTAACAGAGGTTCTTCAGTGACCAAGCAAGCCAATTAATAACAGAACTTTGGCTTTGTGTATGCTTGGAATTTAGCTGTCCATTGAAGAACCGATATAGGACTGCTTAGCTTTCTGTGCCCTGCAAAATGCTTTCTTCCTAGTGATTTCTACTACCTTGCAAACACAAATTCAGAATATTTACATAATGTTCCTGAATACTTGATCTTTTACTTGCCTACTCCTAATTGGGCCATGAAAGTAGAGGGACAGACATGGCAGTACTACTTTACCCAAATCAGGACAAAAACTGACTGGCTGACAGTGTCTACTAACATGTCAGCGAACCACTGCTGTCCAAATTGGCATTACTAATGGGAAATTGTAACGAATGCCTTGGCAGTCTGGCAAGCTAAGGGAGGATTGTAAGAGACTTTAGTTTATGCCACACTGCTCAAAAATGGGTTGTCACAAAACCAGAATATGGTGCCAGTAGCCTGCTAGCAACTATAACCTTTACAATAGCCTGCAGTAGTTATAGCACTCAAGTTATGTCTGATGATGGGCCATGCCCCTGAGCAGACAACTCTGGCCTAAATAATGTATTGAGACAGACCTGCAGCTTTAGGAATACGCCATACTATGGTCTCTCAGCACCAGGCACTCCAACAGCAGTTACAAACTTCATAGTAACAAACATAGTAACTGTATAAAGTGGTTTATGTAGTATATCTCGTGCTTATTCCCCTGCTGATGGACAGTCTCGTCATTTATTTCAATACGTCCCTATTTTAAATAAATAAATGTATAATTGTGTCCCCTTTTTTCCTGTATTGACCCTAATCACAGCTACCGGGGTCAGAAAATTGGGTGTAACAAAGTGGCAGCCACGAGAGGTGTGGCAATATGGCCGCCAAGCGAATCGAGGTGTAGCAATATGGCCGCCAAGCGAATCGAGGTGTAGCAATATGGACGGTAACAGCACGTCAAGCATGTTAGCCAGCTGTCTTGCGCCACCTGGCGGTCGAGCCGCTGGTTACAAGGCGGCAGGCTGTAGCACTAGCTGTATGGGCCTAGCACGGTGGGAAGCCTCAGGATGCCGGAGGAGAACTTGTCCCAGCTCCCGGTCCCCCGGCTCTGCTCTCGCAACAGCCGCATCCCGACAAATGTCATTTTCGTTAACCTGACTCCGCGCACCGTGAAACCGATCTGGATCAACTTCCAGGGCGAACCTCAGGCCTACCCCAGCCTGCGACCACATACCGGCCGCAGAATGATCACCTACCTGGGTAACTAGGACGGAGAATAGCGCCACCCAGAGCCGGGAGAGAATAGCCCTAGAGCCGGGAGGGAGGATAGCGAGCCGGGAGGGAGGATAGCCCCCAGAGCCGGGAGAGGAGAGATAGCGCCACCCGGAGCCGGGCTGGAGGGAGGATAGCGCCACCTAGAGCCGGGCTGGAGGGAGGATAGCGCCGGGAGGGAGAGAGAGCGCCACCCAGAGCCGGCTGAGGGAGAATAATAGCGCCACCCAGAGCCGGGAGAGAGAATAGCGCCACCCAGAGCCGGGCTGGAGGGAGGATAGCGCCACCCAGAGCCGGGCTGGAGGGAGGATAGCGCCACCCAGAGCCGGGAGAGAGAATAGCGCCACCCAGAGCCGGGCTGGAGGGAGAATAGCGCCACCCAGAGCCGGGCTGGAGGGAGAATAGCGCCACCCAGAGCCGGGCTGGAGGGAGGATAGCGGCACCCAGAGCCGGGAGGGAGGATAGCGCCACCCAGAGCCGGGAGGGAGGATAGCGCCACCCAGAGCAGGGAGGGAGGGAGGATAGCGGGCACCCAGAGCCGGGAGGGAGGATAGCGAGCACCCAGAGCTGGGAGGGAGGGAGAATAGCGCCACCCAGAGCTGGGAGGGAGGATAGCGGGCACCCAGAGCCGGGAGGGAGGATAGCGCCACCCAGAGCTGGGACGGAGGGAGGATAGCGCCACCCAGAGCCGGGCTGGAGGGAGGATAGCGGGCACCCAGAGCCTGGCTGGAGGGAGGATAGCGCCACCCAGAGCCAGGAGAGAGGGAGAATAGCGCCACCCAGAGCCGGGAGGGAGGATAGCGGGCACCCAGAGCCGGGAGGGAGGATAGCGGCCACCCAGAGCTGGAAGGGAGGGAGGATAGCGGGCACCCAGAGCTGGGAGGGAGGATAGCGAGCACCCAGAGCTGGGAGGGAGGGAGAATAGCGCCACCCAGAGCCGGGAGGGAGGGAGGATAGCGGGCACCCAGAGCCGGGAGGGAGGATAACGCCACCCAGAGCTGGGACGGAGGGAGGATAGCGCCACCCAGAGCCGGGCTGGAGGGAGGATAGCGCCACCCAGAGCCGGGAGAGAGGGAGAATAGCGCCACCCAGAGCCGGGAGGGAGGATAGCGGGCACCCAGAGCCGGGAGGGAGGATAGCGGGCACCCAGAGCCGGAAGGGAGGGAGGATAGCGGGCACCCAGAGCCGGGAGGGAGGGAGGATAGCGGGCACCCCGAGCCGGGAGGGAGGGAGGATAGCGGGCACCCCGAGCCGGGAGGGAGGGAGGATAGCAGGCATCCAGAGCTGGACTGGGAGGGAGGATAGCGGGCACCCAGAGCTGGGCTGGGAGGATAGCGGGCACCCAGAGCTGGGAGGGAGGATAGCGGGCACCCAGAGCTGGGCTGGGAGGATAGCGGGCACCCAGAGCTGGGAGGGAGGATAGCAGGCATCCAGAGCTGGACTGGGAGGGAGGATAGCGGGCATCCAGAGCTGGACTGGGAGGGAGGATAGCGGGCATCCAGAGCTGGGCTGGGAGGGAGGATAGTGGGCACCCAGAGCTGGGCTGGGAAGATAGCGGGCATCCAGGGCTGGGCTGGGAGGGAGGATAGCGGGCACCCAGAGCTGAGCTGGGAGGGAGGATAGCGGGCACCCAGAGCTGGGCTGGGAGGATAGCGGGCACCCAGAGCTGGGAGGGAGGATAGCGGGCATCCAGAGCTGGGCTGGGAGGGAGGATAGCGGGCACCCTGGGCTGGGAGGGAGGATAGCGGGCACCCAGAGCTGGGCTGGGAGGATAGCGGGCGTCCAGGGCTGGGCGGGGAGGATAGTGGGCACCCAGAGTTCACAGGGTTTTCACTAAACAATACATTTTAACTAAATAATTCCGAATGGCAAAACAGAGGCACACAGTGAGAATTCAAAGTCAATTTCAAATTTAAAATGGATCTCCACTGATAATCATAAAACATATGCAAAATGTATGAATAAAGAATTTATTTAAAAAAAAAAATGGATGCTATAGGCACCCAGATCACTTCATCTCATTGAAGTGTGCTGTGACCCTATTCCTTTAGGCCGTAAAACATTGCTGTCTTTGGGAAACTGCAATACTTACAGTGCAGTACTACTACTACTAATAATAATAAGACTGCCTATAGTGGCTGTCTACCAGACAGCCGCTAGAGGCGCTTGCATTGTCACGGAGTTTGACTCCATGAAACAATGCTGGATGTCTTCACACTTTGCAACGTCTAGAAAATCCGCATAAGAAAGCATTGAGTCGTTGCTTTCCTCAGTGCGTGCATGACACTCACCACACATGTTGTTGGCAGAAGAGGAGCGCGGCCCAGTGCAGAGGGACATCGGCACCTAGAGTGCCACCTGAAGCTTTACAAAGCAGATGTAAAGGGGACAGAGCAATCCTGCGCTGGAGCACAGACTTTGGGTTTAAAGTGTTTGTGAACGATTTTACATTTCTCAACCAAAGCCTGCACCAGGGTCCTCTTGGTACCTTAAAGGAACACTATAGTCACCTAAGTTACTTTAGCTAAATAAAGCAGTTTTAGTGTATAGATCATTCCCCTGCAATTTCACTGCTCAATTCACTGTCATTTAGGAGTTAAATCACTTTGTTTCTGTTTATGTAGCCCTAGCCACACCTCCCCTGACTATGATTGACAGAGCCTGCATGAAAAAAAAAACTGGTTTCACTTTCAAACAGATGTAATTTACCTTAAATAATTGTATCTCAATCTCTAAATTGAACTTTAATCACATACAGGAGGCTCTTGCAGGGTCTAGCAAGCTATTAACATAGCAGGGGATAAGAAAATCTTAATTAAACAGAACTTGCAATAAAGAAAGCCTAAATAGGGCTCTCTTTACAGGAAGTGTTTATGGAAGGTTGTGCAAGTCACATGCAGGGAGGTGTGACTAGGGTTCATAAACAAAGGGATTTAACTCCTAAATGGCAGAGGATTGAGCAGTGAGGCTGCAGGGGCATGTTCTATACACCAAAACTGCTTCATTAAGCTAAAGTTGTTCAGGTGACTATAGTGTCCCTTTAACTTAATTTTGTCCTCAAGTGAATACTATAGCATTAGGATTACAAATACAAATTCCTAACACTATAGTGTCCTGTAGCTGTTTAGGTTAACCCCCCCATTTCCTACCAGTGGATGAAGAATTGTGCTTTTTCCATGCTAGTCCTTACTCCTTGGCTGAGATTATCAATCTTGATGATCTCAGTCAATCCAATGCTTTCCCATAGGAAACCATTGAAAGGCTAGTTTGTAAGCTTGTTAGAACAACAATGTTTTTTACACTGCAGGATTAGAACATGAAACTCAGACAAAGATGATGTGGTATGGGATTCTATAGTGTCCCTTTAAAGGGTTTAACCACTGTTGGTTTGTTAACCATTTCCTGTTTTCCAGATCATTTCTGGCTTTTCCGAGACCTTGAAACTGATGTTGGACTGTTGGCTAACAAGCAGGAAATGTACTTCCCTGTCGAAGGCAATAATGTGCAGCCAATTTTTGTAAACATCAGTTCTCCAGGTAAGACAAAAATGCATTGTGATATAAATGGCTGCTGGTAATTTCCCACAAACTACAGGAGTTGTAGTTAAATTAAAGCTGAAAATAAGATAAACTGTGTCTACTGTGTGAGGAATTGAAAGTGAATCGTTTGTAAGGGGAAGTAACTTGGGAGAAATAACATTTTATTTTGAAGCTTTTTTTAAAAGCAGTTCTGTCACTGGTGGGGTCTTTATGGAACGATCCACAGGTACGGTTTCGGCTTGCATGTTGGTTTTCAGGGGGAGAGTGAAATGGAGGTATTTTTACCAAAACTCCAACAATTTGCTTCATGTTTTCAGCTGAGCTTAAAGCCTGGAAAAATTAGTAACTGTGAATGTGCTCCACAACTCCGATTGAGTACCACTGTGTGGATTTAATCACATTACCCCCAACTAACACAATCGGTTCCTTGCTGTTCCCTCATAATTCTCGAGGAACAGCACACAAAGTGTCTGCCAGAGCCCCCTTACCTTGGACCGTACCCCACATAATATATGCCTGAAAGGCTTGTTACCATGGCACTTCCTATCCAAATAGCACCCTGATCAAAGAATCTGTGCTCGAGTTGCAGCGTGTTAAAGTTTTACCACGTTGCAGCTATTCCCCCGATATGGGAACAAGTTCCAGGCATGTGGTGGCTTGGTCCTGGACTCCAAAAAGGGTTTTCCAGAGCTCTGGGGAGGGGAGCGCTCTCAAGCTCTGGATATCCTCTGATGCGTCTTTGCCTCCCAGACCTCCCCTCCAAATATCGCTCTATTCCGGAGGTTGGGGAACCGAGCGATACCCGCACAGTCCCAATACCAGGAACAGTTTCGGGGTTTCTTCCAGTCAGACATTCAAGGAGAAAAATTAGTCCAGGTTACCCCAGAGGTCCTCAAATCTGGCTGAGAAGAAAGCAGGTGTCTGGGACCCCACCAGTGACAATAGCCCCTTTTTAGGGGCTTATTGGGGCCAGGCCTGTAGTCCGTGGGTAGCAGGCTGGCGTTCACGCCTCACCATCACACATACCAAAAGTAAAAAAGGGTTGTTAAAGTGAGGTCATATTAACCTGACCTTGTCTTTCTGCACAATGGAATAAATAATTTTATATTTGAGCAGTAATTCATGGATCTCGTGGTGTGACCTTTTGTACTTCCCCTTTTTTTCTTTTGGTTTGGATTTGGATACTGCGGGGGACTGGCAGGTGGAGAGCACCAACTCCTGGAAATATGCAATCACACACAATTAATGCGAGTTCACTTGCGGAACTACAGCGGTCGCAAGGGTCGCAGCTGCAACCAGGCCCATCACTCCAGGGGCCCGGGAGCCTGCCACCATGTGTTCCGGCCCGCGCGGTGTAACTGCCAGGGCCGAATTGAAGGGGTCCATCGGGTGGCCCATGCTGTTAGGGCCACCCAATGGCAATAAATATCCAGGGTGCCCGGTCAGCGCTGCGGCGGTTTAACAGCGCGAAAAGGCCCCCATTGAGGACGTCAGATGCTGGTTGGAAGTGACTGCCCCAGCTATCAGAGAGAGCCACCCGGGAGGAAGGAGAGGGAGTCGGAGCGGGATCTCTGACTCCCATCAGCCTGAGCCACCACTGGACCCCAGGGAAAGTCACCCTCCTGAATCTAAAAGGGAGGAAACAGGAGGGTGACTTAAACATTTTGCATGTGTGTTTCTCTGTGTGTGCATGTGTGTGGGGAGGTGGGTGGATGTATAGGGGGAAAAGTAGATGTATGGGGGGGCCCCCAGGGCAATTCTCGCACCGGGATACTGTGGTTTGTAGTTACGCCTCTGTGTGAGTTGTTTTACCCATTGGAGCTCCCAGTTGAACTCTTCTTGTCATCTTTCTGCAACATTGACTCCGCTCCTTCAGATTTAAATGTGGAATTCAATTATTTTTTATTAACAATTCTTTATTACAGCCCTGCTAGTAACCAATGAAGGTTTTAGTTTGTGATAGTTTAGGTGTATTGTAAAAGATAGTTTTTTTTTTTTTTAAATTCATCATTTCTTTATTCACCCTTTTTGCCATGAACAGAGTATGTCAGCCGTTCTGATGGATGTCCATGGAGTTTTTAAAGCAACATTCTGGGCACCATAATAAATTTATCTCAGGGATGTTGTTATGGTGCCTGGAGGTCTTGGACACTCTATTACCCTAAGTTGCTAAACCATTTACAAATGGTTTAACCCCAAAATTCCTTTTACTCTGGCACTAACTTCATTGCTAAAATCTTTTCACTGGACCCTGGTCATAGGTTGAGAGTTTAAGCTGGCACCCATTTAAATGCTCATCACATCTCCTGCCCGCAACATGACTTACCTTTTTCTGTCAATATATTGCAGAATTTACACTGAAAGAACACTGTATCCATTTCATCAGGAAGATTGTAAAGCCAGAGGACTATCGCAAACTGGACATTGTAGCTTCTTTATACAAAGACTTGGAAGATCTTCCGAACATGACAAAAGACTTGCGCAGATTGACAATTACATACTGGGAACAAAACAGATCATCCAATTCAGAAGCCTGAAAGCAATATTTATTTTTAATATAGGTTTCCACTGACCCTCAGAGTTTGCAATGCATTGCTTTGATGTGTGCTTCCCAGCCTTTTGACACACAGCAGAGTGATATTGGACCACTGGAAGAAGAAAAAAAAAAAGTATAACTTCTGTATTTCAGAGTACCCTATAGTATATGATAAAGAAGTGACCACTAATTGTTGCTTGCTATGTTTGTATATTAATGCTTCTTCCTGAAAATGATCTTGCTCTGTACAGATTTTTAATGCACCTTCTTACTCTTGAAGTCCCGTGGAGTTACGCAACTTTACCCAGACTGAGATTTTAACATTTGTTCTTCACCACCTTTTCCTGTAGGGACAGGTGCACAGCAAACTGAGTTTGTCTTCTGCTTTTAAAGTGATGGGTATCTTTAACTGGCAAGTGAGAGGCTCGGCATTATCAGAACATAGTCCACATAGTTACCTATCATTGACCCAAACATTCCTTTTCTAACTAAAATTCCTGGGTGTTTGATATTATATAAATATTGCGGCTGGTGCATAGCACCCATATGTCTTGTTTGCACTAGGATGTTGCTATACAAGTTAAGTCTTATTCAGTTGTGATTGGGAAATACTATTCTGAACATATCATTGCTGGGATACCATTGGATTATTTCCAAAATGATAAAATGGTCAATATGAGTGGCTGCACTTTAATGGCAGTGGCCGCATTGTAGTTTTTTATTGTCCACAGAGTACCATGCACCATTCTCATTTCTGAGAGTGACTTATAACTGTGCTGCCAATAAGGTAGCCACAGTTCTGGTCTACTTATATTAACTTTGTCCAACTTGTCATCATGCACTTATTCCGCAGCGCTTTACAATATTATAAAAAAAAAGGGGGACATTTTACAATAAATGAGCAATTACAATATGTACATGACCAATAGGTTTATGAGGACTCATCTCAGTTTATATCTGTTTATAGGGTAAACCATTACTCCAGCTAAGGTAGAGTTACCAATACTATGTTTTGCCAGCTGGTTGCAGAAGCACTAGGTTGCTGTCTATCATGTAACAATAGTGGTAGGGGCCCAGAAGCCTTGCTGCACTTGTGACCTGATGTAATCCTGGGGTGTTTCACTGGAGCAGGATTAATTGCTTTGCAGATATGTGCCCTGATTCATTTTATTGTAATTAATTACTGTGGGTGCAGTGAGGGCACATCTTGGCACAGTTTTCTGAAATATCTCTAGCTCACACCAGTTTGCAGATGGAAAACTGACCTGCCATGCTAAGATGTGCTACAATAGGGATCCAGCCCTGGATTATGGCTCTCCACCACAATAAGAAGAGAAATAGGGGAGTAGAAAATGGAGTCATTTTGTCATTGAGTAAAAATATCATGCACAGACCCCTACACTCTTTGTTTCGTCTGATTGTAAACACTGAAGTCTGATTTGCCTTAAACTGCCGAATTCATGTCCTGGAGTGGCAGTTCTACCGTAGACTGTGTTTGTACCTGTTACTAATGTTTAATATGTAAATATATTTAAACATAATCTTTGCTGTGTTTCTCTTTTTGTCCTAAAAAGAAGTGAAATTCTTGAAACATTGCAAAAAAATCTGTATTTCTAACTAATTTACTTTGTTAGGATGTTCCATGCCATCCTCTACAGAGTGGGCTTTAACGCCGTTAGGATGGCACGGAACATCCTAACATTTTGGTCTAAACAGTGTTAAATCTCTGCTAATACCAGAGTGCCAGGTATGAATTTATATTTGGTGTTCACTCTCTAGCTGTCAGACATTCTTATTGGCCTCAGACTGACAGATTAGCAGTGTGCTAAAGCCATTTAAAGGCTTTTTCTGCAGTGCTGTGTGAGCAATGTTAAAACGCTGCTCACATCATGGAGTCTCAAGTACCAATATATGTCAATTAAGGCCACATTTACTGACTGAGCTGACCCATGAGCCTTATGCAGCACTCAAAATGAGCGCTGCATACACACCTTTAAGTCCTTTGAGAACACTGTGACTGAGCTTTGCAAGTTGCCCAATCACAATTTTCAGCATTACAGGCATATTCCCCATCTCTGTTTTAATTAGGAAACCCATCTGCTGATATTAGGACAGATATTGGCTGGCTTCCTTAGGCTTCATGTTAGGTGTAGGGTTAGTGTTTGTTTGAGATAGTTTAGGGTTAAGGTTAGGGGTAGCGCTAATTACCAAATATTAATTTAGATCCTAGAGATTGCATTTAACTCATGTTCAGTCTATCGCCAAATTCTGCTGCTTCCACCTCAAAAACATTGCGCGCATCCGACCCTACTTAACTCCAGATGTGACTAAGGAGCTGGTCCATTCCACTGTCCTTTCTCGTCTTGACTACTGTAATCCGCTTCTCAGTGGTCTTACGTGCTCACAACTTGCCCCATTGCCGTCTATAATGAATGCGGCGGCGAGGCTCATCTTCCTGTCCCCCCGCACCTGCCACGCCTCACCCTTCTATCAGTCCCTACATTAGCTTCCTGTAAGATATAGGGCTCGATTTAAAATTCTGGTTCTTGCTTTCAAATCTCTTCCTAATGCTACTCCCACATATCTATCCTCCCAAATACACAAGTATGTCCCGTCTAGGCCCTTACGCTCTGCTGAAGACTTACGTGTATCTTCTGTCCGTACTCCCACCTCTGATGCTCGCCTTCAAGACTTCTCAAGGGCTGCACCGTTCCTGTGAAACTCACTTCCCTCCTCTGTAAGATGCTCACCCAGTCTCCACTCCTTTAAAAAAATCTTTAAAAACCCACTTCTACATAAAAGCGTATCAATTAAACTGTTAATAGCTCCCCACTGATTCCTCTCTTGCAACTATCATTAGTCTAATACTATACTTACATTTTGTGTCACTTTACCGCACTCACTCTAGCATGTAAGCTCATTGAGCAGGGCCCTCATACCCTCTGTTCCTGTGTGTCCAACTTGTCTGGTTACAACTTCATGTTTGTTCGTCCACCCACTGTAAAGCGCTGCAGAATTTGTTGGCGCTATATGAATAATAATAATACGTAAATCTATGTTGATCTCTTTATATTTAGTTAATAGTTTTAATATTTTTATTCACACTTAATGTTGTGTTAAGTATACATAAAGGGTATTAAAGAAAGCCCTTTCTCTCGTATAAAACCCATTATATAATGTGTGGGGGCATTAAAAAAGAAACCCTTAAATTGTGGTTGAACTAACACAAAGTGCAAATTCTAGGTTCTGTTTTGGTTCCAACCTTGGACAATTACCTCCTTATGAGGTTAATACTATAGCTTCTATTTTTGTTTGTTACCTTTACTCAGAGAGAGAACAACACTGTGCTTACAATACAAATAGACATTAACTATAAAAAAGGAAAATCATTGTCAGTGTGACATACCGTCTAGTTGTAACAGTCTGGTACACAGGAAAACATTAAATTGTCCATTTTCTAGTTAAAACGTAAATTGAAACATTTAAAAGTAGGCCTGCTCTTGTGTTTAATTAAAACTTCGTATGAGATCGACAGTCATATAAAATATTTATTTTTTGGACTGATGGTGGATTATAGTGGCTTTAGTTATATTTTAGGACCACTAGACATTAAGTGGTGTTAGTTTATTAAGTATTCAATAAGGGTTTTCTTGTGTCAAAGGTAATACAAGATTACAGAAATCATAAAAGGCAAGACTTAAAAAGCAACAATTTGGCAGTACATTAACAATTGCCATCAGCAAGTATTTATTAAATAGAAAGTATATTATGCCCAACAAAAATTTCCATTCCAGTTGGAAACCATCGATATCAAATAAGTTTGATGGAAACTAAAGGGAATAAAACTGCAAGTAAGTTCACGATGTCACATAAACCAAAGTTACTTTGGGAACTCTTATGAACGTATAAGACAATGAGGACAGATTCTACTGCTAATGACCGTCCATTTTTAAAGTTTCAGGAGACTAGGGATTGTATGTGACAAAGTACCGACAACATGAGCAGGTGTAGCTTACTCTTATGGTATTAATCAGATGGTGAGCATAAGATGTAGGGAAGGGGTACGCAATGTTCGGCATACCAGATTCTGTGGACTACATCTCACATAAAGCTTTTACAGCCATAAAGCTGACAAAGTATCAGGGGAGATATAGTCTCAACATCTCAACATCATGTACATCATTTTTCTAGTCAAGTCATGGAATTGCCATTCCAATATAAAAAGAAAACTATCGGTCAACTTCATTATGTTTCACAGTAATCAAAAAATAAAAGGTTAAGTGTATTATGACAGCAATAAAGCATACAATAAGCCTAATACAGCAGAATAGGTCACTAAATGAATAACAGTTGTTTATTAAAGGACCACTATAGCGCCAGGAAAACATACTTGTTTTCCTGGCATTATAGTGCCCTGAGGGTGCCCCCACCCTCAGGGTCCCCCTCCCGCCCGGCTCTGGAAGAGGGAAAGGGGGAAAAAACTTACCTTTTCCCAGCGCTGGGCGGAGAGCTCTCCCCCTCCGATCCTCCTTCTCTCCTCCCCGTCGGCTGAATGCGCACTCGCGGCAAGAGCTGCGCGCGCATTCAGCCGGTCGCATTGGAAAGCATTATCAATGCTTTCCTATGGACGCTGGCGTGCTCTCGCTGTGAAAATCACTGTCAGAAGCACGCAACCGCCTCTAGCGGCTGTCAGTGAGACAGCCGCTAGAGGGAATGGCGGTTTCTCTAAACATAGCAGTTTCTCTGAAACTGCTACGTTCATAAAAAAAATGGGTTAACCCTAGCTGGACCAGGCACCCAGACCACTTCATTAAGCTGAAGTGGTCTGGGTGCCTAGAGTGGTCCTTTAAGGAAAATGTACATCAGTTGCATCATTAAGAATTAAAAATATGGGCAATGTATGGTGGAAAGATCTGCATGCGTTTCCAAGACAGCTCATCGTTAGCAAAAACCATGAATTCTGAGAGCCATTTAAAATCTGTCTAATCAGATTAGGTCATTGCGAAAATTAGGTTGACTCTGGGCTGTTGAAAACATACCAGTTTAAGAGATAACTGCCAGTTAGTTACTCAGACTAATCTAAACTATACCACCCTGGGCAGTATAAAGGTAGACAAGATAAATTATATATACAGACTGTATTTTGATATGACCAAAGCCCTTTGTGTGGACCCAATGGTTGGTTCAAGGGAAGTGTCTCTGGGCGATTGTAGCACACATTTGGCAGGTGGGCCAAAAGGACCTCACACCTATATGCATCCTAAATTATGCAAATCAATACAGGATCCCACCTGCATTATAACAAATTCTAAGGAGCAATAAGAAGGTTCACTAATAGTAATAAAATCAAATAACTGGAAAAGGTATGATACCTGCCTGTCTGGGTGCCACCCAGGACACCACCAGAGCCTCTCACCACACCGGCCTCTTTGCCAGTGCAGCTGTTGATTTACCTCCTGAATACTGGTTCGTTGGGGACCTTGTGTCCTGGCTTGGGGTAGTTAAAACAATGGCTGGTAAGCATTTGAGTCCAACATGATAACCCCATCGCCAAGCCCATACATGACAAAAAAGAGACATTCAGCAGGAATACCCCAAGTGATACTGCCAATTATCTATCCATATAGGCCACCTAGAGTCAGATTAAATAGATTATATGCCCTCAGCCTTGAGCTGGTGTCTAGCCAGCTCAAGAGCAAGGCCCTACTTACCTAGTTTTATTTTATTTTTTATTTTTTTTACTTCGACAATTTTTATTTCAGTTTTATAAGGGTACAGAATGGAAAGGGGATGGGGAACAGTGGTAAGGTAAGTATTGTCTTATACATTGACATGTATACCATTTGCGCATTATTCATATACATTTTTATATATGATTTTTAATTTTTTTTTGTGTGTGCATGCTTTGTGTTTCTCTAGGTTCATCTAGCGGTTTGGTAATTTTTCTACCATTGGGAGGACTCACGTTCGACTATCGGAGTTCACAGTCACCTGTTTTTTTCTTTGGTAGACGGTGCAAAGTATTAGTGTTTCATGTACCACTGAAAGGGGGGGGGAAACAGAGGAGAAGGGATAGGTTTAGGGGGTGGGGGCATAGAGGGAGATGAGGTGTAGATGTAAGGGGGGGGGTGGTAGGATTCTCCCAGGCGTTCGGCTTCTTATGGTTGCTTCTGTTGAGCATTTGTTTTTTCAACTGTGTGTTACTTTTATTTACCGCGTTATTATCATTATTAACACTTTTGTTTTCGATTACATTTTTCATTGTCTAAAAGGGCACAGCTGCCGGTCTGTAGGTCTTTGCCACAGCCTCTTATTTTGAGGGCCCAGTGTCTTATTTTGAAGGCACAGTGTTACGCTCCATGTACGACTGCCAGTTTTCCCAGGCTTGTGACCAGATTTTTTTTGGAGTGACTTGATCATCTGGTTGCCTGTTCATAAAGCTTAGTTGTTTCTATCGTCTGTATACATTCTGTTATTGTGGGCGGGATAGCAGATTTCCAGTGTCTACTAATGACTCTTAGTGCCGCCATTAGTATGTGGTAAGTTAAATATTTCTGGCTACCCTGCATTCCCTTCGAGAAGAGCTGGAGGAGGTACGTTTCTGGCTTGCGGGGTAGAAGCATTTTTGTGCTGTCTTGTATTATGGTAGTTATGTCGTCCCAGTAGTTTGTGAGGGAGGGGCAGTTCTACCATACATGGAGCATTGTGCCTTTGTGTTGTTGGCATCTCCAACAGGAGATGCTTGTGGGTATGTTGCTTTTATACGTGTAGGCACTAAGTACCATCGGTATAAGATTTTTCGGGATAGTTCCATGTGGGAGGCGCATTTGGAGAGTGAGTTATGTGCAAGTAGGATTTTATTCCATTGCTGCGCATCCAGCGTATATGTGAATTCCTTCTCCCATGCTGCAATGAATGATAATTTTGTGTGGTCTTTTTGAGTGTGCATCGTTCGATATAGTTCGGATATAAGTTTTTTGGGGGTTGATTTTTTCTACCACCGTCAGCTGTTGCCCTTGTACATTATCCATCCTATTCAAGGTTTGCTTGCTGAACCATGAGTGTAATTGCATATATGAGAATGAGGCCATTGGGGTCAAGTGGTAAGAGGTTGTTAGATCCGTGAGGCTTCTAAGTGTATGTTCCTCCAGTAGTTGGTGTAGGTGTGTTACCCCATGTCGGTGCCACAGAGTGTAATTAAAGTTTGGTATCATATAGTGTAATGCTAGAGGGGGCGTGGCCTAACAGTCAATGGAGTAGGACGCACTCATTCCGAGCTCCTAGGCCCCAACCTGATTTGCCCCGATTAACCAGCACAGCAACGCCGCAGAAAGCGCACCTCCATGGGGGGGAAAAATCGACGGCTACCTACCGCAGCCCAGGTCACTCCGGCCCCTTCCCGACCGCCAGCCGGCCCGATGGACGAGTTCCTGGCCACGCCGCATGGCCTCCGCGACACGGGCGAGACCGGAACACCGGCCCTCGATTCCCCGGGCTCCAGCATAGCGGGCTCGGCGCGGGAATCCAGCACCCCTGGCACCCTGTCCCAAATATCCGCGGACCTCGCCGCGATCTCCGCGAGCATGATGACCCGGAAGGATAAAGGAGAAATGGTGGCTGAGCTGAGGGCCATAATAAGGGAGGAAATAGCGGCTGTGCGCACCGACCTCACGGCGCTGGAGCAGCGAGTAGACAGGTTGGAAGAGGAGCGCATACAATCCCAGCAGCACAGACAGGCAGCGGAACTGGCAACCACGAGGCAGGGCAACATCCTCCTGGACCTCCGCCGGCAGGTTGAGGATCTCGATAACCGCGGCCGGCGTAACAACATCAGAGTCAGAGGCCTGCCTGAATCCGAGGACGAGGTACCGCAGGAGATCCTGAATGGCCTATTTGCGCAACTACTAGGAGATGCAGCTCCTGGCGACTTCGGCATCGAAAGGGCCCACAGGGCACTCCGCGCCCCCAGAAGAGACGGGCAGCCAAGAGACATGATTTGCGCCCTCCTGTCATTCCCGCTAAAAGAATCTATAATGCGGGCAGCACGTGCACAGCAGCACATCACCTACATGGAAGCACAAATATCCCTTTACCAGGACTTATCTACCATCACCCTAGATGCCCGCAGGGCCCTGCGGCCTCTCACCCGAGCACTTCAGGAGCGACGAATTCCATACAAATGGGGATTTCCATTCAGCCTGCAGGCCCGGATGGGAAACGTATGGCACATCATCCGCTGGCCGAACGACGTGCCACGGTTTTTAAGAACCGCCAACTTACCTGCTATCTCAGTGCCAAACTGGATCCTGGAGGGACCCCCGGCGCGAGCCACAGGCCCATCTGAAGTGGCTCACAACATCCACCTGGAGCCTGGACCACCAAGACGCAGAGGAGGCCCAATAGGCCCTGAGGAATAGAGGCCCCCACGCCGCACGGACCAGTGGCCCCCCATGAGACATCCCATGCCAGATCAGGGCATTGCCTCCCGAGCTTACCCCAGCATTGATTATGGACGCCATGCAGATCCGATGACACCACGGCAGGGGTATGTACTTTTAAGTCCGCTGCCAGCTTGCATTAGCTAGTAGACAGGGAGGAAGGCCGCAGACAGGTGGGGAGGGAACTGAAGCCACTTTCGGGGAGCGGCCGGGGGCTAGGGCCCCATCAGCAAACCCACACACCCGGGGCAAAAAGGGGGACATACCCCGTAGGTGGGGAGGGGATGATGGGCAGGGTACAAAGGGTCTGGACACCGACACCATCACCCAGGTCACACCCTGGGTCAAGACTGCTGAACTGAACAGGCTGCTCTAGCACACCGCTGCTCACGGAACAGAGCTGAGGGGGGGATGCGGGAGGGTGAGGGCTACGGGACATGCGGGCACACAGGGCTAGAGCTGGGAGGGGGGCTGGGACAAAGCTGGGCACTTCTTGTTCATGTTGTTTAGTTATACACGGTTCCGTTTATATCACCCAACACACATCACAGCCACTCACATGAGGGGACAACCACGCACAATCTGCCTCACTGAGACAAGCAAGACGCCATGTTGGTACACCCCACTACGAAAGCCCAGGCACGCAGATAACTATCATGACGAAAACTCTGGGCGCAGGGAGAGACCACGTCCCAAACCAGCCCCTCTGAAGTGACGCAAACGTGGGAGCTGGCGAGCCACGCCCACAGGGTGGCCTCACAATGCAGCCCAACACATGTAGGACTAACTACCCCCAAACAGCGCCCTAACACCCTAGACACGCTGACTTGTTGCCAACGAACTGTAAGTTACCAGGCGGGGGAGGGCAGACACGGAGGGCCCCGGGATGTCCGGCAGACAAAACCAGTCGAATCCCCTGACAACACCCGGCCACTAGGACCGGGACGCCAGGAGAGCCGACCGTGACGGGGGGACCCACGGGTACCACTGACCATAATGCCGACTGGACCGGTAGGCTTATCCGCTCCCAGACCTCGGGACTGCGGTACAGGACACCACAGCCCGACCGACACTCTAAGTCCCGGGCGACTATTGCGGACCCCTAGGCTAGAGTAGGCAAACATGGCGATTGCACACACCCTTACAGGTTGGGTGCCGATGGAGAAGGGAGAGAACCAACCTCACTCAGATCCGAGACCGACTTCACTGTAAGTGACCATACGGAACCCCCACTGAGACAGACCCACACTGTACATTACACCGGCGTTCTCGTCGCTGAGGTTACCCACCAGGCTCGAGAACGAATACACCCGGTACAGGGTCAGAGTCACACCCGCACACCTAGAAGACACGCCAGACCGTTCACATCACCACCACAGACAGACAGACCCCCCCCACACTCACCACCTTTACACATACAGACAACGCTGCGGGGACGCCGCCCTGCCGCCGGGATGGACGCCTCGCGAGGATTTGTCCCGGCCCAACTGACATACTGGTCCAATAATGTTCAGGGGCTTAACACACCTGAAAAGCGCGCGCACCTGGTAAGGCGCCTATGGGCCGTGAGAGCCTCCGTGGCGTTCCTGCAGGAGACTCATCTCCGAGGACTGGACGCCCCCAAACTAGAGAACAGACGCTACCCGCAGGGATTCTACGCGAACCATCCGGACGCTAAGAGGGCTGGTGTGGCAATACTCTTTGCACAGACGACGCCGTTCCAACATATAGCAACGCAGGCGGACCCGAACGGCAGATTCCTTTTCATTAAGGGTACAATCATGGAACACACGTATACCTTCGCATGCCTCTACGGCCCGAATAGAAAGCAGCATACATTCCTGGCCCGGACGCTAGCCAAACTGGAGAAATTCAGAGACGGCCTCTTGGTCATGGCAGGTGACCTCAACTTACCACTGGACCCCCGCACGGACATCTCCAGAGGACAAACCGCGATCCCGGCACACTGCATACGAGCAGCACTACGAGCTATACATAAACACGGCCTGGTGGATTGTTGGAGGGCATGTAACCCTGAAGGTAGAGACTACACCCATTATTCGACAGTCCATAAAAACTACAGTCGCATAGACTATATATTCCTGGCCCAGGAATACCTCAACCTCCTCCACGACGCACGAATAGGCATAATGGACCACACAGACCATGCACCACTGACGATCCGCACGAGCTCCCCACTATATAAACCCCGCGAAAGACACTGGAAACTGAATGAATCCCTACTGGACGATGCAGAGTGTAAGAGGGTGACTGCCCAAACCTTAACTGAATACTTTACTACCAACGAAGATACGGAGACGCCACCGTTAACGATATGGGAAGCTCACAAATGCGTCATACGGGGACATTTCATCGCCATAGGCACCAAACGCAAGAAGGAACGAACACGACGTATCACAACACTGCTAGACCGGATAGCTGACCTAGAAGGGGAACACAAAACGGACCTCGCAGACAGCACATACCTCCGCCTGACGGAAGCACGAAGGGAGCTGAAAGCCATACTATCACAAGGACTCTTACACACCGCGAGGAAGGCCTCCAGGTATTATTATGAACACTCGAACAAAAGTGGTAGGTTGCTAGCTAGGATGCTACAAGACAGAAGGAAAGCGCAACACGTCCACAAGATACGCATGAGCAGTGGAGACACAACCTGCCTCCCGGACGGCATACTGTCAGCGTTCCGGGAATACTACGCGGCGTTATATAACCAACCACGACTCCACCACGACAGAGACATAGGTAGCCATCGAGAACGGATAACCACATACCTTCAGAACCACATCACCCGCCAGCTTACCCCGGACCAGGAGGCGGAACTCGAAATGCCCTTGACGATTGAGGAACTATCTGGCGCATTGAAATCAACTAAAGCACACAGGGCCCCGGGCCCAGACGGTCTACCAGTCTCGTACTTACGCTCCTTCAAAGACACCCTGCTGCCCAAACTTCTGATAGGCATCAACTCAATCAGAGATGGAGGCCAATTCCACAGAGACACCCTGGGAGCAACCGTGGCAATAATACCCAAAGAGGGGAAAGACCCAACAATCTGCGCCAGCTACAGGCCCATCTCTCTGATAAACGCGGACATCAAACTCTTCGCTAAGGCTCTGGCACTCAGGATGGCCCGAACGCTCCCGGATCTGGTGCACCCGGACCAAGTGGGGTTTATCCCCGGAAGAGAAGCCAGAGATAACACTATTCGAGCCCTCAACACCATCCATACCGCTAAAACGGGCAAAAAGGAAATGGTCCTACTATCCACTGACGCTGAAAAAGCGTTTGACAGGGTGGACTGGGTCTATATGTCGGAAACCCTACGACATTTGGGATACGGTCCACACCTGCGGACCTGGATAACGGCTTTATACACCTCGCCCACAGCCCGCATAAGAATAAACGGAGCACTGACTGACTCGTTTGATATACATAACGGCACGAGACAGGGTTGCCCCCTGTCCCCACTCCTGTTTGCCCTCACCCTGGAGCCCTTCTTGGAGGCGGTCAGACAGGACAGGGGTATCACGGGGTGCAGCATAGGAGGAAGAGAACACCGGGTAGCGGCTTACGCTGACGACATGCTCTTCTTCCTGGAGCAACCCAGAACCTCCCTCCCACATGTCCTGGAGGCGTTTCGACAATACAAGGAGGTATCCGGCTTGACGCTTAATCTAGATAAGTCAGAGATATTGCTGCTCGCACAGGACAACATCCTCCAACGACACATCCAAGCACAATTCCCCTTCAAGATCTCCACAGCCAAGCTACACTACCTTGGGGTGTGGCTCCCGAGAGATTTGACACTTATCTACCGACTGAACTTTGCGCCCCTGCTCACCACCCTTCAGCAAGACATGAAACGCTGGACACCTCTATACATCTCGTGGTTTGGGCGCATCAGTGCCGTGAAGATGAACATTATGCCCAGATTATTATACATGTTCCAGACACTACCAACGTACCTCCCGAGGGCATTTTTTCAGACCCTGACGACCGCAGTCAGGAACTTCGTCTGGAACCAAAAACCAGCGCGTATCCGAAGAGCGATTCTTGAACGCCCTAGAGGAGAAGGAGGTATGGGATTGCCGTCCATCCTCACGTATTACCACTCTACCCATCTGCACAGACTGGTTGATTGGCATGCAAACCCCAGTACAAAGCAATGGGTAGACCTGGAGAAACACCAAGCCCAGGGACGAATCCCCGCTATGCTATGGCTGGGAGACGCACTACCCAAGGAACTACTTACCGGGAACCCAATGATCGACGCCACGCTGAAGGTGTGGTGTAGGATACGCTACTCCAAAAACCTCACGTCATCGCCCAACCCACTCACACCAATAACACACAATCCGAGGCTAGCGGGAGGGCTAAGCACGGCAGACCTGAAAAATCTCGGAGCAACGGACTGGGTATACGCTAGCCAATGGAATTCCGGGACGACGCTCAAACCCCTGGCAACGCTGATGCAGGACCGTAGGCCCAGCGGCCTAGACACATTCCGATATCACCAAGTGAAAACATACCTCGACGGCATTGCGGGTAAAGGCCACCTACACCGCCCATTGCTGATGATGGAACATCTATGCACGGCCAGACAACATCTCTCACATGGAGTTTCACACCTCTATACCGCGCTGCTAAGCGACGGTGATAAAAGCCCCCTAGGCTTCACATCGCGATGGGAAAGAGAGACCGGGATGGAACTTACGGAAAAGGAATGGCTTAAAATCTTTCAACTAACACACAGGGGGACCATCAGCTCCAAGTTCCAAGAATGCAACTACAAAATTCTAACAGGATGGTACCGGACGCCAGATATCCTGCAGCACGTACATGAGTCAATTTCAAACGAATGCTGGAGATGCGGCACAGGAATAGGAACCAGCATTCACATCTGGTGGACATGCCCACGTATCGAACCGTTCTGGAGGATGATACATCAGACGACCAAAGACATCACGGGCTCAGACGTCCCATTCCAACCCATGCCACTACTTCTCAACCACACGCGCACGCCGGTGAAGATCTACAAGAAAGGAATCCTCATACACCTACTCACGGCAGCGAAGTCGCTCATCCCACTCCATTGGAAAAGCTCGACGATTCCAACCCTGCAACAATGGGTAGATAGGGTGGAGATGATATATAACATGGAGATGATGACAGCCTCCCTGCAGGGACGCCAGGAAAAATGCGCTTTGGCGTGGTACCCATGGATGGACTACACATCAAAACGGGCAGGAGGACGTGACCCGGTGGAGAGGGACGGCGCCCCCGCACCAATACAACCCACCCAACAGAGCTCTGCACAGACACAGGCAGTACCAGACGAGTAGATTGCACCCTCAGCACGACGGAGACACACTTCCTACGCGACCCCCCCCCCCACCCCTCCTACCACATGACACATTGACACACAAAAGACCCGGAGGGACACAACCCCCGGGGGCACGCAGACTGACTTAAGGCTCCGCACAAAGTGGAATCTATGAGTGAGCAGAGACAGGGACAGAGGACCATGGGTCACGGGAGGGGAGGAGTGACCCACTAGAGCGACATATAGACCAATACACTAGGGGACGGAGGGAAGAGAGAGACCGGGACGTAAGGAACATGGACTCACCCCCACCCCAGACACAAGAAGCCACGACCGGAGCCAGTAGCACCCGGCCCTGACCACGCCAACTAACAACTGGGGCAGCCGCAGGTGGCATATATAACCCCACACACACACCGAACCCAGCGAGACCCAAGATAAGAGATAACAACCTAGAATTAGGTATCCAGAAGAGTCACGGGGACCAGGCTACAGGCCCCAGGGATGATATGATCACACCCACCGCACGAGCGACTCAAACCAGGGGCCTGAGGTGACGACACGGCATCTGACACAGACCCCACACACCGCACAACGACAGAACAAGACATCACAGGATAACCCTACATATACTAGCTGCGCCCACGGACAACCTAGGCCAACTACCCCCAGGGAAAACCTAAAACAGATCGACTCAGGGAAACTAGGGGGTAACTACACGGTCACAGGGGCAGAATAATTGGCCCCCTCATGATTTAAGGCTGAGCCCATCCACACCAGGCTCATTACGACCTAAACCAACACACAAATCAAACACGAACCAGACTGGACCCCCATACAAAGCCCCAGACGGTACCCCTCCAAAGAAGGACACACGTAGACAGACATAACACGGATTGGGACAAAGCTCTATATCCATCAACCTGGCACTAGAAACACGAACAAATCACCACGTACGAGGCTGGGGACAAAGACGAACTGCACCACACATAGACGGAGACTACCACACCTTTTAAGTACCATAGGTCACACTAGACCCAATAAGTAAGTGAGGGGAAACCTTGCACTGAGCCAACCTCTCTATTAGGGTCCTACCTACAAATGAGGAAGCTCAGATACCAATGCAGGGTTGTACAACTCCCCCTCTGACCCACGAGCACAATACAGAGCGGCTGAAACAACCCACCCGAAAACTTGCACGAATCTTGTGGAGCAACCACAAACTCCATTCGCACCCGACCACAGAGGGGACTAACCCCATACAGGGCTAACGACAGAACACAACACAAAAGAACGCTCACTGTAATAATGAAGCCAAACACCCAAATTCAATTTATTATCCAGTAGATGAAACTATCTTGATGCTGTAATACACATAACTGACCAGTTTATATGTTACCACATGTTAATTTATATTGGATATACATGCTGTGATTGAATATTGAAAAACTTAAATAAAGAATGTCAAAAAAAAAAAATATAGTGTAATGCTTTTATAGGGGTGGCAGGCGATATTTTGCCCGACCAGCCTAATGTGCGGCAGTATTTGTCCCATATGGACAGAGTTAGAGCTGTGGTTGGGAGCAGTTCGTTTGTTGCTGGCCTGCTGTGTCGAGGGAGCCATGCCAGTATAGTAATGGGTATATGGGTATATTGTTAGCGTGTTGTGTCTCCAGTTCCATCCATTGTGTTGGGTTGTCCCGGTGGCACGCTGCTAATAAGGGACCTGTAACCGCTGGTGGTTCCCTTATTTACCACTATAGTGTCTTAAAGCATAGAACTTAGTAGGGCTAACCATACAGATATCTTAGCCATAATTTTATATAGTTAGTAAGAGATCCTCTATTTACCATATATAAATAATTGAGAATACAATATAAAATAAGGATTGTCTTGGAAGCAAGATTGTCTTTTGGATATTTATTATATAAAAATATAAATATAAAATCCATTATAGCAGAGTTTATAAGATTAAATTACACGCTTGCAAATATCATTAATAGGTTAACATACCCTTCTGAACATGTCATCATGTCAGCCTCTCTGTCATTTTAAGATGGAGCAGCGTCTGTCTCCAAGTCTCTCCTCTGTTTCTTAACATTTAAAAGTACACCTATTTATACCTTAGGTGTCATCATTTTAGGTTACTGTAGTTCAAATATGAAAAAGTAACACTTCTTTTACTTTATTCAATTTAGGACCTTCCTTAATTTGGCAAACATACAAGGCCATAACTAAAGGGTGTATACGTCATGGAAATTTTCCTGACTTAGTTCAAGATGGCATCTTAAAGTCTGAATAGGTTATCTGTTGTTTATACTAAGTCGTAAGTGCGCAGTCGCGGGAGATTCCCGGATTTGGGGAAGTTCCATTAACTTGGGGTTACCACAGTATATTGTGTACTGCAAGAGTCGTAGCATAGCCTTGAAGCTTGTTTATGCATTATTGCTATTGTAATTAGTCTGGGACAAAATGGCGCAAACATATTATGCACTGAGGTTATTGCTTAAAGAAACAGTTATGAAAAACAATATGTTCCATTTCTAACACCTTGTCAGTTTGCAATATCTCTTAAAGACAAAGTACACAGTTTAAGAAATACAACATTTCATTCTAAAACTTGTAATATTTGTATTTGCCCGTAACAGACCTAATATGGCTGCTCTGTAATAGCTGTCTAGGTTGGGTACTCCCATACCCCCTTTCTTGCATGGAATGTATAGTGTGCTCTTCGCCACTCGCGCTTTATGTTTGTCCCAGATAAAGTTAAGCAGTGTTTGTTGTGCGTCTTGTAGGAATTTGGGTGGTATTTTTATGGGTAATGTTCTGAATAGGTATTGCAGTTTTGGTATGACTATCATTTTGACTGCGGCTATTCTTCCTGACCAGGATATAAATTTACCTTTCCATCCTAGCAGTAAGTTTTTTATTTCGGACAGTGTTTTTTGGTAGTTTGTTTTGTAGAGATTTGCTGAGGTTGGGGTGATATTGATTCCTAAGAATTTGAGGTGGTCATTGCGCCAATCGTATTTGAAAGAGGCGCTCAGCCTGCTCATATCCTCAGCTGGGATATTTATGCCCATTGCCTGAGTTTTATTAACATTGAGTTTATAGTGAGAGCATTTGCTATATTGGGAGAGCGTATTATGAAAGTTAGGTAGGGATATATGTGGCTGTTCTAGTGTTAGGAGAACGTCATCTGCGAATAGTGTGAGTTTATGTTCCTTGCCTTGTCTTGTGATGCCATGTATGTCCGGATTGTCCCTAATGAGTTGTGTGAGTGGTTCTAGAGATAAAATGTAAAGGAGAGGTGATAGTGGGCAGCCCTGTCTCGACCTGTTGGTTATTTCGAATGGTTTTGAGCTGAATCCCCCGTTTGTGATTTCGCTGTCGGCTTGGAGTACAGCGCTCCCACCAGTCTTAAGAAGGCGTCCAGGAATCCATATTTGATCAGGACTGCCCGGAGGAAGGGCCAGTGCAGTCTGTCAAAGGCTTTCTCAGCGTCAAGTGATAAAATGACGCACTGGGCCCTTCCCCCCTGCCCCCCTTGCAACAGGTCTAAAACCTTTCGGGTCCCATCCGCCCCCTGCCTGCCACTGACGAATCCCACCTGGTCCTCATGTATTAGGGTTGGAATAATGTTCGTTAGTCTGTTGGAGAAAATTTTTGCTAACAGTTTGATGTCCGTGTTAAGGAGGGAAATTGGTCTAAGGTTTTGGCATTTCGTAGGGGGTTTGCCTGGTTTCGGCAAGGTGGCTACGTGTGCCATGAGCATGTCCTGGGGAATTTGGCCCGTTGTGAGGATATAGTTAAAGGCTTTTTCTAGATGTGGGGTGAGGATTGTGGTTAACGTTTTATAGTAGGAGTTTGTGAATCCGTCGGGTCCTGGTGATTTGCCATGGGGGAGTGAGTGTATGGCTTGTTGTATTTCCTCCTGTGTTACTGGGTCTTGCAATATAGTTTTCTGTTGCTCTGTCAGTGTTGGCAGTGAGGACAGTTGGAGGAAGCTTTGGATTTCCTGGTGTGTGGGTTGCTAGTTTGCTGGCTAGCATGTATGGGTGGTTTAGGATATGCCTGTGCAGCATTTTAATCCATGTTTGTCAGGTTCTGAGTATAACTTGAGCTTTGCCTAAGTGGCTATCTTGTTGATACGATATTTTATTTTCAGCTTCTTCTATTTAGCGTGGTTTGTCGTGCCTGTTATGGTGATCAGTTCTACATAATGCCTTTTTGCAGTGCTTATGGCATAGGCTGTGGGTGCACTTCCCTTAAATCCCGTAGTATATTGGGGGGGATGATTGCAGTACTCTCGGCCTGCTAGATCATGCAGTATGTGCTTGTGTGATGTGGTTTACAGATAACGTCTCATACACAGGAGCTGTCGCCCCGCATAGTGATCTGACGTTCTTCGCATCCTTAGGTTACAGTCATCATAAATGCACAACATCAGTTATTACAGTTGACAATATACATCATGATTACCCCTAGCCCTCTGGGGTCCCCTCTTTCTACTTGTGCGCATATGATACGGGCCCTCTCCCGGAGTTCTCCTTGAGTATCATATGTGAGGGGGGCCCCCCCTGCCAGCATCTATCATAGTGTACGTGTTGTTATTTAGCTATCTAAACATATTATATGCTAATCAAAGCAGTTAACCTCATTTGAACTGAAACAAGAACTATGAACATGACATTAGTATATGTGAATATCTCACGTGTCCCTGGTTTTGGCTTTGTCAGCCGAGTTCACCGAAAACGTCACGGGGATTTTGCTTGTGCTTGGACTTGGCGCCATTCTGGTATCAGTCGCTTAGTTGGGCTCATCTGGGTTTCATGGGGGGGATCTGTAGCGAGCCCCCATTCTCTCAGGGCCCGGGTGCCTTTGTCTGGTGTGTAGATAATTTTGAGCTCCCCGTTTTTCGTGATTAATAGCTTGGTGGGGTATCCCCAGCGGTATCTAATTCCAGCGCGGCGCACATGAAAGTAATGTGCTCTCAGTAGGACATCCCGGGGGATGGAATCAGGTAGGTTGCGTAGTTTGGTCACTCTGTGTACCCGGTCCACTAGGAGCATTTCTGTCGGGAGCGTATGCCCGCAGAAGGCCCTAGACATCATTCGGCAAGATGTTCTCTGGGACTCCTCTCAATCTGAGGTTATTCCTCCGTGAGCGATCTTCGGCATCCGCCATGCGTGCTTCCATTGTTGCTATTTTATGTTCCAGTGCCATCACATGGTCAGCCATGTCGTTATGTGCTGTGGCATATTCGCTCAGTTTGTTTTCCACGTGTTTGGTTCTGCTGCCAATGTCCTGGACCTCCTTGCGGAGTTGTCCTATGGAGGATTGCCATGTTTTAATGAGTTTGTCAGCCATGTTGTTCATTGCCTCATCTAAGTGTGATTTGGTAAGGTTTTCCTGGCTTTCATGTGATGGGCCTGTGATTGTGATGTTTCCCGCTATTTGGTCGTCGGCGCCATGTTGATTTGGGCCGCGGTCAACTTCAAAGCTGCTCGCGGTTTTGTGGGTAAAAAAATTCAGTTTTTCATTTTTCTGTGCGTTCTTCTTCCCTTTGGGATTTGACATCATGCGTTTTGATATGTTTTTTAGTACTGGGAGGCGATGTTCTGAGAGCCCGGGTGCCTGAGCAATTTCCTAAGCAGCCAGGTTGCTCAGCAGTTGGCCACGCCCCCCTAGTTTTTTATTTTTATTTGGCTGTACTTGTTTGTTTTTTTTCATATTTCAAAATCAGATCTTCAATATCATCAACAGGAGAGAATAAACCAGCTATGACAGACTTATCTTCATTTCTGTGAGTAGAACATCCTCATGAGCATTTATAGATCATATTTGCAAGACCCTTGGTCCCCACAAATAAATACACTGTTATAAGGCCCTTCAAAATGATATATATTTTATATGTAATACTTATAATATGGTTTAATTGGTGTAGAGCTCATACAAAACTCATATTACTGTGAATGTATTTGCAAAGCGATCAATAATACACACTGCATATTACTATGAGTTTTATTGATGTGGGGCTTTGTAGTATGCTCATACTGTGGTACGCTGTACATTGCTGTGAGTTTTAATGGTGCAAAGCTCTCGGATATAAATATAACATTCTATCTTGCTTAAGATAAGGACACTAAGTCATGGAAGAGGGGCATTCACAATATATTTAACGTTTCTTATATAGAACCAGATTCTAGTTCTTGTTGCCCCATATGGAATTGGCCATAAACATCACAATGCATTCAGTACTTAGTAATAATTGTAAACCAGGCTATATAATTATGAAGCCTGTGTTACTATACATTCTTTTGCTCAATGATGACTTCACCACTGAACAGCAGTAGTTAATTTATTTGTTTGGTTTAACTTCCTGAATAACCGGTTTTCCCTGCAAACGCAAGAACTGCAGAGAAGAGGAAGTACTATCTCTGCTTGTGAATGTGCTAGAGCAAATCATTACATCTGATGTGTCTGTTTGCCCTGGTTTTGCATGAATCCCGTTCCCTGCTGGTGTTACTAGCTGTCCTCATTCACAAGAGATGACCAAAGGACACAAGTTCTGTTACTGAAATGGAAAAAAGTTATCACCAGAATACAAAACTGTGAGGAAACATTCAATAAGGTACAGTGTGAATGCATGTTTCTTCTGATAAGTGTGTCTTCACAATAACCTTGTATCATATTATTTAAAATTAGTGAAGGATAAGAGCAGGTTTCGCTCAGGTGAATTGATTCAAAGACCAAATCTCATTACCATAATTACATTGAATTAGTGTACTTCCTATCATTTTAATAAAACTCCAGAGACATTTATTTTGCAAGACGATAATCTCTCAGTGACTCTCGGTAAAGTATAGTAGATTATTTTATTTGTAGACAGAGGGGTTATGGAAGACTGCATGTGATTAGGACCAAGAATGAGGCCTATGCAGGGGACCTGAGATTTTATTAGTGCCTACAGGCAGTACAGAGAGCCGTGATGCATAAGAAAAGAATTAGGTGTGACTCAAGGTTAATGAGGGTGCCAGGAGGATGAGAACACATCTGCAAGCAGGTGAAACAAAGTAATAATAAGGCAAGCAAAGGTCCATGGGTACTAAAAGTCAGAATTGTCCAAACAGAGTCAGTTCACAACTAATGGATGGTATATTAGATAGTAAATGCACTCTTGGGTATCAAAAACCATGACAGGACACAGGTAAATTAGAACGGCAGATATTTATGTATAAAAAGAAAACTATCGGGGGGCGGAGCCTGGATGCAGAGCTGATCAGACACGCATCGGCTGAGCTCCACAGACTGGGATTGATAAACGACGGATTACCGGGGCCACTCGCCAAACCGACCAGCCACCGACGACTTCCCAGATAAGGGAACGACGGTGCATCCTGGGATACCAAAATCCAACCGTTTTGGCACTGAAACGCTGCCGTTAAGGCTTGCGGCCTACACAAGCGTGGGCAGAGGAGAGGCGGCCGCTCTCTGAGCCCTATTCCCGGCGGAGTGCACATAGCACCAGGATGTCCCCCCCCTCTGGACCGGTGGGGGTCATCCCGGTCCCCCTCCTGACATACCCAGCACCAACAAGCCGGCTACGAGAAGCCATCAAGCGACAAGATTAAGCAGCAACCGTCAAACTTAAAATGGCGGACACTCCTGACACACAAGCTCCTGACACAGAACAAGTTGCGATTTCACTCCAGAGCACTTTTGAGCGCTTGCTCCACAACGTCGACAGGCTCTTTACAAACTTCTGGGCAAAGTTAGAGGCCCGCGCCATGGAGACACCGCGTCAGAACCAAGAGCACAGCAGAGAGAAGCGGGAGGTGAGCGGGCCCCCTCAAGGCGAACTTCCACATCAAACGCCTGTCACAGCGCAAACGGACCAGACAAGGCCCAAAGCCACCAGGGGCATACTACCCCGATATATGCAGCGGAGGCTGAGAATCCACCGCCGCTGGCGGCAACGCTACAGCAGGAGCACCAGCCGTCCCTTCCATCAAAGAGACTTGGCCTGGAGACAGAGGACCCGAACCTCTAACCCTCACCTGACAGCCGCCCAAGACTGCACTTGCAGAGCCTTCAATGAACAGAGCAGAGGTAATAGCACAGGGGCCCTGATGATGGAGTGTGGCCGGCGGAGGGGCCGACACGGCACCACAGTCCGAGCTCTGGGAACTGCAAGACCACGGCGCCCGCAGCGGGCAACCCAGCAGAAACCTCAAAGCCTGGGCCCTGAGGTGACAAGACAAGACACAGGGATTAACAACGAAAAAGACTCACCCCCAAAGCCTCCAAGCAGCATGGGTTGACGGCCATTAAAGGACGCTATGATATCTGGTACCAGAGCCCTATAGCAAAACTACCATAGTCATAACCATAACAATCCTGATCTAGCATGTAAATAATTAACCTTATCTCTGTGTACCTACAATACAACCCATTTATGCTGTAGCTTCTTAACTGTTAGGCAATAGCTTCTTAAGCGCAGCCTGTATACTCAGTACAGTATAAAACTTTAAGCAACATGTTTATTAATCTTAACAAGTTTTTTAATCCTATTATTACTGCTACTTGTTGAAACACAGCATTGTAAGCTTTACAGTACTTGCAGGATGGTGATCCTAGCCATATGATGGTACTAACTACAGAACTTCCCCTGCATAAAGCATATATGAGCTTAGCCTGTAACGCATACTTCACTTAATCATAAAAATGCGCATTAATCCTACATCTAAGTGACCTCTATGTCTTGGATTACTGTCATGGCAACATAACTACAATCTGATGTGCAAAAAGTTGAGTTAAACGAAATCTTAATCTAACATGTTATACCATTCAGCAACACCTATTAGCTTGTTATCATTACGTAATATCAAAAAAAAAGTGCATTGTCTACCTAACCCCCACTGTAACTAATGTCTTGAAATCAGCATATGGAATGCCGTTGGGGTACCATATGTATACCTGTAACCACTATACGCTCTGCAAAAATAAAGAATTATAAAAAAAAAAAAAAGAAAACTATCGGTCAACATCATTCTGGTGATGCCAAAACGTGTGTGTTGACATCACTGGAATGATGGAATAGGGATCAACTTCCAAAATGACACACATAAATGACACTGTCAAAGGGCATAAGAGAGCAGCGTGCTACGTCAATATTGATGCGAAAATGAAGCACTGCGTCAATACAAGGAGAAGCAACAGTCTGAAGATTTACACCAAAATGGAGCATGGCATCAGCAGAGGATCCTGCATCCACAGGTATCTTGGCAGAAGGTAAACCCAGTGGCGGCCTATGATCCACTCTATGGCCAGCATTGGTCACCTTACATGTAGCATTTCCCAGACTTTGCACAATTGCTCTTCAGAAATGTGTGACTTTCCCACAGGATAACGAACAACTCTACATTATCACTAAGGCTGGAAGACTGCACAATAGATTTTATGAACTAGAAAAAGGTGCTCTGTGCAATTAGGCGCTTAACAATAATATATAGATAGAACAGCAGCTCAAACACGCATGCAGGTATCCCAATCCTACACAAACACAATGTGAAAGAAAAAAGTGAACTTAGTGGATCGTACTACCACCAAAAGATCACTCAGTGGAGCGCTAAATATCAAATTCTTACCCCTATTGGAATAACGTATATATCACTTTAAGGGGCAGACAGCATAATAAAATCTACAGCAAGAAAATACACATCATGGTGCAGTATGCTTGTAAGGTGTGAATGGAGTGGAAGAAGATGTATGTCCAACTCACATGGTAAAGAGCCTGGAGATTGGCTCAAATCACAACAGCTGAGGTATGTTTGGTAATACCAGACCTTCTCCAGATATACAGCTCACAACATATGTGGATAAAAAAGGACAAAAATCCTAGTGCAAGTATGTTTAAAATAAACAAGTGGTCACATATAACAGTGCATGAATGTGCTCACCTGGAATAGAGCCAATTGTACTAGGCTCTATGTATAAGCGTGTGGTGCCTTTAAGGGAGGCACTACCCTTCTTTAGAAAATGCAGGAAGCAGTTGAAGATCCACTACCAGATGTATAAGGTAAAAGTAACAATTTATTAAAAAACAAAAAACAATTAAGCAAAGTAAAACTGTATATACAGATACCAAAAAGTAAAAGTCTCTGGGGTGGTCTTCCTTGGAGTTCCGAGACGCGTTTTCGCCGTGGGGCTTTCTCAATCGGATGACATCCGATTGAGAAAGCCCCACGGCGAAAACGCGTCTCGGAACTCCAAGGAAGACCACCCCAGAGACTTTTACTTTTTGGTATCTGTATATACAGTTTTACTTTGCTTAATTGTTTGTTTGTTTTTTAATAAATTGTTACTTTTACCTTATACATCTGGTAGTGGATCTTCAACTGCTTCCTGCATTTTCTAAAGAAGGGTAGTGCCTCCCTTAAAGGCACCACACGCTTATACATAGAGCCTAGTACAATTGGCTCTATTTCAGGTGAGCACATTCATGCACTGTTATATGTGACCACTTGTTTATTTTAAACATACTTGCACTAGGATTTTTGTCCTTTTTTATCCACATATGTTGTGAGCTGTATATCTGGAGAAGGTCTGGTATTACCAAACATACCTCAGCTGTTGTGATTTGAGCCAATCTCCAGGCTCTTTACCATGTGAGTTGGACATACATCTTCTTCCACTCCATTCACACCTTACAAGCATACTGCACCATGATGTGTATTTTCTTGCTGTAGATTTTATTATGCTGTCTGCCCCTTAAAGTGATATATACGTTATTCCAATAGGGGTAAGAATTTGATATTTAGCGCTCCACTGAGTGATCTTTTGGTGGTAGTACGATCCACTAAGTTCACTTTTTTCTTTCAGATTTTATGAACTAGTTTGGACCTCACTGGTATCCTGAAAATCTGTATCTCTATCTTCTTATCCATGCTACAGCAGAGGTTCTGGGATTAAGGCATTGGAAAAGGCCCAGTCAAATTGCTTGAAACCAAACAGTACTTTGGTGACAGAGCCCAAAGATTCTTTGCACAATAACAAACAAAATAAGCTGTACTGATTATGGTGCTTAGAGTGTCTGTTTAAATTAAAATAGCTGGTAATAAGTTAAGACACATTTAAAAATATGCTGTAAGTCAAATGTAGAATGTAGTCTTCACGTGACACCTTTATGGTTTTATTGTACAGCATTGCTACTATACCAGTCATTATAATAGATGTTCTTCTCATCCTTTGGAGCAGAGTTTGGGTGACATCTTGCGTATTGCAGCATGGAAGGTGCTCAATGTATCAGTTCCTCCACACAGATCCTGGACATCCCTCCGATTGTGATGGAAGAGTTCTGCCGTTGTATGGACTGCTTAAATGAATGGGAATGGATGCGTTTTGGTAAAATGTCTTTTGTTAACAAACCAAGCAACCTAAACGTGCTTGACTACAATTTAACTTTTATAGCAGCTTTATATTATTTTCTTTTTTTTCTTTATATTATCTATTAATATTTTTGTGGGGAGTGAGAACATATTCAGTTTTGATGGAGACGGTCTGCTGTGAAGGTTTATGGAGGAATCAATAATTTGCCTCAGCAATAAGCACAAAGGGCATATTATGGTATGGACACAGCCCAATGTACTCGGTAAATGATACTGAGGACCACTGAGGAAGAAGTGGTGAAACGGAGACTTGTGACCCAGGTTAAGAACTGAAGGTTCTTTTTACACAAGTGAGTCCGTATATCTCGTAATGTTAAACTATTGGGAGAATGCTTCCATTTCTCAGTCCATATTAATATCTATCTTGACATGCCAATTCCTGATTATATATGTCAGGAAGCATTAAAGCCATCTTCACTATCAGTCCTCTGTATCACTGTTTCTTCATGGTCCAGCATTCAGGCTGACACAACGTATTGAGATATGACATCATGTTATAGAGCTCAGCATATGTAAAAGGGAAGGGAAGGCCACACAGATCTGCAGATCTGTATTGGCAGTGACAGCACCGATCTCTTTTTCCATTCCATGTCCATTCCTCTTCCTGATTACATCTCACGCAGGCATACCTGCAGGCCGGACGTGCCACTAGGCTGAGTAGGTAACTGCCTATAGGCACCTGTCTACTCTTGTTACCTCTCCTAGCTACACATGTGTATTTTCAATTTGAAATATATTTTGAGATACTTTTTAATTTTGCCATGTGGTTAATGTAGCATTTTTTATAGGAGGAGAGAGAGTGAGAGGTGGAATGCCTGACTTGGGGGGAGATAGGAACACTTGAAAATGTTGTACCTAGAGGCACGTGAGATGCATCTGCTGAGTTATTTGTTCCTATGCTAAAAGCTGAATTATTTTTGTTTCCACAAGCATCACACATTATCAGCGACACATTGGCCTTGCGGAGGTTTCACTTATTGCAAAGGACAGGGATCAGCATCACCAGAGAACTTTTGTGGTCTTGGGGACAAAGGATGACAACTATTCAGGACCTGGTAGACATTCTTAGAGATTTAGAGTTGTATAGAGCCATGGACATTCTGTTGCAGGGTAAGCTGAACACTGTAATTGTACATTGTAACCCTTGTTTGTTTGTCGCAGAGCTCTGGATTGGCAGAGGATTGAATAAGCAATGAGCAAGCAATATTTTAATGCAAAGCTTGAAGCCCTTAGTCATTTTCCTTCTGTCCTTGACCAAGGATTTATAAATATGAAGAGCATTTTTACTTGATAGTAAAAATAATAATTCAATATAAGATTTAAATATAAAATACCAACCATAACAAACTAAATTATGTTTTTACCTATTTATTTGTTTATGTTTTGGGGTGCCCAACCGTCCGTGCGTGTGAAATAGCCTATATATAATATAGATGTGCATATTTCAGTTTGCAATATTTCCACTATTCACATATATACTTTGTAGTTGTCCCTAATCATGTCATGGTATGAATAGGGAAGGGGTTTGAGTTGGTGTATAAGTAACATTCGGGTAAAGGAAAACCCACTGTCTCAAGTGTGGTTTGTAGCCCCTTTTCCAGGTACGCAGGATTTACTAAAATAGTCACTGAACCAGCCCCTCGGTGGGAGAAAGGAGAAAAAAATATATCAGAAACAGTAAATAACAGTTAGAGAACATAATCCATGCCAATAATAGTTATGTAGTCTGTGTCCACACCATTCCCCCACACATTCCTCCTATTGAATACAGACATTGGTATGGTGATCTGTCCATAGGTCTGTTAGTTGGGACTACTGTTTTCTAACTATCCCCTGGCCGGGCTGTGCCCTAGGTAGGTTAGTTAACTGCGGTATGGTTAAACCTTATATTCGGTTGACTTTTATATTATCCAGGGCTGCCAGATAAACATTATTTAGTGGTTTATTTAGTTGATCGTCCTAGGGTGGGCAATATTTCAATTTTATTTTCTCAACATTTTTTAGGAAACACTCCAAGCACTATAGCCATTCCAGTTTGCTGTAGTGCTTATGGTGCAAGGAGTGCTCTGGTGCCCGTCCCCCCATTGTAACTAGTAAATCTATCTGACAACTTCCTGGGGTCCAGAGACCACAGGTGACTTCTGCCATTGAGAGCTGGAAGCTTCTGCTAGGAAATTCTGTTAATTTTCCTGAGCTAAGGCCCTATAGTACAGGCTAGCTCATTGGCTGAGAGGGTTAGCTGATCACTCGCAGTCAATAATCAAAGCTTTGCACTTCCAGACTTAGCTCAATGCAGAGAACCTATGACATATGTCATGTAGGAGGTGACCAGCACCAATATAAGTAGTCAAACCGTCAGCAAATGGTTTGACTATTTACATTGGAGGGACACCAGGGCACTTCTGGCTCCATAAACACTACAGAGCACTTTAGTGGTTATGGTGCTGGGAGTGTTCTAATAAGTGTTGTACATTTTCCTATGATTAAATGAGGTACATAAAAACTACCGAAGTCTCCATAGAGCTTAAGATGTCTTCTACCACTTGTCCACAAATAATAAAAAAAAAACATTAATTGATGCAGTTACCCAATAATGCTGGCTTTCTCTGTGTACATGCCTTAAGGCATTAGTTATTATGTGACACCTATGTGACATTTTCCTAAACTACAGTCTCCATTCTTAGCAAAGGCATCTCCAGCTGTCGACAAAAAAGAAGGAATCTTATCTGCATGTGAGAAGAACAGTAAGTCAAGTGAATCGAAAACTCAAGTCTCATCCAGTTCAGGTAATGAATATATTAGTTACTGGTATTAGAGTACACGCTCATGTAATCAGTAAGAACAGTCCTGGCCATCTTCATTGCTGTTCCAACATGTGAAGAGGCTTGGACCAATACAGCACAAGCACTGCATATGCATACTCTCTGTTTTCCCCATAGAATTGTATGAGAGAATTCTGATTGGCTGAATTCTTTGTCACAGCAAGGACCTTGTATAGCATGACAGGAGATTACATAGTATATTTAATATATTTTAAAAATACAGGTTCAAATTCAACCTTGAGTTCCTTATTAAAGCATTATAAACACTCCTGCTGCCTTTTTTATTCTCATATATATTCTCACTTAAATCTTTACATCTACAACCTCTTACCATCTCTACTTTCAAAGTAACAATTAAATAGGAAACTATTTTTTTTTATTAGATAGGGTTCCTTAACCTGTATAGATTACTGCCACGTTTGTTTGTTTATTTTATTAATTAATTAAAACTGAAACAGGCTCCTAACTGCAGCCCAGTGCTCCTCTGATGTAGTCTATCTTGATGACTTTTGTTCTATCAGATACTTCTCATAAAGAGGCACTGAGGAGAGGACACAGAGCACATGTACAGAGCACATGTACCTCTATCTGCCAATCTCATGCTTCTCCTATAGAAGTAATGCATGCACATGGTGTCTAGCATCAGCATGGAAAGCACTGAAATTGAATCTAATTGTGTGAAGCCCAGTCAGATAGCCTCTACTATACATTGTTATTGCAAAATGTGAGCAGTGCCATTTCTCCGAATCGTAACTGTTTCAATTTACAATTCTATAGGGCAGCATTTATGCCCCCCACATCATTTCCAAATTAAAGGATTTTGGTGCTTAGACTGTCCTTTTAATCTTTACCCATTTATTTTCTTCTATCCAATGTTCTCCCCATTCAATTTTTCCATTTTATTCAACCCTCCTTCATCTCTTGTCATTTCCCTCTACGTTCCCCTCAACTCCCTCATCAGCCTCTCTCATCCTTCATGTGCCTCCTCACCCCACAAAGTCTACTTTTCTATCCCTACCCTCTCAAACATGCAATACCATCACTACTCAGCTAATGCTCATACACTTCAATATTTTATTTTTCTTCCAATATATAGTATGTATTATTGGGGGGATTAAGATACAGGGAAGAGGAAGATCGTATGTGTTGCTTATACAATATGTATATAAATTGCATAAATAAAATAGATATTTTGTACTTAATATATCTACATTCATAACAAGTTCAATGTTATCCTGTGTCAACTGCTATATGATTGATTAAATCATACATTTTCTTAATTCAAAAAGGGCATTAAGGTTTCCATGCAACTGTCCTATATCATCCATGAGATTCAACTTCTCTTGTGTCAGTTTGATTACTAACACACTATTGTTTCATAAGGTAAAGCGCTGCAGAATAAGCTGGCGCTATATAAATACCAATAATAATAATAATAATAAGTGGACAATGTTATCAGCTTTGAGACTGACATGTGTAAAATAGATGTTTAATTTTTGGTTCAAAGAGTAAGTGCAGATGAAAAAAATATAGCACAAATATTACACAATTTTGTAGTCTACAACTTATCGTGGCTCATAAAAAAACCCCAAAAAACCTTTGTTATAAATTTCCAGAGAAATAATAAATTCTGCATCAAGAACTTATTGAACCAAGTCTGTACTGTCTTAGTTATTCACTAAAGTGAAAATAAAAAAAGAAAATTTCAATTGTAAACTCAAAACAGTCGAACTGTAAACATTCTCTAAGTCAGCTATGCTTTCAGTTCAGCTAGTCTGACCTTAAATTTGAAATTTACTTTGAATTCTCACTTTAGTAAGAATATAACCCTGAAAGTAAACAACTCTCTAAGTATTGTCCCAAGATTGGAATCATAGCTTCTTATTCCTGCTTATTATTTTTTTTTTTGCATTTTCTTTTTTTTATTATAATTCTTTATTTTTCTTGTGCAGGTGGTTACACGGTATCAACAGACGCCACAACAGCGTAGTGCAGGATTTACAAAAGTTAGGCAGTGGCATGGAAATTCGCACATTTTTTATATTTTTATAGCAAGCTTGACTAAACTGGTATATTGTCAGAGTATAAGTAAATAAAACTATTAGTGCTTAACAATGCTAGATTAGCTATGTTAGTGTAGTTAGAGTAGGTTAAACATCACGCTTCAAGATATGCTAAAACAGTTGCTTTGCTGGATTTGTATCTGACTCAATACAGGACTAAATTAATATAAAAATAAATGGTAGACAAGGCTTAAGCTATGCAAGTGGTTTTAACGGTGTAAGTTATAAAAAGAGAGCATCAGGTTGCATAGATGGCAAGAGTGACAGGAGCCATCCCCTCTGACTGCAGCCCAGACCTTGAGAGAGTCTCCCTGGCAGTTCATGCTCATCCAACCCCCGATCTGCAGAGTCTGTGGCATGGTAGGAGTGAGTCCAGCGTGACTAGTGGTAAGAGGGGTGGGTGCACTGTGTTTGATCCTGTTTGTCTGCCCGATCCTCTACTGGATTCAGCTGAAATGCGGGGGTGTCGTGTAGGTTGGCAGGGTTTGCAGCGTTGCATAGGGATGGACCGGGTGGCAGGTCCCGACTGCACTTTGCCGCAGGAGCCGGGAATCCCCGTCTGTGGGTTAGTGACATCGCTGTAGTGAGGGGCCCCTCTGCTTTTTAACCGTCTGGACAGCCTAGAGGAATCAGATCTGCTGAGACCTGGTGCTCCCTGGTTGCGCCGCCATTTCAGTTTTGCCTGCTGCTTCCGCCATTTTGGTTGTGGGGAGCGCTCTCAGACCCAGGCATTACAGGTTGCGGAGACAGTCTCCTGGGACCGGGATGACCCCCACCGGTCCAAAGGGGGGGATACGGGGCCCTTACCGCGTGGCGTCGGAGCTCCGAAGGGAGACCGCAGGGCAGGATAGCGAGGTGGCGGCCGTCCACCCCACTCACCGCTCGGGTAGGCCTCAGATGTAGTTGTGCTGATGTGCCTTCTCAGGGGTCAAAACGCTTGTAATCCGAGTGGCCTCAGCTCCAGCACCTCTTTGCCCGCAGGACCGCTGCTGCTTAACTGCAGATAGGTAGATTATTTGCTTTTTGTAGGTATTAATGTTGTTAATCTGCAGGAGCTTGTCTTGTATGCAACCTCTCAGCATGGCGGTCCGGCCCCGCCCCCATTCCTGCTTATTTTTAAGGTTTCGAGAAGTATCACGGAAATGTATTATCAAACCTAGCTGGCACTAGGTACCATCAATACCAGCTTTTTCTGAAGAACTATCACTGCTCCTTACACAGTGAGGACTGAATTAGAGACAGCTATTGACTGGTGGAGACTGGCCATCAGTTAGATAGCCTGAGCTAAAAGACTAACTTAGGACTGCTTCTACCTCTCTATTCCAGAAATCCCAGCTTTGCCTGTTGTATCACCTCTACCTCCTCCTCCACCACTGCTCCTTCTCAACTCCGTGCAGTTAGACCAGTCAGCCTCAAGTGTGGATATGGCGTCACCAAGTGAGGAGGTAGGTGTTTGTTCAGCACGTGATTTGAATGTGGATCTTGAATTATATAGCTTTGTTACAGAATGTTAAACATGTCATGGTAACATAATGTACATAGTCTCTTGATCTACTGAAATCCCTTTCTTAGCTTCTGAGTATCCCACAGCAGGAGAGTAGCTTGGTTCCAAGTAGTTCCTGTAAGCTTTGGACAGTAGCGGAAGTAAAGGAAACCACTGAGGGATTCAGTAGTGGCAATAAAATACATTGTGGAGAATTTGCTGATATTTTCAAAGGCCGAAAGACAGGCAACACGTATGCAGTGAAGTGTCTTAAACAGGTAAGTCACTGTATCTATACATTAATTCAAGCACTATCATGTTGTGATTAAGGTATCCATATATGTAATATTAACAATAAATAAAACAAAATCACACTTAAATCCTGCCTATCCCATGATTCAGCAGGATCTTATCTCGTTAAAGGAACACTGTAGTGTTAGGAATACAATCTTGTATTCCTAATGCTATTGTATGCCTGTCCCTAGTTATGTGTAGGTTTGCAACAAAAATTAATAAATGAAAATACTTTTTGTCCAGCGTCAAGGCTCCCTCGATGCATGGACTCCTCCGGCAAAGGTCCAATTCAATGCTCGGGACCTGATGCGCATGTATCCTCATTGTATTCAATGCTTTCCTATGAACTTCTACATCATGGGACTTGGTCAGTTTTACTCAGTCTGTCCAGCGGAAGCACCTTTAGTGGCTTTCAGGAAAACAGCCACAAGAGGTGGATTAAACCATGCAATGGAAACATTTTTGAAGTGGTCTGGGTGCAGTAGCCCTGTGCAGTTAAAAAAAAAAAACTGTACAGGAGCAGCCAGCCGAAACAGACGCACCATGAGCTCCTTGCTCAAGGCCATTAAAAAACGATTTTTTTTGCCGGAATAACAAGCCGCAAACTGAGCACAAAGACCTACCAGGGATATGAGGCAGAAAACAAAGAAGCAGAAACCAGACAAGCCCAAATCGGGACACGATATCGGAGACTTATTCCGCCAGGCACAAGGCGCACATGGGGCCAAGATGGCCGCCGACATGGCGGGGTATACAGACTCATCAGACAAGCTGAGCTTGGATGAGTGCACCAGCGGAATGTTCACCCCACTAGCACAACCACCCACGACCAAAAGACCACCTGAACCAGTTACCACAGACACGCTGAGAACCATGCTGGGTGAGCTACAGCGGGTACGGTCAGACAGGCCCAAGGGATGGCGGACCTACAAAACGAAGTGCAGGCACTCAAGAGGCACCAAGTGACCACAGACCAACGTTTTGCGGCCCTTGAAGACCTTAGACGCCGCAATAACCTGAAGATTCGGGGCGTCCCCAATAACATACCGGAGGAAGAACTCCCACACCTGATAAGGAGGCTCACGGGGGGCACTAGTGAAGCCACAACAGGCTAAATCCATGAGCTTTGAGGCGATCTTCCGGGTCCCTAAACCAAAAAGGGCCCCGGACACAGCCTCCAGGGAGCTAGTGGTGAGGTTCCAATCAGGCACAGACAAAGCGGCAATTCTTACAGCCCTTAAAGGGAAGACACCCTTCAACTTTGAAAACGCCAAACTTACCTTCTATGCTGACTTGTCAGGGGACACCCTGCAATGGCGCAGGTCTCTCCAAATGTTCACGACGCTCCTGAGGCAACACTACATAGCCTACCAATGGCGCTCACCAAGGGCCCTACAGGTCCTGCAGAACGACCAGACCCACACGGTCACAGACCTGCAAGAGGCTGTGCGGCTGCTGCCAACACTCGGCTTGTCAGAGAACTCCCTCACACCTGCAGCACAGACAGGAACGAACCACACAAAGCACCATTCGTGCCTCAAAAACGACTGCCGAAAGACCCAGCGACAGCTCCAATCTGAATTGAAGGGCTCAACACACTCAGCAGCGACCTATTTCCCCAGGACGCACCACAGCTGCAACCTGCAGCTGCCTCTGCTTAATATTGGACTCTTATTTTTATTTGCTATTCTGGACTATTTTTTTTTTATTTTTTTTTTACCTCGTTACCACACACTATTCTAGACACTAGCAGCCCAGCCAACCTGGGGTTCCCACAGGCCCACTATCCGGGACTTTGGACATGTCAGAGATGAGCAGGCCGCAGAAGCCCCTAGCGCATGGGCCCTTTCCCCCTCCGCGCCCTACTGCTTATGGACACTCTTCACCGCAACCTCTGGCACTGGCAGCCGAGGCACTGGCACTGACACATTCGGACCGAAGCCAAATGCTCATAGGCCCCGCATATATTGCCGCTCCACACGACAGCACCCAGACCTCCAGGGCAGCAGGACATGAGACTCTCAAGCCCCAACCGACAACCCCAGTTCCCAAATGAACTGGAGGGGATTGCATAGTAAGCCGGACATAACTGGCGCTTCACCCTTACTTTTTATAACTCTCTCACTGGCCCTTCTACGCCCAACCATACCGAGGCAATTAGTACCCCATGTTCCTTGACTCTCGGCCCACCAATGAAGGCCTATCCAAGGGGCCTCCTGATGTGGCTCACAGCTTATAATGCTTTAGTTGTACTAATTTTTATGTTTCTCGTTTAAAGTCTGACTTGTAACTGCAAGTTGACAACCCACTCCAGTGGCATTGAACAACTAACACACGCTCACATGCTCCACTCTAAACCACTGACAGCACCGTAAGGTCTGATGATATAGCCTGTCAATGCTCAAGCGGTATACTGATAACTTCCTGACAGTTACATAAGATAGATTTTACTACCCAATGCTACCCTTATTGGTGTGCTAGTCTAGTGAGACAAGCTCAGACACAACACTTAAGCTTGACGTTGGCTTGTTCCCTACAGCTCAAACCGTGTTTGGAACCCCACGTTTACCCATGTTTTCCACATTATAAAATAGTACGACTCCTGTGACACTGTAAGTAAAGCTTTATCCGGTATGCTGCATACCCCTATCGAAATGTTACTATACTGCTGGTAATCGTACAAAATATACTAAGCAAGTTTCTAATACTGTTGTTATATATTTAAGAATTGTGCATATCTTTCTCATTGCCTTACTACAAGTAAGCTATGTACTGTGAATCTATTGTCATTGGTTGATGGGGCATGACAAAATGCGTGTATTTTTTCTGCACTACAAAAATAAAGAATTATAAAAAATAAAAACTGTACAGGGCCACTGCACCCAGGCCACCTCAAAAATACAATTTAAATCCATGTATCTTTACCTGCAACTAGTTATGTCCATCTTAGCTCCTTGTCAAAAGTTATACGCTCTGTTTTTTGCACCTGCCAGCCTTCGTACAGAAAGCACATAAAACAATGTTTGTATCTCTATTGTTCATTTGCTAATTTTGTTCTTGGCCTTGCCATGTCTGAATTGGATTATTATGTAATTTGCTACATTTGTTATATAAATTTAAAAGAAAATAAAGCATCTTATGAATAAAACATTAATACAAGTTATAGGTGATAATCAGTGTTTATTACATAAATTAAATTCCAGACATTTACACACACACACACAAAAGTGTTCAAGTATTCAAGGGTATAGATTTATCCTGATCTCAGGATGATGAAAGCCTGAGTTGTCCCTGTACAACACTGTATACTATGATTGTTGTCTTAGCAGTATCAGGGCAATACAATGTGGTTCATTAATGTGCATTATATTGCTGTGGAGAGTGGTAATATACCATACCTCCCAACTCCGGAATCCTGTGGATCAAGAAGGGAGATAAAGGGGCCATGCCGGTGACTTGATTGCATCACTAGCACCACCCCACATTGCTGCCCCTAAGGCTGCCTGTCCATCACTCAGGCTGGCGCACTAAAACAGTGCTCCCTGCAGTGTCCTGGTCCATAATCATTACACGAGCGTGTCTAATGATACGAATGTTGGGGGCAGCTCCTTGGTGTCCCCAAAAGCAGGGACTGAGTAATTCTGTAATTTTTGTAGCATCTGATTTTTATGGTTCACCAAGACATACATTACCGTGACATTTTTTGCTGTTACATAGTTACATAGCTGAAAAGAGACTTGCGTCCATCAAGTTCAGCCTTTCTCACATATGTTTTTGCTGTTGATCCAAAAGAAGGCAAAAAACCTAGTCTAAAGCGCTTCCAATTTTGCAACAAACTAGGAAACAATTCCTTCTTGACCCCAAAATAGCAGTCAGATGTCTCCTTGGATCAAGCAGCTATTACCCCACTAATTAGAAATTATATCCCTGTATGTTATGTTTTTGCAAGTATTTATCCAATTGCAGTTTAAACATCTGTATGGACTCTGACAAAACCACCTCTTCAGGCAGAGAATTCCATATCCTTATTGCTCTTACTGTAAAAAAAAAACTCTTTCCTTTGCCTTAGATTAAATCTAAATGCGTGACCTCGTGTCCTATGTACAGCCCTGTTTATGAATAGATATCCAGATAAAGGTTTGTACTGGCCCCGAATATATTTGTATAATGTTATCATATTTTGCAAATTTTTCCAAACTAAAGAGATTAAATTTTTGTAACCTTTCTTCATAACTAAAATGCTCCATTCCTTTTATCAATTTTGTAGCTCGTCTCTGCACTTTTTCTAGTGATATCTTTCTTTAGAACAGGTGCCCAAAATTGCACAGCATATTCAAGGTGTGGTCTAACCAGCGATTTATAAAGTGGCAAAATTATATTTTCATCCTGAGAATTTATGCCCCTATTTATACATGACAAAAACTTACTGGCCTTAGCAACTGCAGATTCACATTGCATATTGCTGCCTAATTTGTTGTCTATAACAATTCCCAAATCCTTCTCGTGTGTGGTTATGCCTAGTTCACTACCATTTCGGGTGTAAATTGCTTGTGCATTCTTAACCCCGAAGTGCATAACTTTGCATTTCTCTACGTTAAATTTCATCTGCCATTTTACCATTGAACTTTGTGATACACCTGAACACATCACACGTTACTGTGAGATTTATTGAGTCTTAAAGGCACACTATAACTTGATTTGAAACACAAACCTGTATTCCTAAAGCTATGGTGTCCTAGTTGTGGTTTTTACTTGACTGTACTCCAATGCCGAGACTCCCTCGGTGCTGCTGCCTGCACCTCTTCCTGCGACTTCATCTGGCTATCTTGCCGAAGGTCAATTTAATGCTCCTCAAACAGGATTGTCGCAAATGCTTCTCAGCGGAATACCTTGAATTCAATGCCTTTAAACTGCAATTTTGATGACAGGGTTACTGAATTAAAAAAAAATCTAGTAAAAGTAAGGTTGTTTTTTTTCCGAGCAGTATACCCCCCTTCCTCAAATGTAAACTAGTTGACAAATGTTTATATTTCCCAACAGGAAGAGAGCAAGCGGCAGAACGGCATGCGTTCCTATTTCCAGACAGAAGCACAGATAAGTTTTCGGTAAGAAGAAGTAGTATTGCTAGTGTGCCAACATATTCAGCAGTGATGTACAATTGGATAAATAACAGTAACTGAGGAAAAAAACTATTTAGACAAACATATGAACAGGTACCAAAGTCCTTACTCAAATATGGTTAAAATGGGGAAGTATGTTTAAAGGACAACTGTCATTGCATTTTCACTTCTCTTTTCTAAAAAAAACGTACTACATTTAATGAAACTTAGTGATTGTTTTAAATGAGGTATATTGATTTATTGGAGAAAATATTACTTTTTTGACTTGGCTGAGCAGCCATATTGGGTCAGATTCTACTGTTTTCTGACCACATGTTACTCAGCCTAACTTGCCTGGTGTTGCAGGCTCACACAGAGCAAGCATCCCAACATCCCAGCAGCAAGCTCGTTTGGTTGAGCAACAGTTGGTTAGATCATACTAAAATATGACCCAAAATGGCTGCTCATGCAGATAAAAAAGTGAAGTTTTATTTAAAGGGACACTATAGTCACCCAGACCACTTCAGCAAAATGAAGTGGTCCGGGTGCCAGGTCCCCTCAGGTTTTAACCCTGCAGCTGCAAACATAGCAGATTCAGAGAAACTGCTATGTTTACATTGCAGGGTTAAGCCAGCCTCTAGTGGTTCTCTTCCGGACAGCCACTAGAGGCGCATCTGCGACGCTGGAGGCATATTAATATTGATATCAATATTGATGTGTTCAGTTTGCTATTATGGTCATGTCCGTATGTATATGTGATTGCATGTCTAGGCATCTATGCGTGTGATTGTATTTATCTGGGGACAAAAAAAGGGTTTAAAAGGGATTAAGAAACACACAAAAAGTAACAGTGGGTTAAGACACAATACTGTAAAAGGAAATGAGACACACAAGGTGGAAAGAAGGGATTAGGAGAGAGATTAATGAAGAATCAGGAAAAACGTAGAAGGGGTTGAGGAGGTATGAGGTAACACACAAATGTTTATTCTAATCAATTGGCATGGTAAGGACTAACCTATTCCAAAACAGCTGAAATGGAAAAAAAATATCCAATTCATTTCTTTTCAGATGGGCTATATTGTCCAAGATATATTGTTTTGGTTTAGAAAGGGGTGCTGTGAGGATTTTTCGCACAGGGCGCCTAATGGGATAGTCCAGCTTTGTCTGTCAGTATGTGTGTCTGTCAGTGAGCATTTTTAAATCAGTGAAAGTGTGTGTCTGTCATTGAGAGTGTCTATCAGTTTGTGTGTGTCTGTCAGGAAGTGTGTATGTATGTGTCTGTCAGTGAGTGTGTTACGACCTGCAGTGGTTATGGTGCTGCGGTCTTTGGTTCCCTCTCCCAACAGCTGAGCATGAGTGATTATAGCTGCAGCAGGGAGTAGAGGAATAAGATAGATGAAATGCAGTTCCAAGGTAATTCTTCCCAGCAAGTACAATATCCCCCAAACATGAGCCTAAACTTCATGAAAGGTGTAACAGGAATGAATTTTATTGACAACACACAGGCTTTTATGAGAAATCCTCCTGCAAGAGGACCTCCCACAGCAAACAAAGACAATAACCAATCAACACACAGATTTACAGTAATACACGCCTCCTCTCTGCCTGGGAGATATTGAGATAAGTTAAGGAATAAACCAATTATCTCCAGGCAGAGAGCACACAATTTCCCCAAAACTTAGAACACCCCTTTCCCCACAAGGTATCCCCACAAATTATTACATATCCCCTGATAGCCCCGATCTGGGGGACAAACATATCCAAATTTAACCCAGATCGGTTCAGGGGTTCTGAAAAAGTGTGGAGGGTCCCTTTTACCGACCACACACGCAGCTCCTGCCCAAAACAGTTCCACGAATTCAGCGCGTGCGGTCGGTCAATTCACAAAACTGTAAAAAACGAACAAAAGTCCCGAATGGATCCCCCTGGCCTATAGTAGCGATTGCTCCCCTTGTCCGTTCGCAGAGAACTACCGAATGAGGCTTTCCTGGCTGTTCGGGAAATATGAGAAGCCGGCGTTCGGTAGTTTTCAGCTGTAGTTCGCGAGGTCGAGTGTCCGATTTTAGTTCCAGACATTCGAAGACCAAGTCCCGCTGGCTCTCTTCGTGTGAACAAGATGGCCACCATTTTCTTTTCCACGTGGCGTTCGGTTTTACGAACAGCGGCCGCCCAGGGAGCACTTAAAGGACCACTCTAGACACCCAGACCACTTCAGCTTAATGAAGTGGTCTGGGTGCCTGGTCCAGCTAGGGTTAACCCATTTTTTCATAAACATAGCAGTTTCAGAGAAACTGCTATGTTTATGAATGGGTTAAGCCTTCCCCCTAATCCTCTAGTGGCTGTCTCATTGACAGCCACTACAGGCGCTTGCGTGCTTCTCACTGTGATTTTCACAGTGAGAGCACGCCAGCGTCCATAGGAAAGCATTGTAAATGCTTTCCTATGAGACCGGCTGAATGCGCGCGCAGCTCTTGCCGCGCGTGCGCATTCAGCCGGCGGGGCGTAACGGAGGCGGAGAGGAGGAGGAGAGCTCTCCGCCCAGCGCTGGAAAAAGGTAAGTTTTTACCCCTTTTCCCCTTCCAGAGCCGGGCGGGAGGGGGTCCCTGAGGGTGGGGGCACCCTCAGGGCACTATAGTGCCAGGAAAACGAGTATGTTTTCCTGGCACTATAGTGGTCCTTTAATAGCTGGTTCCTTTGAAGTAAATGAGCCAGGAAGGTGGTCGGCGTTCGGTAGTTTCAAACTACCGAACCAATCCATTCACTAGACAAGTAATAACACATAAAAATACAGAATAAAAAGGAAAAAAATGACAGGTAAAAGTTCATTTTCTTCACAGAGTGCTTCAAATCAGTGAGATTGTGTATGTCATTGAGATTGTGTGTCAATGTTTCTGATTATGTTTCTGTCAGTATGTGTCAAATCAGTGAGTGTGTGTCTCTCAGTGAGAGTGTGTGAATGTCAGTGGGTGTGTGTCTAGAAGGAGAGGTGAAGTCGTTGCAAATAGGAGGGGTTAGTAAGATCCCCACGCCCAGCTGGGGGCGCCAAAAGAATGTCTGCAGCCAGGCGTCTGTGATCCTAGGATCGGCCCTGCCGACTCCACAAGCCTCCTGCAACAGACACCTCCGGATTGGAAGCATCCATGCACAAAATCAAGCCGGCAAAGCCCTCTCTTGATGCAATGGTCTGTAGCCTCACTGGGGCCTGAAAAACCAGGCACAGAGTTTGCAGCAGTGGCGAGTAAGACCGGGACCAGAGTATACGGGACCTTGTCCTCTACTGCCTCTCATGAAGTCGATTCTCTAAGCTTGCTGATTCTGTGGCACTCGGACGCAGACCTGCAACTGAAGGATCCACTGTGTACTTACCAACCTGCAAGATCCTTTATGCAGAGAGCCCAGCAGTCTCCCCACAAATTGGGTATTGGATGATGAGGTGGGAGAAACCTGGCTGTCCGCTGGCACATACCGGCGATCGTGCAGGCAACACTTCCATATGGTGGACTCCTGTTCTACATTCCTGCTTTTAAGTTATTTTGATGGTCATAGCCCCTGTGTAACGCAAAGCATAGTCTGACACGTTTTATAATTAACCAACTCACTTGTCTCTTGCATATCTAGCTAGTACTATATAACTGCGATTAGCCTGCATTTTATCTATTAGTTAGGCATGTCTGAATAGCTTGATATTTTTGCTTACTTGACCTTAAAATTTGTGCAGTTTTTCTTTATATCACAATATTGTCTGTTTTTTATGGATATAGTTGGTTATAGTAGCATTGGAACCTGATTGTTCTCTCATGCACAACAAAAATGAAGAATAAAAAAAAATAAAAAATAAAAAATAATAAATCTACAACATTAAAGGGTCACTCCAAGTACCATAACCACATCAGTGATTAAAAGTGGTGATGGTGCCAGAAGTTTGTATGTGCAGCGATTCACAAAGAAATACAAATAGTTATTGGCAGCATCATTCTGGTGTCATTACCCGGCTCAGAAGACTAGTTCTGTGCTGGCTAATGTCAATTCTGTGCATATTTCAATGCACAGAGAATCATTCATATCCTGAAAGCGGTCAGCTGACTCTCTCAGCCAATGAATGACCGTTGGGATCAGCATCTGGCTCCTGCAGCTCTTACACATGTAAGATTGGTGCCTTCGAGCCCAGCAGACCAAAGTGAGAAAGCAAACTGTTGCAAAACAGTTTGCCCCATTACAGAGGAATGATGCTCTGGTACTCCTAGCATCAGCAGTGGTTATGATGTTAGAGTAATCCATTAAATCTAATAAAAAAATGTAATTGAAAATGTAACAACTGTTGTCTTTTAATTATATGTCAACTGTTCAAATGTATAAATTACCTAAGTTTATTCTATTTGTTGTCCTGAAATCATGAGTTGTTCCTTTTTGGAATTAAACTTGCAAACTTGAGGTAAAAAATATACAGATATTAATGCTTGTGGTCTCAAGTGTCAGAGAAGGTCTGTGCTGGACAATGGCAGATAGATGCACTGATGTTGTTACACGGATAGAGGAATAAACTGTAACACTGTAGTCACTATATCCATTTCATCTCATTGAATTGGCTATGTTACCTGGAGTCCCATAGCACTGTTAAACCAAGCAATCTAACACTGATTGAAAGTCTCTGGCCATCTACAGCTCAGCCCCTACTGCAGGTGTGGCTAAGGCAGAGATTACACACTTCCTTGTTGAAGCCATACGCATTCATACTGACAATGGGATCTCCAATGACACTCTCAACAATCACAGCTGCCCACTGCTGCTCAGGAAACTTTCTAATTAGCCAAAACAGCACAGAGGGGAGGGGCTGCAGGAAACTCTTGTTTAGCATTAAAACATAAAAACATTAAATACTATTTAACGCTGAAAGAACGGGCAGCACCAGGGGACTACAGATACTATAACAAGTTCAATGAGACGAAGCAGATACATTCCCTACAGTGTCCCTTTAAATAAAGCAATTGTTTTCTAAATAATAAAAAAAACAAAGCTGCACCCCTTTAACCCCCCCACAGAACACAGCCCCCATCCCTCCTCAAAAATGCACACACACATCAACTGCATCAACTACATACACACTCTGCATCCGTTAAACACTTTCAAGCACCTTAATGGTGATTGTGAAACATATTTAAAACTAAAATAATACAACGGATGTCGGCTCTGATCATAAATAACAAATCCCTGTAGTACGTCCATGGTCAATTTTCCATTGGGGCTCTGTTCATTAAAGTCTTAAAAGTGACAATAATGTGGTTTGTCATATATATTGTATTGGATACCAATAATGTATTTTGTCAGACATATCGTATTGGATACCAATAATGTATTTTGTCAGACATATCGTATTGGATACCAATAATGTGTTTTGTCAGATATATCATATTGGATACCAATAATGTGATTTGTCAGACATATCATATTGGATACCAATAATGTGGTTTGTCAGACATATCGTATTGGATACCAATAATGTGATTTGTCAGACATATCGTATTGGATACCAATAATGTGTTATCGTATTGGATACCAATAATGTTTTTTTTTCCCGGACATATCGTATTGGATACCAATAATGTGATTTGTCAGATATATCATATTGGATATTATTATTTGGTATGGTGCAATAGGACTGGTAAAAACCCTTTTTCATTGCATTTTCTATAATATGTAATGTGTTTGTCTATCTGTCTGCCTATCTAATATAAATGTAAACATTTATCTGTGCTGTTCTAGTTGCAACCATTCCAACCTCTTGCTGCTGTTGGGTTTTTGTGTAGAGGACGGTCTATGTTGCCTCATAAACAAGTTCATGAAAAACGGATCATTGGACACTGCCTTAGAGAAGGTACATAATACTTTGCTTTATTTTTTTTTTTTTAAAGATACATAGTTCTGTTTACATAACATGTCACATTTAAAGATATCTAACTCAAATATAAAATGATAGCTTCCTAAACAATTGCTCCATAAAGCTTGAGTACTGTAATAGACAGGGGGCTGCCAATATAGTTAAAAAGCATGTTAATAGTGAGCCAATAGTAGGTGAAAGTAAAGGGGGGGAGTGGGGAACATACCGACCGCCATACTGGTTAGCCAAATGAATCTAACTGTGGACGTTGGCTTTATTCTGCATCACTTTGAGACAACTGTCTCATTCAGAAGCTCTAACATTGAATGAGACAATGCAGGCTGAAAAAAGCAGGTAAATATGATTTTTATTTTAGTTTTATATTTCCATGCTTCCTATTTTTATGCTTTCCACACCCACTCCTGGAAGACACTGATCTAACCAATCAGTGTCCTATCCCTTGGAATGCTGGAAAAGTGCATTGGGCATGCCTAAAATCGTCACATATGTGCAGTTGGAAGCTCTCTTCACCTTGCAACATCCTTACAGGGGGAGTAGAGAGAGAGAGTCTGTTAATGCAGAGCAGGATCTAGTGTCAGGATTCTCTCTCCTTGCTGTGTTAGTCAGTACAGGGGGAATAAAGAGTTTTTGCTGCTACACAATATTTTCCTGTTTTTGTCATTAGTGGACTGGTCTTGACTCGATTAGGGGATGGATAAGAGGGGGCCTAAAGAAACTCTCCTAGCTGGGCGGGATGCCCAACAACGGAGTCTGTCCAAGTTAATGAAACATTCATAAACATATTTTTCATACTTTTTCTTGTTTTATTTTGGATTGTTAATTTGTTTAAAAGTGTTTGCTTGCTGGTATTAATTTTTTTATTTTATTTTTTACAAGAGATGCATGTACCTTTAAGAGCAATTTGCTAACTCTGCATCTCCAATCCAGTGTGTACTTGACAGAGTAGATTCTCTTGGGAGTGTTTTGACATTAAATAAGCCACATCCGACAACTCTTAATGGCAGTACTGACTTGGCACAGTCGGAAGCCAATCTCCTAGTCTGACACGGACACACTGCAATTTTGTAAACATACAACTTCCTCAACACCCAGAAGTTTTCCAGGGATAGAGGATATGTGTCTACTTGGAAAACTACCTTGCCTTATTTTCCAGAAGTATTGCTTTCACTGTTACCACGTAGCTTACCATTCATCAGAGTATGGTTTAGAGAAGCCTCCATGTGACATATGCAGGTTTATTTACTAAAGTCAGAATTAAAAGTGAATTTCAAAATTAAGTTCAAGATCGCCAAACTGGAAAGCTAGTTATTCTTCAGTTCAGCTAATCTGGATTTAAATGTAATATTTACTTTGAATTCTCACTTTATTAAATAACCCTGATAGTATTCTGACCAACCCCATGGAGGTCCTACCAGACTAGGCAAGGGATGAACAGAACACTTCTGAAAATTACAATGTACTTTCACCAAACAACTGAGCTCAGTCCTCCACTCCAAGGTGCTCCTATTGTACTAATATATTAACAAGGCACAATGGCCTGGCCACATATTCCGGGAGAAGATATTCTCCACATTCATGATCATTAATGATGACCAAACTGGAGGGTCATTAGTTTTCTCCAGGCACATCTGAACCTCCTAGGAGACTCTGAACATTGGGTTCTGTTGGACTGACATTACAGTTCTCTGGCCATACAGAAAAATTCAGACTTTAAGCTACTGATATATATCTCCTGTAGAGTTTTAAATTATCTTTGGCATTCCTATTGTTTCTGGAATATCATATTTTGATTTTGTCTGTATTAGCAAAGTCTCCCATTTTCTAGTTGAGCCTATTCGGACAGGAGGTATTTTTCTTAACTGATTATCTACATTACATACATAATCTACGTATAAATAAAATGTGCATTGCATAGGTTTACTTTATGCTGTATGTTTACTGCCTGTTTAGTTGTATCTGCATGGCAAAAATAAAAATGCAAACAATAAAATAAATATTGATCCATGTAGAGAGTAAGAAACTAGAGAAGCAAGGGTAGACGGTCCAGAAAGGGAGGCTAAAAACATGGGGACCATAGGCGTGCGCATGGGGTGTGCCGGGTGTGCCTGGGCACACCTTAATTCCCGCAGCACGCCTATGGAGTGAGACCGGCAGGGGAGATCTCAGGATCTCCCCTGTCGGCTCATGCAGAGCCGGCACTATCCGAGCACCGGCTCTGCTCTAAGCCTCCCTCCCCACTGCAGTATGGAGGGAGGCAGGAGAGGACCCGGGGAGCTCAACCAGCAGCTCCGCCGGGTTCCTCTCGCGAGATCTGAGCATTTCCACGGCAACGCTCAGATCTCGAGAGAGTGAACTCTAGCCCCACAGAGGCTAGAGTTCACTCTCCACTGGACCACCAGGGAAAGCAGCAGGAACAAGAATCCCCCCTCCCTACATAAGATAAGAAAGGAGGGGGGATATTAAGTAATGTACCCCCACCTCCACCTCCCACAATCACCCACACACATACAGCGCCCACACAGCACCTACACACATACAGCACCCTCACACATACAGCACCCACACACATACAGCACCCACAAACACACAGCACAGAAACAGCACCCTAACAAACACACACACACACACAAACAGCACCTTTACACACACAACACCCTCAAACCATCCTCACACAAAGCAGTGTATGTATATATATGTGTGTGTGTATATATATATATATATATATATATATACACACACACGCGGCGTGTGTTTGTGCTTTAGGGTGCACACCCTAATGCAATAGGCTGCGCACCCCTATGATGGGGACTAAGCGCATGAGCCCTAGAGACTAATGCTACAAAAATCCAAAGTTTGAGTGGAATGACCCTGGCAGTGAGTGTGATAAACCCAACAACTGAAGATAAGAGAGGGGGATGGAGGGTGAAAAACTTAAGGAATGAAGACCAGGGTATCGAGAGTGAGAGATACTGGGGAAGATAAGATACGGAGGGACTGGAGCCTCTGGAGGTGAGAAAGATGGAGACAAAAAGACAGAGAGAAAGAAGACCAAAAAAAGGACGATTACATTAAAAAAATTATCATTGCACAATAATGAAACAAAAATAAATTGTGCGCCATTTATCATGGATTGTAATATGGCAACCTCGTACATAGCAATGTAGGTTTTTATTTTCTTATTAGTTGCAAGTTCTCATTTGCGTGCTGTCTTGTAGAGACCACAGCAAATTCCACAGCAGTTAGATCAAAATCCATTGTTACAAATATTTATAACCAAATATACAACACGCCTTACAGCAGGGCTATACAGAAAAATGGCAATTGCCGGGAATTCCACCTGAATTCAAAATGAAATGCAAAGCTTTAGCCAAAAATATGCAAATTGGAACATTAATCAAAGTCACCTTCTCAGTTTGGGTAATTTTGACCTAAAATTTTGAATTTATTTTGAATTCACACATTAGGCAGATTTTGAAATGATGAGTGGGTTAAAGTAAAAAAAAATTGCAGTGATAAGATTGTGTAAATCCCAGGTGCTGCTTGGCACTTACCTTCTTCTTAATGGAAGGCTTGTCTCTGACGTCACTGTCTTCTCAAATCCTGCAGAATGGAGCAGACATCCTGACCTGGGAGAAGCGACTAAGTATTGCAATGGGACTTCTACGAGCAGTTTGTCACTTACACGATAATGAGATATTCCACGGTAATATCAAGAGGTGCGTGCAATAGGGTTTAGTAGTAAGTATTGCCACAGACAAGAAGGTATTGATGTAAATGGACCATGAGTTAAAACTTACACATGTAAAATACAGGAATGGATGCCCATGGCTTAATTTAAAGCAGAACTGCCACTTGGAAAATGGTGCAATTGAAAAAAAATTAAAATAATATATATATATATATACACAAACACAGTTATGTTTTGTTCTTTTTTTTATTTTATTTTTTTTACATTCTTTATTTTTGGTAGTACATGGCATGACAATCAGGTAAACAAAGAAATTTTGTGAAGGTATAATGGACAATGCGCTGATGTAGCAATAACAAGAAATGCCAATGTACTGCACTTTTTTTGGGATAATAAAAGAGATAGTCATGTCAGTATACAAAACACTATTCATGCTTAGGTTTAGTAGTTATCAATCAATAGCTAGGGAAACCGAGATAACATCTATAACATGCTTTGGCAACTGACAATGTTTTAAGATTTAGTAATAAAATATAATAACATGCTTGGTCAATAGACAAAAAGAAAAAACAAGCTGAGAAAGACCACCAGATCAATTACAGGATCACTATAGTGTCAGGAAAACAAACTCGTTTTCCTGGCACTATATAACCCTCAGGGTCCCCCTCCCGCTGGGCTGAAGGGGTTAAAACCCCTTCAGCCACTTACCTTTATCCAGCGCCAGGCTCATTCGGTGCTGGTGACCTCTCCTCCCCGCCGTCAGCTCCTGAGTGGAGCGGAATGCGCATGCGGGGCAAGAGCCGTGCGCACATTCAAACAGTCCACAGGAAAGCATTTCTCAATGCTTTCCTATGGACATTCTGCATGCTGAATGCGATTTTCACATCCAGTGTTGCAGAAACGCCTCTAGCGGCCGTCAGGAAGACAGCCACTAGAGGCTGGATTAACCCTGCAATGTAAACTGCTATATTTACATCTGAAGGGTTAAAACCTGTGGGACCTGGCACCCAGACCACTTCATTGAGCTGAAGTGGTCTGGGTGACTATAGTGTCCCTTTAAGACTGTGCCCCTCTCTATGTCACCGTTCAGCAGACTGGGCGTCAGAGACCGTGGTGAGGCAGTACCTGGGTGGCAAGTCAGGTCCTGTGATGTTTGCTGGTGTCGTCTCCAAGCATGCTGCTTCTCAGAAGGCCCCCATTTTGGTCAATAGTTGGGAGTAAGCCTCAGTGTTGCACCCCTGAGCGCCACCAGCGCGGCCTTGTCCTCTTGAGGCGGGCCACCCAGGGCACTGCTGCCATGCATCGGCTTCCGGTACTTCGGGGTCACAGTGTAGGTGAGTATGTTGGTGTAGCTTGTGGGGCCGGCTGGAGATATCTGCGTGGCAGGTCCTGCCAGAATTCCTTGCAGAGGTAGCGGGGCTTCAGCTTCATCATATTGCAGGTCTGTGCACATCGGACCAGGAGATCGGCCGCCTCTCCCCGCCACTACGCCCGTCAGGCCTTGCTTGCAGTCAGCGTGGTTCGCAGCTTGGATGGCCGCAGACCGACCCTGGAGTTAACCCCCAGTCGGTCAGTCAATGCAGAGTGGCCAAGTAACTTGTTTTGCTCGGGGTTGTCAAAAGTGTTGGCGACTAGACTAATTTGTGTAGTACTTGGAGAGCTTTCAGAAAACACATCCAGTCTACACTGCAGTCAGGCCCCGCTCCTCCGGTGGCTTTTCTTTAATCTAATTTTTCCACATTTAAAGTATTGACAAAAATTGTATTTTCACTGCCATGTTAAAGGAACACTATAGTCACCTAAATTACTTTAGCTAAATAAAGTAGTTTTAGTGTATAGATAATTCTCCTGCAGTTTCACTGCTCAATTCACTGTCATTTAGGAGTTAAATCACTTTGTTTCTGTTTATGCAGCCCTAGCCACACTTCCCCTGGCTATGATTGACAGAGCCTGCATGAAAAAAAAAGTGGTTTCACTTTCAAACAGATGTAATTTACCTTAAATAATTGTATCTCAATCTCTAAATTGAATTTTAATCACATACAGGAGGCTCTTGCAGGGTCTAGCAAGCTATTAACATAGAAGGGGATAAGAAAATCTTAATTAAACAGAACTTGCAATAAAGAAAGCCTAAATAGGGCTCTCTTTACAGGAAGTGTTTATGGAAGGCTGTGCAAGTCACATGCAGGGAGGTGTGACTAGGGTTCATAAACAAAGGGATTTAACTCCTAAATGGCAGAAGATTGAGCAGTGAGGCTGCAGGGGCATGTTCTATACACCAAAACCTCTTCATTAAACTAAAGTTGTTCAGGTGACTACAGTGTCCCTTTAATTTTTGAGACGCTGTCTGAAATATTGCAAGTTAACGGATACTATGTAAACTCAATTATTTATACCCTCAATATTTATGTAAAAGATAAATAAAATAAAAACTAATATTGTGTAAATGTAGATCATTTTCATTTACAGGTACCCCTGAACAGCAATCTACACACAAACTTGTTGCTTTCTTCTATATTTCTGTATAATGTATTTAAACAGAAAGTGAAGGGGTTAAAGCAGCTAAAATATGTACCGTGCAAGCATTCTAAGTGTCTTTATCATTGTATTACTTTCTTCCTGTCTTTTACTTTTAATTTAAGAACTATTTGTTACAGCATTAGTGGGTCCATTTATGTCAGCTAGTCTTTTCTCTTCTGTGTTTCCCTAACTCATTGAACACGCAATCTGTTGCGCGTTGGCTGAGGTTTTCCTCCTTATCTGGTTAACATAACCATAGGGACTTTTGTCCCTATAGCCAGTTCCCTGCAGTGGACCCGATGTATCAGACTCTATGCTGTTCTCCCACAACAGTGAGAGATCCATCACGAATGTTTTCGCATACAAACATTGGGTTCGGTATATGGGGTTAAAAGGACAGAGCCCAACAAGTCAGGATGTGGTGTAATATTCCACAGGAAGAGTTTAACTCCCCACCATATTTCAATTTCACCAACCACCACTGTTCCTAAGTCTATGTTAATGCAGTGAAAAAGGAAGAAAAATACATTTGCTTGCACTGGAGGAGCAGATTCCCAGATCCCTTTGCTCTGTCCACCCATTCTCTACTACTACAGTTCACAGTGGTGACGGGGAACCCTAAATATATTCATCCAAGTAAACATTGCAAAACTTTTATTCTATGCCACAGCCCACAGGTAACTTTTTTAAGAGAAGTTTTTAACTTCTGCAAATGTTTTTCGTTCTTCTTTTCTTTGCAGCTCCAATGTGTTTCTGGATGAAGACCTCTCTCCTAAACTAGGACATTCTGGCCTTCGTTTCTGCCCAGACAAAGCAGCAAATTACACTCAAGCAAAGACTAAGGACTTACAGAAATACAATGCCTACCTTCCTGACAGCTTCCTGAGGAACAAACAACTCACTGGGCAAACTGACCTATTTTCTTGTGGCGTGGTAAGTGGAAGAAGGATTTTATTCTAATACAAACTGTGCATGGCCACTTGAATTTAATCATTAACAATGTAAGGGTATTAACCCCAGCTTGGGGTGTCATTAAACCACTATTTATACTAAAACACATGTACATAGTCAAATCGAATTAACATCTGACCTGGTGGTGGTCATTGAGAGATATATATATATACATACACACTGTAATGGCAAAAGGAAAGTGCATCCTCTTTGAATTCTATGGTTTTACATATCAGGACATAACAATCATCTGTTCATTAGAAGCAATTAGGTAAATATAACCTAAGATGAACAACAACACATGACATATTACACTGTGCCAGGATTTATTTAACAAAAATAAAGCCAAAATGGAGAAGCAGTGTGTGGGAAAACAAAGTGCACCCTTACTGCTTCTATAGGAATTATGAGGCTATAGCAGATAGGTGCAACTTGATTAAATGCCCTTTATTAATTGATCATCAGCAAGTGTGACCACCTGTATAAAAGCCACAGTTTTAGCAGTTTGCTGGTAGAAAAAGGCCTATAACACTTATCAGCCACAACATTAAAACCACCTGCCTATTATTGTGTAGATCCCCCAGATGCTACCAACACAGCTCTGATACATAGAGGCATGGACCCCACAAGACCTCTGACTGTGTCCTGGGGTATCTGGGATCAAGATATTAGTAGCAGATTCTTCAATTCCTGCAAGTTGCGAGGTGGGACCTCCGTGGATTGGAATTGTTGTTCCAATACATCCCACAGATGCTCAATCAGATTGAGATCTGGGAAATCTGGAGGCCAAGGCTACACCTTGAACTCTTTATCATGTTCTTTTAACCATTCCTGAACAATTGTTGCAGTGTGGCAGGGTGCATTATCCTGCTGAAAGAGTCCATTGCCATCAGGAAACACCATTGCCATGAAGGGGTGTACATGGTCTACAACCATCTCTACGTAGGTGATACATGTCAAAGTAACATCCACAAAGCAAGGACCCGAAGTTTCCCAGCAGAACATTGCCCAGAGCATATCACTTCCTATGCTGGCCTGCCTTCTTCCCATGGTACATCCTACCAGCTCTTCCCCAGGTAAACAATGCACACACACCAGCTAGTCACCTGATCTACAGGAAAACATGTTTCACCAGGCAACCTTCTTCCATTGCTCCATGGTCTAGTTTTAACTCTCCCCACTGAAGACACTTTCAGTTGTGGACAGTGATAATCATAGGCACTCTGAACCGTCAGACCGGCTTGCTTCTATGCAGCCCCATACATGGCAAACTGCGATCCACTGTGTGTTCTGACACCATTCTATCATGACCAGCATTAACTTTTTTAGCAATTTGAGCTACAGTAGCTCTTCTGTGTGATTGTATTTGATGGTGTAACCTTCGCTTCACTCATGCATCAATGAGACCTGGGCATCCATGACCCTGACGCCGGTTCACCGTTTGCCCTTCCTATTTCTACTTGGTAGGTACTTCTCACTGCATAACGCCCCGCAAGATTTGCTCTGATCCAGTTGTCTAGCCATTACTATTTGTTCTAATGAAGGTCAATGAAAATGAAATAAAAATTTCCCTAGATCCTTAGCCAACCCTCAGAATGGACATAGAATCAGTGAAATAGGTCAGGATGGTGGTACCAGTTCCACCTAGTGTGGGCTTAAACCCACGATACTTTGTTGCCTATTTCATATTCAGTGTGCTTTGCTTTGATATTTGCTAACCCCTGTTCTTATCCTCTCTATACAAGCTTATAGGTACATTTGTTTTGTTTTTGGTGTGTCCGTTATATTGATACCAGTTAATTGGAAGTACCCCTTAAAGGGGTACTACCCGATTTTAGTTTATTTCTTCTAATCAAGGTCACACAGATCTTTTTTGCTTGCCAATTTTTCTAGCTTCCAACACATGAAATTCAAGAACTGATGGTTTACTTGCTGCGTATTATATGCCATCCCTTTGACAGGTGCCACTGTAATGATATTATTAATGTTATTCACTTCACCTGTCTGTGGTTTTAATGTTGTTGTTGATCAGTGTGTCATATTCAGGAATACTGGAAAACACTGATGTACAATGTTTGTAGGCACCAACAATTGTATGTTCTTTCTTAAATGTGTTTTGTTTTCTCCCCACTATAATTCTATCTGTGCTACAAAAATGCAATTATTGCCTATCCTGTTCCAACACTAGCTCTCACCGAACTTTCTTTTAGGTCCTAACAGAGATATTGACGGGTATGAAGCCCTGTGATAAAGACAGACAGCCCATGTATCTGGTAAGACAACTAACCTCTACAGACTCATGCATTTTATAGGCTCAAGCAAAATGTAACAAAATGACAAATAGTTGCAGTTGATTAGATTTTTAGGAAACAGTCAACTACACTACTGCAAACTAGAAACAAGCATGTAAGACAAATTGCAGTTTAAAACCGAAGTAGGAATATAACAAATTTCTTAACATCTAGGAAAAAGACACTGAGCCGAGGTTGTTTTAGTAGTTAATAAGTTGGTGTTCAGCTCTCATTTATTATTGCCAACCCAGTGGGAAGGTGAAGTTGTGATGCAATATGATGCCGTAGTTAAACTGTCCAAATCTTCATCCAGAATGTCCATTTCACCTCTCAGAATGTGGTGGACACTGCATGGCCTGTTGCCGTATCTGGATTTGAGCATTAATGTCTATCCTCTGCAGTATCATGTGAACAATGACAAAATAGAATGGTAAATAGAATACTTTATAAACATTTCTTTGCTATCTGGCATTTATACAGAATAACAAGTTTTTGTTTCACTTTTACAGAAAGAGCTAATTCTGGAAGAAAATGACAAAGTAATAGGACTGACAGAGCCCAGATGTAAAATGGCTGGGGACATGACAGCGGAAAGCCTGTGCGCGAGACAAATAAGCCAAAAGTACACTGACACAAGGGGTGGCAGGCTGATGGAAAATGCTGCGTTTTATTTTGCTTCTGCTATCTGCTTGTGTCTCACCAAGAAGAAAACAGTGGCATCAGAGGTAAAACTACACATGATATGTATTAATTATTTAGTTATAAAATATGCATAAAAGCAAGTATGCGGAAAATAAAGAATAACACAGATTAATTTTACATAGATTGATATAACAGTTCATTGTATAACTCCTGAGAATTATTTATTAAAGGAAACAGGACAATGGGAACAGGGGGGTGGGTCAATATATTAAAAGGTTGACAATTTTATTATTCTACCACATAGGGTGGTATTTAAATCCCAGCAGCTCTCATCCTAAAAACCACAATACCTTAAATGGTCTACAGATTATTTACACTATAAAACTGTGTGTTCCAGCCTAGTCAGGACTAACACTTTGTGACTCTCCTACCAAAGTTGCAAGAGTTGTCATTATATAATATGATATGCCCAACACCTTGTTTTGGAAGGGTTGATGTCCTTTTTGCAGCACGTGGATCTTGACACAAAAAGGTGTTGAATTCAATCAGAAAGCTCTGTTTATCACATTAATGCGGTCACTTTGACACCTGGTGTCCACATGGAAATTGGTGGTTTGTGTATGCTTTACTTGGTTAAGTTGCGTTCTCCCCACAGGTTTACGCAGTGCTGGAAAAAGCAGAGCATTTGTTCAGAGGAAATAAGAAAACTAAAAGCAGACCTCTAGGGTCCGAAGAGAAAAAAATTATGTCATTGAACACCCCAGAAGAAATGGATGACAGTGAAGACTCTCCCCTTGAGTACACGGGAGGGGCTATATTTGAACCCCCCAGCAGCTCATCAAAATATACAGATTCTCCTGATTTCAAAATTACAAAACAACATAACCAAGCTACCAGTAAAGATTCCAAAAGGAACTTTGTTAAGCATGATGAATCTGACACTTTTTGGTTACCTCCAGGGGCAGATGACTTGTATTGCTCTGTGGAAATGTTGTCTTCTTCCGATTATCAACCTACATCATCAACTGCTGTAAAAGACACGAGAAGCAAAAGGGAGAAAAATTACCCTTGTGAGTCTTCTGACTCATCCTTTTCATCCTCAGGTAAGTTGGCTGGGTGTGTAATCCAGGACAGAGACATTGTTTTCAAGTATTTTGTAGAAACTAAGGTTTCTTTGTGATCCAGAGCCCACTCCTTGTTTTTTGATCTTTTATCTCCCACCCCCTTTTTGTCCTATACTCCTGTCTCATAATGTCTTTCTCTCACTTAAATCCCCTCCTCTATTTGTAATGTTAGTACCGCATTCAAGAGGTGTCCCATACAAAAATCAAAGGCAGTCTTTTTTTGTTGATGCCAATTTATTCTAATAATCATACACAAGGCAGTGTTCAGACCAAATAATTGTAAAAAGACATATCTTGGTCACATGACATCTGATCACCATATTAGTTTGACGACAGAATGTCACCACAGCAGCCCATACACCTGCGAAAATAGGGGTGGGTGAGCAAAATAGAAAAAAAATAAATAAAAAAACTAAGTAAAAACTGTCTGAAAACAAGTCAAAGTCTAGGAGGACAGAAGAAAATATGAATAAATTAGTCAAGGAGTAGAGAATGGACAAATATAATCCAAAGCCAGAACACCAGGAATCACTAATGAACATAAACACACTCTTGGATCACCACAGGGGAAAACCACGACAGGGCAAAGCAGAGTGGGCCTAAATAGGATTAGGAAGTCAGTGGGCAAGCCTGTGCATCTTAAAGGGATGTAGGATTACAGTGACCAGTAATGACACGGGTTGCTGGAACACAAGGCTAAATGATGCACAGGCAGTTAAGTCCTAATTGGTGCCAGGACACTTCTTCTCTGTCTCTTCACAGCCTCCCTACCCTCGTGTCCCTTCACCTTCCTATCAATCTACACCTTTTACATATCACCTTGGGCAGACCTCCCCCCTTTAGTATAGGTATTCTCATACCCAGACCATGTGTAAATGAATTTATCATTAAAGGGATATTTCAAGTACCATAAAAAACATGGTTCCTGCATACATTATGGTGCAAAGAAATCCCCGATGTTTGTGTCCCTGCTCACAGTGTCTTTATACTGTAGAGCAGATATAAACTGATTATTGCTTCCTTTCGGTTATAAAAATCGATATTCAGCATTTTACCGGTAATTGGTATAGGCCTTGTAATTTACTGATAAACGTACTCACCTCTCGCAGTCATCACATGGTGTCTAATTTATCAAAACGATCTAGCCACCAGTAAATGAAGCTCCACATCATGACCTTATATCAACCCTTTCTAAGAGTCCCCACATGCGAAGCTGAAGACCGGGAGAAGAGACAGTTAATAATCTACAGCAGGCATGTTAAACTCAAAGTCTAGCACGGGTCGCAAAATGTGGGCCGCAAAAAAAAAAACAACTTTAATTTTCATAGAAACTTTTATTTTGAAAAGTATAGTATAAAAAAAAATAAAAAAAGCATCCCCCTCTACTAAACCACAGCACCCTCCTCTATTAAATCCCAGTCCTCCCCCTCTACTAAATCCCAGCACCCCCCTCTAGCCAACAAGCAGACTCCACTCACATTGCCGCTGCCAGTATGCGACTCCAGAGTCCGGCCTCTGGTATACCCCAAATGGCGCCCTGTGCCAAAGCGGATCCTCCCTCTACTCTTGAAACCCTGTGATGGTGGAGCACGTCGGTGTCACTTTGGAACGTGACGTGGCGTTGCGTGCCCCCGTGCACCTCCAGGTCCTCCACTGTCCAGCAGCGGCCATCGCAACACTGACCGACACACACACACACACTCACTGACTGACTGAAACACACAGACAGACACACATTTACACATTCTTGCACACACTCACATCATTGTATTTATCCCTGGGGTCCAGAGGGGATCTTCTATCTGGAAATCGCCTTCCTGCTGCTCATTGCTTCCTCACGCGCGCAGTGTAGTGATGCAGGAATATGACGTCTTATTCCGGCATCACTACAGACGGCACACGTGAGGGAGCAGGAAGACCGAGCTCCCTCGCTGCCGCCAGCGACCTCTTCTCCCTGGCCGGGTAAATTTAGCAGAGAAGGCACCTGCAATGTGGAAAAAGTTGGTGCCTACTCTGCTTTATTCTAAGCATGTACTTGTGGCTCGCTTGGCCGCAAAGATGTCCCTTGTGGGCTGCATGCGGCCTGCGAGTTTGACATGCTTGATCTACTGTAATGAACTGGGCTGGTAACAGAGTGAAAAGGAGGTTGCTGTCAGCAATCACACTCCTACCAGTAACAGCACTGTACACATGCTGGATGTCGCTGATCCCAGCATGTACTGTCTGCTTGAGAGTGATAGGAGTGTGATTGCTGTCAGCATGTTCGGTTAATACCAGATTTGGGTAGATATTGTGCTACTTTTTCAAAACTTTAAATGTACAGAATATCAGCACCAGTTATCGGTAATAGGCCCGAAAGTCAACAGATAATCGGTATCGGTTTTGGATCCCTATTGCAGAGATTTCCAAAAATTATACATACACATCACAAGAGGAAGCAATGTAGGTTGTTTCGGTTTTGAACAATGGATCTAACCATTAAATAAAGTAGGCCATTGCCTAACTTACCGATAAACTTTTCCATGCAACTGTTTCGGATATTGCTTATTGTTTCTCTCTGTTTTTCCCTTTACCAGGCAGCAATCTTCCATCTTGGGATATCAGGGTGAACAATGAAAAGAAGAAGCTAATGGAAAATATTGAATTGTACAAAGAAGATAGACTGGACAGCACTGATCTCTTTGAATGCTAACAACTACCTAGAGATCAACAATAGTTACATGGACACTAAAGATGTGTATGGAAAAAAGTAAACCCAAACCATATTTACCAATTTTTCTTAGCCAGTTGATATGTTGGCTGAAGATCGGAAGATCTTTAACCCCTTAAGGACACATGACATGTGTGACATGTAATGATTCCCTGTTATTCCAGACGTTTGGTCCTTAAGGGGTTCAAATGGAAACCTGTTCATAGCCAAAGATTAGATACCTCTTGTTTTTGTTATAGCCACATCATTTTCAGCATTTACAATTTTCAGTGGTATTTTGCCAAATTACAGATAATATAAATAATAATTTAACGGCCAGTTATTTTAATGGGTAGATAATGTTTTCAAGTGGCATAATGCACAGTTAGATGTTGCGTCATAATAACTAAAATCACAATAGATCATCAGAACATAAAGTATCTGGCTGCCTGACATTGATGGGAGTAGCACACCATAGCTGCAGGAACATGTTGCAGTGGCCGTAAACATTTCTGTCGCTTTCCTTTACTCATAAACCAGGTGAAGAGCTGGGGAGAATAAATCACTTTTAGGATTATTTATTAAAGTGAGTATTGTTGGGAATTCTAATTGAATTTGAAATTAAGGTCAAAGTAGTTAACCTGGAAGCACAGCTGACTTGGAAACATTTTTCCAGTGTGGCTATTTTGGCCTTAAAAATTAATAGTCAATAACCACGTCAACTTCATTTTACTAAAGTGAGAATTAAAAAAGAATTTCAAATTGAAGGCCAGATTAGCTGAAAGCATAGCCTCCAGATTTTTTCTAGTTCGAGTATTTTTTGCCTTAAATTTGAAATGTATTTAGAATTCTCCCTTCAGTGAATAACACTAGTTGTGTGTCTGTCTCTCCCAAGCCACTAAGTTGGCATATAAGTAATATAAGAGGGATAGAATGATGATGGCTGTAGATTGCAGCTATAGCCCAAGAGTATGTCTCCCATCATTCTCAGCTATTATGCGACATGTTTTTACCAATGATGGTCTATGAAATTAACTGTGTACCTGTGTGTATGTGTCTGTACAAGTGTTGCTTTCCACTGCAGTTAGTATATCAAGCACAATACAATCTGCAGCACTCCACTTGCTGTGGAGCAAACATTCCATTTAAAATATGAAAAACAATGATGGAAATATGCAAGATATTAAGGTGTGAAGCATGTTATGTTGAAGAATATTAATTTATACCATATTAGGGTTCAGGAAAAAGTTATATGGTTTTATTATGTCTAAATCCCCCCAATAGCCTGATTGTACCTTTATACATTTCACTGTTTGTTTCCTATCCTTCTCACTCTCTTCCTCTCTCTGCTAGTTGGTATCTTTGTGTCTAGATTTTGTTTGGCATAATTTGTTATTTAATATACTCTGTACTACCTCTTTGAAATATAAGATGACAAAGTACTTCTTTTGGCTGAACACAGACAAAATGTAATAAAACTGAAATTTTTGTTTGGGGTACATGCCTTTTCTGTCCACACCAAGAGTAATATATTGTACTTTCAAATTTCACAATAAACACACAAAAAAACCTCAAACTACTTTACTCATGATGCTATTCTATCCACAATAACTGCTTGGATTTACATCTCAAACCAAACGAAAACCGTAGGCTAGAGGAATTCTGGGCCAATGTTCCAAATGATCACCAAGGAATTTAACAGAATATTCCTGCTGAATATTCCAATTTCTACAAGCTGCAAACTGGTGCTTTATACATAAACTGATTCTTTTGCAGATTCAAAGCACTATATAAGCATATAATATAAAAATAAGTTAACATTTCCACATGCTATTTCACCATTCGGGGCAGAACCTGACAATGTTGGCCTGAATCTACTGAATTAATTGAAAACACAAAAATATGTAAGCAAAAAGTTAGTCGCTGAATTTCTATTGTGTAAGGAATACAAAGCTGTATTTATTACGCTATAGTAGCCTGAGGACATCCAGCATCAGGTGTCAAAAAGTTGCTTAACCACCTGGAAGTGCCTCTAGTGGCTGTCTGACTGTCAGCCACTAGATGAAAACAAGAGGGCTGCGCTCACCTGAATATGCATACTTGTAAGGGTGCCGCTGGGGCCAAATTAATACAACATACAAAATCCAGCGCACTTGCTCGTTCAATGAACAGCAATTTCAAGTTTCACAGAATGTAATAGTTTTATATAAAAACACCTCACCTAGGCAAAAAATAATGGGGGGTTAGTTACAGCATATGATTATATATTGCATTAGTCGGCCACAATGTCAATGTACCCCATTCTTGGCAGGTGCTACTCTAGACACATAATGCCTGGTCTTGTGAGATTAATTCACTTATTTGGCAAACCTTAACCTGCAGAGAGTCCCAGGAGGAAGCATTTCCCAAGTAAGTGGATTAATCTCATAAGAGCATGCGTTAGGTGTCTAGAGTAGGACCTGCCAATAATGGGGTACATTGACGGTGTGGTAGGTTTATGAAATGTATGATCAAACACTGTAACTAGACCCCCATTATTTGTTGCTGGTGTGAGGTGTTTTTAAATAAAACTATTACATTTTGCTAGACTTGAAATAGTTTGTTAGTGAATGAGCAAGTATGCTGGATTTTGTATGTTGACTGCCACTAGAGACAATCTTAGTTCTGCAATGTAATCATTGCAGTTTCTCAAAATCTGCAATGATTTACATTGCAGGACTAAGTTGGACTGGGACACTGCACAAAGACCACTTCACTGAGTGGAAGTGGTCTGGGTGCTTATAGTGTCTCTTTAATTATTTAATTTCACTGAACGCAAGAGCACATCACCAACAGAATCATTTCTTACATGTTAAATGTTTATAGGGATAATTGTTTTAGAGAGCAGATAGTGGTATGGCTGTAATTAGGTGGATTAATCTCCCATGCATCACTATTTATTTTATTTATCTGAGTCCTCTTAAACTCTATACACATAGAAATGAATTTCTAAACATTAGCCGTTTTTGCAGTTCTTTGATACACACATGCACACTGCAGATTACTATGAGTTTTACTGCTGTGTAGCTCCGTGATACACTTATACACACACACTGCAAATTACTGTGAGTTTTATTGCTGTGCCCAGTGATATAATTATACACATTACTGTTTGTTGTATTTTTGTAGAACACAATAATACACTCATGCACACGGTGCGTTTTAGTCCTGTGTTGTTCTGAAACACTCAAACTTTAATGGGCATACACTTTCCAGGAATATGGGAATGATAGTTCATCAATACATGGAAGGCGAAAGTAGGACAGTCCTGTGCTTCTATTGTGACATGTTGGGGTTATTCCCTAAACCAGGGATAGTTGAGAAATGCAAATTGTAACAAAGAAAAACAGATGGAACAAACTGTCCAACTCAACCAGATTTTAAACTTTGTGTCTGAAGAGTTAGTGAATAATTCCACCTCGATCTAAGGTGTGACATGCAGAGTGTTTTGACAAGGCAACTATGTTAGATTTTCAGATCCAAATTCTCAATGTACACTGATGTTTTTATAGTTTCTTGAAATTTATTGAGAAAAAGAACAAACTTACAACAAATACAAATTATACTAAAACCATCATGGACAAAATTAGTCCTCCAATTCAGGTATTTGGCTGCAGGATTTAGCTAGTTTCATGCGATCTAGGGAGTAGAAGACGTTGGGACAACCTGGAAAAGAGAAAAATATTTAGATTTAAAAAACCCATCTGGTGAGACTCTTTAGTGACCAGCTCCAGGCAAAAAAAAAAAAAAAAAAAATCAGTAGGGAAGTGCTCTGCAAAACAGCATTTAACAAAGCCTGCATGCAGGGACAACTAATGCATCTCAATTTTCTGGTTGAGCATTACAAGAAACATAATGCAGCTCTGCTTTTCCTATACTCTGAAACCAGTAATTTGTTTCAGCGCCCTCAGGTAAAATAGGTAGTTCCAGTAGGTTTATCCTGGGCACATGACATACTTATTCACAGGCAATACTTCAAATATACTTATTCATAGGTAATGTCCTACAGAAATTAGAATTCAAATGCTGCACGACAGCACATTTTATAAAAATACCCATCGATATCAACAAGTGATCGGTTTATAGGAAAATATGGTGACTATGGCACCTATAACTAGGACCGGGTTGCTAAATGCAGAATATTTTCCTGGGCAAAAGACACATCACTTCTTCCTGTTGACTGGCAAAGCGCTGCGAAATCTGTTAGCGCTATATAAATGGCAATAATAATAATAATAATAACACATGCCAGATTGTCTGCAGGTACACAGCCCTGCAGCATGTAGAATACATGATTGAGGATTCACAATAATGAATGACTTGCAGGTGTAGATTTACTAAACTGTAGCAAATGACAAGACTAGATGAAGGCCAGGAATATAAAACAAGGGATAAAGCAGGACATGTGTGACTGACTGGATTTTAACTTATTAAAATGTAGAATTTGAATTATAAAAGCTGGATTTCCCACCTGCTGCAGGGGAACTTGTGCTAACACTAATCACCAATCCTGGAGTGAGAAATATCTGAGCCAGACACTACAGACTCGCAGCAGGCAGGTCAATGAGAGTACTCCATCACTCACACGTGGCGACTTGTCACCCACTCCTTCTCTTCCGGGTTTCGGCAGAATAACATTGAATCACGTGGCTATTTGGCCTGCGTCACCTGCCATACGCAGCTCTGCAAGCGTTTCGGCCAATCACAAGCCACGGCTGGCCGCAGCCAATCGCGGCCCTCCCCTGATGGTTGGCACCATAGACATGGAATGGTTGACACTGGGAAAGCGAAAGTCGGCGGCGGGTGGGCGGGGTCGCGCTGTAGACCGACCAATCAGCGCTCGGAGTAATGTTGGTTGCGGAAGCTAACGGGCTGTGAGGAGGCGGAGGAGCAGTGCGCAGACATCGCATGGTGCAGTGCTGGAGCCACCAAGCGCCCCGGGGTGACTGTAACAGTGAAAGGGTGTAAAGCCAGTGTGATAATATAGAGTATTACCGGACAGAGCCCTCTGACAGGGCTGTATAGCCTCGATCTAACAGGTAGATAGACACCAGGTGGGCTATCAGTATGATTATCAACATTTAAAGGAAAACTCTAAACACCATAACCACTGCATATATTTTATTATAGTGGTTATGGTGCCAGGAGTGCTCTGGCGTTTTCCTATTGTAAGAATTCCAAACATGGACCTCCCAGGGTTCCGCATGGAGCCCACTGCTGCATCTAGACTTCTCCTGCAACAGCGCGTAGCCACCGCAAAATAAAGCAGGACTGACGCAGGACTGCGCTCGTTAACTGAGAGCGTTACACTAATGCGCTCAGCCAATGAGCCCTGCAGCCTGTGGCAGAATCCGCATTCTCCTGCAGGAGAAGACCCGATGTAGAGGATACAGCTGCAGGACCCGGGTAAGTTGTCAAACAGCACTAATACAGTTTGACGACTTACAGTTGCCAGGGCACCCCTGTCACCAAAACCATTGTGGGCTGTGGTAGTTATGGTCCTTGGTGTGTTCCTTTAATGCTTCCCAGTTTTGACCATTTTACCGTAAGCATTAGAAATATTCATTCAGGTCTGTGATGTTTCCTATAAATAGAAGGGAGATTTAAAATGTACCTGTAATTACCCCCCACCTCCCGCCCTAAAACTTATGCTCATTTTAACAATCACAAGATTTCATCTATACATTGGGGTAGCAGGTTTCATAGCAAATATATAGATTATGAGAAAAAAACTATTTAAAATAATTGTTTCTCCCACTTCTTAGACTCTATATTGCCTGTCGATTTGACTGTCAAAGGACAGCAAAAATGCTACGAAACATTTCATGGGCCATTTATTTGTATATTTATATGTACGTAATGTAATTCATTGACCGAGAGTAATCAGCTGACCCTCAGTGCCCAGCAGGACCAGGTAAGAGGGCAAAGCTTTGTAGAACAGTTTGCCCCATTACTGGGAAATTGCACCACTTCTACCATCATAACCCCTAAAGCAAGAAGTAATCATTTTACATATGGACACAAGTGTGTGTGTGTGTGTGTGTGTGTGTGTATATATATATATATATATATATATATAAAACCCTTTAACATATTGGCACTAGTACATACATATCTGACGTATATGGAGCCTATTTCTCCTCAATGGCCATTGCACATGGACTTCTCTGTGCTCCGTAAACAATAGAATGAATTCCATATGCTTCATGACCCATAAACAATACCACTTGTACCCGTTCTCTCTCAGCAGATTTCTCATTGCTACCACCTGATTGTGAAGATGGGTGTTTAGTTCTTGAAATTCCCAGTTTATAAATACATGTGAGAATAAATTTATGTACGGCTCCAAACTCGAGTTGGATACACAGGTCGCACACATCAGGATCTCCTAAGCACAAGAGACAGTAATTGCAAATTAAAATTGTGTTATTAGACCCACGGTAATTTTAATTTCCAAACCAAAGCTCCTAATTCAGCACTGTTGCAGTTAACATGTTACAGCCCTGATGTCAATAGAAAAAAATGATGAAAGAGTTGTATCCTGAAAAGTCATATAAAAATGTAATAGGAGTGGAGTTAGCAATAGAATGGGCATGCTTGTACCACTGGTTTCCATAGTGATCCCATGTTGCTAGTCTGGTGTGTTTTGTGATAATGGTTTCCATGGTGATTCCGTGGTGCAATTTCAGTGTATTTTCTTATAAAATTGATTCACTATCCGGTTTATTTTTCACAAATGTGTTAACTGTTGGAAATTAAAAACGATTTTTAACGTGTTGTGCCTATAGATCTAAATTTGCCACCTATGGCCTCGAATTAATTAGTTTGAAAGCTTTTTAAATGATCACACTCTGTTGGTAAAACATATCAAATGATATATTTAAAAAGTGACTTCTGTAGATAAATAATTTGAAAACTTTATCTAACAGATTGTGATCATTTGAAAAACGTATCCTAAATAATTAAACTGTTGCCTATTAGTGATGTCCCGAACGGTTCGCTGAACGGTTCGCCGCGGATTCATCATTGAGTAAACTTTGACCCTGTACCTCACAGTCAGCAGACACATTCCAGCCAATCAGCAGCAGACCCTCCCTCCCAGACCCTCCCACCTCCTGGACAGCTCACTAAGTGCTGAATGTGAGGTACAGGGTCAAAGTTTACTCAATGATGAGTCCGCGGCGAACCGTTTGGGACATCACTATTGCCTATGTTTCCAGTTCCTACAGCTATTTGGCTTGCAGTTTAAAATTCATTTCAAATTAGTAATTTAAATGAATAATTCACATTGTAACGAATAACTATGATAGTGTGGGCCTTAAAGATGTTTGGGCCAGGAATACTCTTCAATTTACCTTTGAACATAAACACAAATCTTTTTGCTGCTTTCTAAATTTGTAATTTGTTGTATCAAAGCTAAGAATTGTAGTACTGCTTTTGTTCTTAGAGACAGAACATTAATTATCAATATTACAAACATTTATTCATTCAAATTTTAATTTTTTTTATCTCAGTTGGGATTTGTTTTTTCATACTGGTAGTTTCTCGTTTTTTTTTTTACATTTCCCAATATTCAATTAGTGTAACAATTATAGGAAGTACTACAGATGCGCTGAGTTTACTATTGTTATTGTGATATCTTTTGTAAATTATGTAATCGCTATATAACACCTGTTATATAGTCTGTCAAACTGATAAGTATTGCTTCTGGTCTAAAAAAAACTGTCTTTCTATATATATATATATATATATATATATATATATATATAGTCTAATAAAGCTGTTACTACAATGTTTTCCTTATTTTTGTAAATTCGAATAATTAACTTCATGTGTGTTTAAATATTTTTTTTTTCTGTCAAGAGACAATGGCGGCAAGCGATGGTAAAACACGGAAACATAAATGGTCAAGTCCAACAGAAATGTCCCCAAACAAGTATCTTAAAGGTACTGAGACCAGACTCCCTCGAAGAGTCAGTTATACTAAAGCCCATGAATCTGAAACTGTTAACGTGACGCAGAATAGACACGTAACCCTATACGAATGTGAGACAGATGCCCGAAACAGCCCGAGTTCCAAGACGCTGGATGATGAAACTATTTATTCTAGCCCTGCTACTGCAAAGGGCAAACTAAGGAGACGCCAGCGAAGTGACCCTTCCACATGTGACACTACCCAGCTGGATACATCTGCAGATTTAGTTACTGGACATTCAGATGCTTTTAGAAGAGAGGTACAAAATACCAACTGATATATGTTTTGACACAGCAAAAAAGCAAACTTTATTTATACAGGGAATAATGTACAGTATGGCTGCCATCTTTCAATTTGGCAACCCCTAATCTCTGGTGGCAGTGGGAATTTTTGTTCCTGGACTGCAGTTGCATGATGTTGCTATTTAATTCAGCACTTTCCAGAGCTTAATTAATGGTGGGGGGAGCAAATAGCAACTGCTACCCTATGGTTTTGCTCCAACCGATATCAGGCAGACAAGAACCCTGTCCCACTGATATCCTGAGATTAAAGGAGCCTTAAAGGAACTCTGTAGTTATCCATAACACTTCATCCTAATAAAGTGGTCTGGGAGCAGTGGTCCGTTCCTTTTTAACCCTAGTATGTAAATCACTACAGTTATTTAGAAACTGTAATGTTTACATTGCATGGTTAAATGCACATCTAGTGTCTGTCTTCCTCCTCCAGACTGAGTAAAATTTGTTCTGGGAATCAGATGTTGCCGATAGCAGGATTTGATTGGAGTAGCAGAGCATTTGAATATTTATGAGAAGCAATGGATTGAAGGAGTTTTTGGGTGATGTGAGCTTTGATGCTGACGTCAGTGGAGTGGACCCAGCGCAGGAAGCGAGTTGATTAATCTTTATTTGATTTTACTTTTTTTTTTTTAAGCAAAGAGGGGTGGGGATGGGGGTGCGGCGTAGACAGTAGAAAATCATTGGTTTCGAAATAACAGTTGTTATCTTCAGACTATGAGTTCCCTTTAAAACCTTCTCTGCCCCTTGACAGTATGAAATAAAGTAATACATGATGGTGAAGCAAATGTTAGTGGAATATAATGCCATCTCGTGATTTTGGAGATCTTTGTAAACCACTTGACCTTAGCTATTGTGGTTCAGTATGATATAAGCAGAACTCCTTGTTGGCATTATTTCCCCAAAATGTGTTTTTCGTTTGCCTGCATTTAGCAAATTAAAGAATACCTCCCTTTCTGACATGAAAATTTTAATGCCTTAAATAATTATATCAACAGGAGTTGCAATATTACTGTCAGTTTTCTTTTAACCTTTAAGGTCATATGAGCATTTTTGGGGGTTTGCTGACTGATGCTTAATATTGGAAATACACATTTCTTTATTCTTGTGTAGGACGTCATTGTAAATGTACACATATGTCTAAATAAAGCTCAATATTTGTCTCCCATTCCCATCTCATGGCTGTGTAAATGCGTAAATCAGGTTTGTCAAAAAAATACAACTAACATTTTACCTTTTTTTTTTTAAATTAAAGGGACATTATAGTCACCAGAACAATTACAGCTTATTGTATTTGTTTTGGTGAGTATAACCATTCCCTTCAGGCTTTTTGTAGTAAACATTTTTTTCAGAGAAATGGCAGTGTTTACATTACAGCTAGGGACACCTCCACTGGCCACTCCTCAGATGGCTACTAGAGGTGCTTCCTGGGGCAGTGCTGCTCAGTGTACAGCACCGCAATTCAGTGTCTCCACCCTCTGCTTTACTACTTGTGCCTAGAAGTCAATTCTAATAGGTTACTCATGGCATCTGGTATTGTTTGGATGAAAAGCTTCCATATGCATGATATGGCTCTATTTGCCAAGCTGTGCAACGGACAGGAGCTGGAGATGTTTACATACATACCTAGAAATATATACAAAATATTGCAACAACATCTTTAGGGCAATAGCTCATTTATCCTGTATTTGTCAAAGCATATATTAATAATGTTGCTTGCTATGTCATTTTTTTCAGCTTTTAAAGAATTCAAAGTATTGTCACAAAGCTAGTGAGATGTATTCTTATGCATATCAAGCTGTTTTTACTATTATGCTGATTGGGTGCTTACTCTTAGGTTCGTACACATGAAACAGAAAACCGTGATGACACAACATTACATAAAGATGGACCCAGCTTCAGGAAGCCAAGAGCTCACGATCCCTCAATGATTTTTAAAAAAGCATTCCAGGACATCATTGGAACCCCTGTGAGAAGCAAGCGGACAAGCAATGAACATAAAAGTTCTTCTGATAAAGAACATCAACGTGGATCAGATGAATGTGACCTCAAAGTGTTCGTTCCTGGTGCAGGCATTGCAAAGAAGAGTGAGCACCACTCAGATGAAGATGATGTTCAAAAAGAAGCACCTGAAAGATTATCCGATTCTAGTGATGTTGTCACAGAATTGCCAAACAAATCAGAAGCCAATGTACATGAGGAAACCCAAAGGCTTGTGTTTCTGTATGACGATTCAGATGAAGACACCAATACAGTAAGTGCTGAAATACAGAGGAGCATTGGCAAAGATTTCCAAGAGCCCATTGATTCATTATAAGTTAATTGAATGATTATACATATTTGAATGGTTTGTAATTCATGTTAAAGGAATACTCTAAGCACTAAACCACTACAACATTCTTCATTGATCCAATGGTGAACTGTCAAACTGGTTAAGAAGAAGGATTAAGAACTTCTGCTTTGCCATACCAGATCAGACTAGAAGCAGCACCGAAACATTGCAGTGACAGGTGAGTATAAAACCTTTTTTAAGTGGTTTGACAGACTCCTGGTACCACAATCACAACTTCACCCTGTAGTGGTTATGGTGCTTAGAATATCTCATTAAATTAGACCTGCTGTGCAAATATGAGATAAGACACTTTATAAATTACAACATCTCATGTCGATATTGTTCCAGTTAAACAATATAGCTCAGTTTTGCGTGTGTCCCTGGTGCAGAAGGGGTTAAAAACCCTTTGACACTTACCTGAATCCAGTGCCGATGTCCTTTGGCCTGGGTCATGCCCCGCCTCCTCTCCTCCACCGAGGACAGCTGGAAGAGGCCCTAATGCGCATGTGCGGCGAGCGCCGTGATCGCATTATGACTTCCCCCATAGGAAAGCATTGTATAATACATTCCTATGGGATTTTGGGTCTCACTGGATTCCTCATGCATAGCGTGATGAAAAGATGCCTAACCAGCTGGAAGTCCCTCTAGTGGCTGTCTGGTAGACAAAACAATTTTTTAACCAAAACTGCAATAATTACAATTGCAGGGTTAAGGTGCCTGAGAAACTGCACCCAGACCATTTCAGTTAGCTGAAGTGGTCTGGGTGCATATAGGGTCCCTTTAAGTATCGTTAAAGGGACATTCCAGACCACAAAACAACTTTTGCTTGCTGAAGAGCTTTATGTGTGAAGAGTGAGTCCTTTTTATATCATTTTGGAAAAAGTTCAGATTTCAATGGAAATTGACACTTTTATAAATTATATTGGTTACACCCCTTGGCTTTTCAAGTAGACAACTGGTCCTGTTACTTCCTAGTTGGTTAGATTATTTGCACTTGCGTTGCAAATGGGGAATCTGTGATTGAACAGTCGCATAAAGTCTTGGTTGGGTTAGAAGAGGAGTCTTGCAAAGACAGCAGGCAAGAGATCTGAAGTTTTTGCAAGCTGTTTTAGATACAGCTTCAATGAAAAAATTACATAATTAACTGCATGCAAATTTTCATTTGGAGCATATCTACTAAACAGTGATTTTTATTCATTTTGTAATTGGGCAGTGGAGTGTCCCTTTAATACTGGTTTAAAAAGTGGTCCGTGGTTTATAGACAAGATTCTCAGTCTCCTCCCTGTCCAGGTCCACAACCCTTATAGAAACACAGAATGTGACAGCAGATAAGAACCATTCAGCCTATCTAGTCTGCCCTATTTTCTAAATACTTCCATTAGTCCCTGGCCTTATCTTATAGCTAGGATAGCCTTATGCCTATCCCACGCATGCTTTAACTCCTTCACTGTGTTAACCTCTACCACTTCGGCTGGAAGGCTATTCCATGCATCCACTATCCTCTCAGTAAAGTAATACTTCAAGATTTTTATTTTTTATTTTTTTTATTATTCTTTGTTTTACTTGTGCATAGGTATTACAGACAGGCAATGCCACAATAGCATGAGCTAGCCACGTAAACCACACAAAAGAAACATTGATCTGTCATGGTCATAGCACATTTTTATATGATAAAATAGGTCGCTTATGTCGTAGGTACTGCTCAATATGTTTTAAAGTAAAGAACAAGAACTACGTGAGACAGTGTGGCATGTGAGAAAAGAAACTGAAGGATATCACAAAACTGAGAAACACATGCCTTGGCTACTAAAGATCCTTGAGCCCAACCATATGCTTAGCCAATCAGTGGAGCACGACGATAAAAAGAAAATAACATAAGGAAAGCGAGTCAGACATGAAGAGGTACCCCCAGCCCCCACCTAGAGACCACTCAATCCCCTCCACCAGCAGGTCACCGTCCCTTCAAACAGATGTGATACCTCAGGCATACCGCCAGACTGCTACCCAGGTTGTATAACTAGTTGCTGCAGAGTGTATTCGGGTCATCCGCTTGTAGTTGGTATAGAGGAGTCCTTCAGTGGCTCCACTCATATCTTTTAGTGGCACAGCTGTAGGGCACCAAGCGCTCTCCGTTGTGGGGCTGCGGTGTCGATTATTAGCACCCAGGTCAGACCATTAGAGCCGTAAGTATTCCAAGTGCTGATTTCCATGGTTGTCCACAGAGGGCGCCAAGAGCCCCGAGGGAGACCACCTTCTTCATGAGTGCTCGAGGTTTAGAGCAGGTATCGCCGCCATCTTGAGAGGCGAGTGTGACCTGGCATTATCTGGGCCCCCCTGGCCCAGAGAGGGGGAAACGGGGCTGGAGCCACGCAAATCAGGAGGTCCCTTCCATTGCTGACGGACAGGATAGCAGAGTGGCGGCCGTCCACTCCACTCACCACCTGAGCATGATTGGTTGCTGGATGTTTCGCCACAAGGGAGCAGGGTGTGGATTCCAGGCTCAGAAGGTGAGTTAGCACCCTTGGTTTATGTGGGTTATCACTCCTCCGCTCCAGACACCGTTCAGAACCCATAAATTGGTCCAAAAGTTTATTGATAACAGGAGCTGATCTTCCATACGTCCAGTCAGCATGGCAGCCTTAGGTTATAAAGATTGTAAACAAAAACAAGAAATTGTCACACACATCAGATCAAGCTCTACACTTGGTTCTTTGCTGACAGGAGTAGCATACTCTTAATCCTAGATAGCTTTAAGGAGTGACCTGGCACACAAGCCATATAATAAGGAAGATTTTATTAAGGACAAGCTAAGAGACAACGTTTCAACTCCATACCAGGTTCTTTCCCTAGTCAAAACAAGCCAACACACCATGTACATATATGTAGAATAAAAACTACTTTTAAAAAATTGCAGTCAGATTACTTTATAAAATTTGAAACCGTACAGAGACATTGAAAGGAAGTGGTGTACCAGCGATACAAACTAGTCCGAAACAAGAAGTGACATAAGGCGTCTCACACATCCATAGCAACATCATTAATGACCCATTTTGTTACCATAGTGAGGAGTCTCTGCTAGTGAAGGTTATATTTTATTTTTGTTTCTGCCCACACTAGCGGATTTTCCACACTGTGGTAACAAAGTGGGTTGCTATGGACGGGATAGGCACATATGATGTCAATTCCGACCTCTTGGCTGTTCCTAATAATAGCTACCTTATGTAGCTTGTATGCCTGGGCAGAGATATTAAAGATTGTAAACCACGTGTTGAGACGTAAAGTTTATAATCAGTTGTGGTACTTATAGGCATTGTTACATATTACTTTTATGTTGACTTCATAGTGAAGAGTCCTGTTTCTTGTCTTCACCGGTTGATTTTATTTTCTAGGGAGGGGTTGTGGAAAAGGACCCATCTATAGGAAGTGACTTCTCCGATGTAGAAGATGTCCACTCTTTGGCCAGGTTTTCTCAAGAAGATCCAATTCCTTCATGCTGTTCCATACCGAAGGCATATAGTGGTACATCTTCAAGTTATGTTATGTACCCGCCTTACCTATATAAAAGTCCGTGGTGTAATTACACAGACCAGTGGACAAGTAGCCCAGTGTATAAACCGTGCACTGAACAGGACATTTGGCGCCAGGAAGAATCTAATGGCAGCCTCATATCGGACCATTGTACAGACTGGTTAGAGAAATCTTCTCTCAGTGTCTCCAGTGACCGGGAAAGTCCTGAACACTTACAACGGCAGAGATCTGGCTCTTTTCACTCTCCACTGACACATAAAAACACAAATCTAACTCAAAGAAGGAAGTCCGATTCATTTGTTTTGTCAGATTTTTCAACAAATCCAACCTCCTTCAAAGATGGGTTCATAGACACGCATTGTCACCTGGATATGCTGTTTGGAAAACTGTCATTTAAAGGCTCCTTTGCAGAGTTCAGAAGAGCCTACAATACTTCTTTCCCTGTGGAGTTCCAAGGTTGCATTGCAGATTTCTGTGATCCTGATACACTGCATAACCTTCAGTGGCAGGATTTGCTGGAAGAGGACATGGTGTGGGGGGCATTTGGTTGCCATCCACACTTTGCACAGTATTTTACAAACCAACAGCAGGAAGAAATAATGAAAGCTCTTCGACACCCAAAGGCTGTTGCCTATGGTGAAATGGGGCTGGATTATTCCCACAAGTGTTCTACAAAAATCCCAGTGCAACAAAAGGTGAGAAACCTTAACCTAAATAGTCTATCTAGGTTTTCCAAAAAAAGGACTTTCTTTCATAGATGTATTGTGGTGTTCTGCAATTTATTTATTTTTTTTCAATTTGACAGTTTTTATTTTTGAAACGTGAAAGCAAAAAAGGGGGGGGGGGAGTTACAGACATAGGTATCTGCAAATTGCACTGTGTCATAGAGTTTTGCTTCACAGAGTTTTGCATAGAGCCTCCTCAATCAGTATATACAGCATTGAAAGGGTATCGTTGCGTAACCTGAGGCTGGTATCAGGTGTGCTGTCTATCCAATACCACTGGTATGGTTCTGTTTGTCATATGTTGGGATGAGGATCGTAGGGGGGTATGAGCCTGTTGGTTGGGGGGGGAGATGGGAGGGGGGGTTGCTCCAACGTCAGTGGGGTCCATCAGAATCGCACCTCGGGTTCATCCCCGTATTGCCCGTTTCTGTCTCGTGTCTCTTAGCTATCGACTTTATATCTGTGTCTCTGTATGTGCGTGTGTATTCTCCTCTGTCTTCTAGTCTGTGGCTCTTTTGGCCCAATTCTCCCAAACCTCCCGTTTCCAGGGTTGGTGTGTTGTTATAGAGGCGGTGTGCATTTCGTAGCTCCCCACTGTTGAGACATACTTAGTCAGTTCTTGCATAGTCGCTGTGGATGTGGAAAGCCAATTTCTGGCAATGTGTGTCAAGGCTGCGATTTGGATGTGGTATATCAAGTATTTATCGGCTGGGGGGTATTGGTCTTTGTATATAAACAGTAAGAGGGAGGCTGGGGAGTTGGGGACTGCAATGTTTGTATGTGAGTGAATGAGGGAAAGAACCTCTTTCCAGTAGCTCTGTATGATGTCACAGCCCCACCAGATGTGTAGGAATGTGCCTGTGTCTCTATGGCATCGCCAACAGGTGTTTGGTTGTGATGGCAGTATCTTAGCCAGGCGTGTGGGAACCATGTACCACCTGTAGGCAATTTTGCGCATGAGTTCCATGTGAGCTGCGCAGGCTGACCTGCCTTTGTAGCTGTTGATGGCTTTGAGCCAGGTGTTTTCGGGTATTTGACAGCCTATGTCTGTTTCCCATGCTTTGGCCCACGGGAGATGGCAGAGTTCTGTGTTAGTGTTCAGGAGTGTGTAGATGGCGGAAATGGGCCCCTTGGCAGGTGCTCCTGCAATTAAGCGTTTCTCAAAGTGTGTAAGGAAGTGTGTTTGGGGATCTGGTGCTGGGATCTTCATATGCATGAGCCAACAGGACCTCAGTTGTCTATAGGAGAAGTGCGCTATGCTTGGGATAGTGTATCTGGTGCTAAGGTCATGAAATGACAGCAGTGTTCCTTTGTTTTGCAGGTCGTGCAGGTGTGTAATTTCACATCTGTTCCATATCTTAAAATTGAACTCAGGGATCAGCTCCGCCAGCGATCTGAGGGACATGGCCATTGAAATAGGGCGGCAGCTGCACAAACGCGCACGGGAGGTGTCCCATATTTTCAGGGTTGCGGTTGTGGCCAGGAGCGCTTGCTCCAAGTTTGGCCTTGGGGGGTGGGGGGGTTTAGCCACATCAGGGTGGATATGTTGAGCCGGTTTGTCCAAAAGCTCTCGATAGATACCCACTGCGGTGCGTCTATGTGATGGTGGGCTGCCACTAGACTGGTCAGGATTGATGCTCTGTAGTATCCCTCAAGGTTAGGTAGGCCCATGCCTCCTGCCTGTGTGGTCCTATAGAGGGTTTTTGTGCCTATTCTGGGCTTTTTGCCGTTCCATATGAACATATTAATTTGTTTTTGCAGCACTTGGAAGTAACATGTTGGGGCTATCAGTGGGACTGTCCTAAATAGGTATTGCAACTTAGGCAGCAATACCATTTTTACAGCAGCAATGCGTCCTGACCAGGAAATGTGTTTATTTCTCCATTGTTGGAAGCTTTCTATTATTCCTTTGCTCAGTTTGACATAGTTGAGATCGTAAAGTTTTGGGGATTATGCGGAAGTCTGACACCTAAAAAGGTGAGGTAGTCTGTTCTCCAGTCATATGTAAATTCTTTCTCAAGGTCTGACCTGTCGGTGCTCTCCATCCTCACCCCCATGGCTTGTGTTTTTGTGAGATTAAGCTTATAATACGAACACCTGCTGTATGAATGCAGTATGTCGTGAAATGCTGGTAGCGACGTCTTGGGATCTGTGATGGTGAGGAGTATATCATCCGTGAAAAGGTTTAATTTCATTTCCCTGCCGTCTATGCGCACCCCATGTATACAATTGCCAGGATATACAATATGGGTGACAGGGGGCACCCCTGGCTGGTCCCATTTGTTATACAAAAGGGGGTTGATCTAAAGCCAGCGTTGAATAATCTAGCCGTGGGCTTATTGTAGAGCGCCTTAATCACCGCCAGGAACTGGGGGGGGAATTTAAATTTTTCGAGGACCGCCTGGAGGAATGACCAGTTCAGGCGGTCAAAAGCCTTTTCGGCGTCTAATGATTGAAGTATGCTGTTAGTTGACGATCGGTTCATGCCTTGTAAAAGGGCGAGCGCTTTGCGTGTCCCGTCTGCCCCCTGTCTCCCACTAATGAAACCTACTTGGTTGGAGTGGATCAAGGCAGGGAGGATACCTTTCAACCTATTCGCGTAAACTTTCGCCATTATTTTAATGTCAGTATTCAGCAGGGAGATGGGTTGGAAGTTGGCGCATTTCGTGGGGGGCTTGCCTGGTTTGGGAAGCGTGGATACGTTAGCCTCCAGCATCTCCTGTGGAAGCTTACTCTCAGTAGTTGCTGTTGCAAATAGTTTTGCCATCTGGGGGGAGAGGATGGAGGCAAACTTTTTGTAATACAAGTTGGGGAAGCCGTCAGGGCCTGGTGATTTGTGAGGAGGCAATGTCGCTATCATTCGTTCTATCTCTTGTGGCGTAACTCTGTCCGTCAATAGGCGGATTTGGTCGTCTGTCAGTCTGGGGAGAGTTACTTGGTCTAGGAATTGGGAAATGTCTGTCGGTGTGAGTTGGTGCGTCGCCGCATCTTCTCGTAGGTTATATAGTTTGCTATAAAATTTTGCAAAGGCATTGCAAATATCTTGGGGTTTGATAACTTTTTTGCCCTCGTCAGTCAGTATGTATCCTATTTTTGTCTGAGCGTTAGCTGTGCGCAATCTATTGGCGAGTAAGGCGCTCGCTTTATCACCCATGACGTACTGTTTTGCCCTGTGTAGTCGGTCCAGCAGCAGCATATCGACCGGGATGTCTGGTAATAGAGCCTTGAAGAAGCCGTTTACAAAGGCAGGGAGGTCTGCTTCCAGCACCTCTTCCGGGATGCCTCGGAGTCGCAGATTGCTTTGGCGTGACCTATCTCCTAGGTCCATGAGCTTCACTTCATATTTGGCAAGTTGTGAGTCAAGGGTTTGGATCCTGTCGACAGCTTGATTGTGGGCATCCACAATGTTATCCACTTTTGTTTCCAGGTGTCCAGTTCGTGACCCCAGATCGTGTAGGTCTCTCTTGATCTCGGCCACGCTTTCTTGCCAGGTGGCGATCAGCTTGGTTGATTGTTTGTCCAGGGCTGCTTGTAGTAGTGAGGCCGTGAGCCCCATTTCGGACTGTGTGTCCAGATCTGAGCGGGGGCTGCTCCCGCCGGAGTACCCGGCGCCATCTTGAAGGCCTGGTTCAATTTGTAAGGCTGGCGGCTTTTTTGGGGCGAAAAAGTTCATTTTGTCGCCTTTGTCAGTATGTCTCCGTGTCTTGGAGTGTGGCATGACGGCTTGTGTGGCTATCAGTCCCAGCTGTGTGCCGGATTGGGTTGCATTGCCTGGCTCGTGTTGCGGAGCTCAGAGCTCAAGCGGCCATCTTACTCCGCGGTCAGGACACGCCCCGTGTTCTGCAATTTAGAGAGGATGAATGGACCATTTTGTCATTTTGTGACATTTTTAATAAGCATAAAAATTGCTTTCATGTTTCTGTTGCACTCTGCCGTGCAGTATGGGGAAAGGTTAGCCAGGAATCCGCTGACACTCTCTGCCTCTCAGAGGCCGTCTGGTTCACCCTTTCTTGTAGTGCACTGCAGAGAGGAATACAAACTGGAAACAGATATGCCAGGCACCGGAGCTCCAAATTTGAGGTTAAACCGTTGCCCCCATAACAACTTAAATGGGTGTTAGTTGTTTGGGGTTGGGAATGTTCCTTTTAATGTAGATAAAGTAGCATTTGTTTAACATCAGTTATTTTATTTAATTTTACTTATTCTTTGTTGAGGTTTTTGAGGATCAGCTGAAACTTGCAGTTTCGCTAGGGAAACCTCTGGTGATTCATTGTCGGGATGCAGATGAGGATTTGTTCCGGATTATGAAGAAGTTGGTTCCCAGTGACTACAAGTTCCATCGGTGAGATATGTATCTTATTCTGTACACCATTTTTTCATAGCTCTCTCTCATACTCTAAACCAAGCATGTCAAAGTCTGGCACGGGCCACATAAACAAGGTTTAAGTTCATGTGGGCTGCAAAAAAAAAACCTTACATTTTCATAGAAACTTAGGTTTATTTTAAAAAGTACAGTATATGTAAAAGAAAAACAAAAAAAAACAGCATTCTCCTCTACTAAATCACAGCAAACCCTCTCTACTAAATCCTAGCCCCCCCCTCTACTAAACCACAGCACCCCCCTCTACCACCCTATGCCAAATCTGATCCTCCCGCTACTTCTTGAAACCATGTGAAGGTGGAGCACGTTGATGTCAAATGGCATTCCGTGCCTCCATGCATCTCCACTACTCCACTGTCCAGTCGCAGTCAATGCAACACTGACCAACACACACACACTCACTCACAGACAGACACACACACATTCTGACAGATACACACACACATACTCACTGACAGACACTGACAGAAACACACACATACTGACAGACACACACACACACATACTCACTGACAGACACTGACAGAAACACACACATACTGACAGACACACACACACACATATTCACTGACAGACGCGCAAACACACACATACGGACACACTGACGGACACACACACACTCACTGACAGACACTCACAGACAAACACACACACTGACAGACACACACACACTGACAGACACACACATCATTTAATTTATTGTTCCCTACCTTTGGGAGCTGGTGTGGGAATCTTCTGTCTGGAGATCTCCTTCCTGCCCCCTCCCGCGGTTTAGTGATGTCGGGTGCCAGAATATGACATCAAATTCCGGCGCCTGGCTTCACTAGAGACGGTGCACGAGAGGAAGCAGTGAGAAGCAGGAACACTGAGCTCCCTCGCTGGCCCTCCTCCCCGGCCGGGTAAGTTTTAGCAGAGTAGGCACCTGCAATGTGGGGAAAGCAGGTGCTATACTCTGCTTTAACACCAGCATGTATTTGCGGCTTGCGGGGGCGCAAAGATGGTCCTTGTTGGCCGCATGCGGCCCACGGGCCGAGAGTTTGACATGTTTTCTCTAAACCATGTCTTGATGTACATGCAGAATGACAGCAAGAACTTCACAAGAGCAGTCACTCAGACGGCCACTAGAGGTGCTTCCTGGGTCAGTGCTGCACAATGTGCAGCACTGGCGTTCAGCGTCCACGTTCTGCATGGAAACGCTGAACCTTCTCCATAGACATGCATTGATTCAATGCATCTCTATGAGGAGATGCTGATTGGCCAGGGCTGTGTTGACAATTCTGATGATGTCAACCAAGAAGGCGAATCAGGGGCAGGGCCAGCACCGGTGGACCAGCTGGCGCTGGAATAACGATGATTTCTTACTGCATTAAAGGGAGTAGAAGGGGGCTAAGTAGTGTTTTTAACACTATATGGTGAGGAATACACATTTGTATTCCTGACCCTATAGTGCTACTTTTACGTTTGGGTTGCCGAACTGCTGACTTTGAGAATTTTTCCAGTTCAGCAATTTTGACCTTAAATTTTAAATATATATATTCACTTTGAATTCTCATTTTACAGGGTTACTAAAGGTGCGAAGTCATAGTGAATTCAAAATGAATTTTAACATTTGTGGTTAAAAGAGCCAAACTAGAAAAAATCAGGAAAGTTAGCTATGCTTTCAATTAGGCTCTTCTGGCCTTAAATTTGAAATTCACTTTGAATTCTCATTTGAATTCAAATAACCTTGTTAGTCAATTACCCTATTAGTGTATGTATAATGACTTTCTATATGTCCTTTAGGGTGAAAATCAAGTGTTGATTTTATTATGATCCCTACCACCTATATAGTGTTTATGTGGTATCATATTGAATTTTATACCCTTTTTCCTTCTCATTTTGTACTGTATTCTGATATTATTTATTTTTATATTGATCTCTAGACTGTTTTCTATCATGTACATGACTAGTTTATGTATCAAACATTTTCCAATAACTTGAAAAGATGTATGATGATAAATAATCTGTGTATGTTCCCTCGTTAGGCACTGCTTTACTGGCCCTTACAGTCAAATCGAGCCTTTTCTGAACGAGTTTCCAAACATGGCTGTTGGTTTTACTGCACTTGTGACATACCATTCTGCTACCGATGCCAAAGATGCTATGAAACGAATACCTCTGGAACGGCTGCTTGTCGAAACAGATGCCCCTTATTTTTTGCCTAGACAGGTATACCTAGTATCCATTACTAGTTATTCATTATGTTTGTTGATTTGGAAATAACTTTATTAATTATTTTGTTTCATATTGTATTGGATGAGGAGGGGGAACATAAGGTTCCCTTTGTACATAACCTGTCAAAATGATATAGATTTTTTTTTTTAATGATATCGACTTTTCTCATTATCATTCCTTTCTTTAGTTAATATTATTTTGCCTTTTGTTGCTGTAGCTTCTAGCCTTAGCTCTGTTGATGTTTGTTAAAGGAACACTATAGGATCAGGAACACAAACATGTATTCCTGGCCTTATAGTGTTAAAACCAACATCCACCCGCCCTCTCCTCTCCCCATAGCAAAATCTTATGTTTATTGCAGTCTGCTACTGCTGGCTCTGCCCTGATCTGCCTGTTTGGCTGACATCATCAAAAGTGATGTTCTGAGCCAATCACAATGCTTTCACATAGGAAAGAATTGGATTGCCTGAGCTTGACAAGAGGCATTATCAGGGGCAGATCCAGCACAAGCCAAACACTGCCCTGGCCAATCAGCATCTCTTTATAGAGATGCATTGAGTCAATGCATCTCTGTGAGGAAGGTTCAGTGTCTGAATGCACAGGGTGTAGACACTGAATGTCAGTTACACTGTGCAGCACTGCCCCAGGAAGCACCTCTAGCAGCCATCTGAGGAGTGGCCAGTGGAGGTATCCATAGACTATAACATAAACACTGCCTTTTCACTGAAAACACAGTGTGTGCTGCAAAAAGCCTGAAGAGAATGATTATACTCATCAGAACAAAGAAGAGTAATCTGTAGTTGTTATGGTGACTACAGTGTCCCTTTAACAACATTTCCAAAAATGCTTTTTAAGCAGCTGTTGTTCACCAACATCAGCTGTGCTAATTTTATATATCTCTGATCTGTAACACATTATAGGACTGCCTAGATATCTTATAATTATTACTGGTATTTATAAAGAGCCAAAATATACCTACATTATATACCGTAGGTTTATGATATCCACCACTAAGTCAATAAAATTTAACTTTTTGTTTTGCTTTTGTTCTTTAGGTCCCCAAAGGTGTATGTAAATTTGCACATCCCGGTCTTGCACTGCACACTATTCAGGAGATCGCTAAACTGAGGAATATATCAGTGAAATCTGTTCTGTCAGCTCTACGCAAAAACACCAACCAGCTTTATAGTATATAATTACTTCAAACTCTGACTGGCCTACTTTCTAAGTTGCTGAAACTTTTTTGGAACTAATTAGAAGACACATTAACATATTTCATTTTTTTTTTTTTTTTTTTTCACTGTGTGGTTTGCCTTAAAACAATCTATATTATTGTTGGTTAAATATTACAGCAATATACATGTCACAGTTCTTCTGAACCTTTGAATGTTTTCTTGACCAATTTGCATTTAGATTTTCTCGACTCTCCTAGGACATGCTATGCCTTTAAGCTCTGGTAAGGATAAAGCACTTTAAGGGTAGGTATTTGAACAATTTGCAAACAGTTTGACAACTTACCTTCTGCAGCCAGAAGCTCTTGCCATTTCAGGCAGGGTCTCAGATCAGCGGCTGAGAGCATCAGCTGAGCCTTCTCATCCAGTTAGTGCCTCCTTGCCTTATATGACTTAGCTCAGTGCAGAGTGTTTTAGCTGCAAAGTGGTGTTTGCTGACCCCAGCTAAGTTTTCACACTACATGCAAACTGTTTGACTAAGTACAGTAGGTGGGCACCAGGGTACTCCTGACACCACAACCAGTACAGAGGTTAAAGGAACACTCCAAGCACCATTACCAATACTGCCCAGTGTAGTGGTTATGGTGCTAGAAGTTTTAGAATGGTTTGACTTCTTACCTGGGGCTGTCAATCCCTGCTTCCTAAACTCCATTACATTTAACAGAGAGCCCCTTCTTAGGAGCTTCCATTAGCGCTCCTGAACTAAGTCCTGTAGTGTCTATCTCAGCCAAAGAACTAAGCCATGGACTGTCAGGCTTAGCTCAGACAGAGCGCTTCTGGCTTTTTGTAGGATGTAGTGGTGGTGGGGACCCCAGGTAAGATGTCAGTGTTCTAAGACAGTTTGTCTACTTGAAACGCTGGGCACTTCTATCACCAGTCTGCTGTAGTGGCTTTGGTGCTTGGAGAGTTCTTTTAGTAATGTTTAAAAGTAAGTTTAACAATGTAGCATTGAGACATATACGTACTAGCAGTTGACAATTTAAACATTGTTCTGAACATACAATATATTTTTTATTTTGCTCCGCTCCCAATGATTGAGACTTTTCTTAGAGTTCTGTAAAATTGTAAAACCAGTTATGGTAGTAACCCTTTAAAGCGTGGCATTTTCCTTAAAGGGAACTAAACATTTCTTATTTTAGTGACATAAACTTATGTTTGTATTCTGGATTGCAGTCCCAGACTTTTATTATTTGCTGCTTCATACGAGCACTTTTTAAATTGGAGTTTCTGTCAATTAACATTCAGATTCCGCTTTTCTTTTATACTTGTTATTGCTCACGTTTGGCTAAAATACAGAATTTTGTGAGTGTTTTCATTGACACACAATACTAATACTCCCATAAGTATCTCACAAAGGCACATTCTCTGGCCAAGTACATCAGTCTCCTTATATGAAACACAGAGAGGTGTGCAATCTTTCATTGTGATGGGAACACTTTGACCAGGAAGGAGGACTGGGTTCAATGCTCAGTATACTCTGGGAGTTATAACTAGACGCAGATCCTCATAGGTTTTGGGACATTTGTGTGTGTAGTTTCAAAGGCAGGGTAAGCAAGGGTGCATGTGTTACTTTTTCTTCAGTTCAAGAAGGAAACTGATTTGTTTTACTTTGTGACTTTCGACACTGAATTAGTCTTACTCAATTCCTCTAAAGTCCCTTTGTCAGATGTGAAATGGTGGAATATTGTAGGTAAATATTTTATTAATGAATACCTTAATAATGGATTATGTTATCCAGCATAAGTATGTTTTATTTTTAGAATAATTTTATGTTTTATCTTCAGATTATTATTTTAACTTATACCTCAAATACTACTGACATAGAAGTGAGACGTATTGAATTGATCGCATGCCAATCTGTATGTTCCCTCAATAATGCTTGCAGAATCCTACACTGTGTAGGAAATGTTTGTTTGCCATTTTGTCATTTCTCTTGGGCAGTGCGAGAACGCATGGAAGTCACACAGCTGTTTGCAATTGATAACCTAGATATGAATTCAATTTTGCTCCATTCTTTCCTCTACTAGAGCTTCTTCCTATACCTATTCATATTAAAAATCAGGATTACAGTTCTACTTACTGACGTTGACATCAGATTTAACCAGAAAGGCTGCATTTGTTTCCCCAAAGTATGGTCTGGGATATAGATGTTATTATTGCCCAGCTAAATTAAATCTATAAAGGTTCAGCATAATTAATGACTGAATTGAGCTGCATTTACTGAATTAAAATATTATTAAAATTTTGCTTGTTCAGGGTTGCAACTTTATTAATGTGGTTTACTTCTTGACGGGAAACTAATGCATGATGAGATTTGCACAAGTTCTCGAAATACTGCAAAAATCACTGAGCAGTCTTATCAGTTACATCTCTGGTACTGTTATAGGGAGCCTTAAAGGAAACACTTTTTTGTTGCTTCTAAACATCGGCTTTATTTTAAAAGTACACGATTAGCACAAAAGGAAACACACAAGAGTATCTTCAATCTGGAAACGAACACAGGGAAGAGTGCAAGCATGAGGATTCAGTATTGATGTGCGTTTATTCATTTCTTTCTTCTGTATCTGGGGGAAAACAGATTCACACTTTTATGTATCAAAAGCATTGCTTATTCCTATCATAGAGACCTGCAGTTTAGTTCATGGCAATGTTACAAGTTCCTCTAAACCTAAAGGACCATTCCACACCCATAAATAACTTCAGCTTGCTGAAATGCTTTATGGGTTAGTGAGTAGTATCCTATTTTAACCCCAGTTTATATAAGTGCTGATTACTATGAGAAATTAGCACTTTTATAAATATACTTTGCAACAACACCCTGGCTGCCAATCAAACAGCCAGAGAGGTTTGCTGCCTCCTCCTGTTAGTTATCCTGAGCTAATGGAAGTGAGGCGCCACCTCCCCCTCAGACCAGCTCCTGCCACCTCCCCCACAGACCTGCCATCTCCCCAACAGACCTCAGATCAGCTCCTGCCACCTCCCCCACAGACATGCCATCTCCCCCCAGACCTCAGACCAGCTCCTGGTCTGTGTGTATGTGTCTGTATGTATATGTCTGTATGTATGTGTGTATGTCTGTATTATGGGTGTATGTATGTATGTGTGCCAGTCGGGGGGAGAGAGTAATAGGGAGAGAGGGGGGCCCATGGATCAGTTTCGCACTGGGGCCCCATGGATTGTGTGTATGCCACTGCCCACAGACCTCAGACCAGCTCCTGCCATCTTCCCTCAGACCGGCTCCTGCCACCTCCCCCACAAACCTCAGACCAGCTCCTGCCATCTCCCCCACAGACCTCAGACCAACTCCTGCCACCTCCTTCTCAGACCTGCCATCTCCCCCTCAGACCAGCTCCTGCCACCTCCCCCACAGACCTCAGACCAGCTCCTGCCACCTCCCTTAAAGACCTGCCATCTCCCCCACAGATCTTAGACCAGCTCCTGCCACCTCTCCCACAGACCTCATACCAGCTCTTGCCACCTCCCCCACAGACAGAGGGCATACATATAAGTGTCATTCCAGGGGACCCGGCCACCCTGCGACCAGATATCAGGCGCCATGTTTTGTGCCCCGACCCGCGCGCGAACCACCTGGGCCGCATGTTCAAGGGGCCCATCAAGTGGCCCGTCCTCTTAGGGCCGCCCGATGTGTATGGATAACAAGGGGCCCGGAAATTTTAAGGGGGGGCATTGAATAGTGTTTGCACAACCAGGGCGAATGTCTAAAATATTTCTGCATTGACACACAGGAATTTGACTGAAATTGTAAATTGGAGGCACAAGTGCTGTGAATTACCCTGTGTTTGAACCGGTCACTTTCTTCCCAAATATTTTTGAACTTTAATTTTTTTAATTTTAGTGTAAGGTAAGTTTTCAGTATCTGGGCTGCCTCCTCCATTCCTAGTTTTACCCCTGTGATTCTCCCCTCCTCTCTTGTCAGTGCTTCTGCCCTTATATCCACTCTCACACCTTCATTCTAGCTCTTCCACTCTCCACTTTTGATTCATTCACTCCTGTTCTCCATGATTTATTCTCTCTGTCCTTCCTAGCCCAGCTCTGCATATCCTATTTCCCAGCATAGGAGGATCTCTTACCTTGAGAAGTGCTGAGAGATAGAACCTCAAAGAGTATCTCCTGGATAGCCGCTTTCTGCTGTTGGAATTGCTCTTCAGTCATTTTCAAGTTGATATCCAGAGGAAATTTAAACTAAAAAATTAAAAACAAAAGTGCTTAAGTTTGATGCCATGTTTTAATTTACTGTTTGAGGGGTGCACATTGCCCCAGTCATCATTGTATTATTAGAGATACAAACCCCAATTTCCATCTGGTTCTCAATGAGCTGATCCAGGGGGCTATCCCATGTGTCCCCAACTTCCCTGCGATGTATATTGCTGTGAACCATCTTTTTAGGTGGCCTCTTGCCCTGAAACAAATGATGAAAAGTATCAGTAAGCTGTTTTAAAGGGAACCTACAGTCACAGCATTAACAATTGTTTTTTTGGGGACTTTTGTAAGTTCCCTTCAGTCCAGCCCCCTTTTGTTAAAGTCAAATGCTGCACTTCTTTAATCAATTGCTGCTATCAGCAAGGACTAATTTTCTGGAAGAGGAACCACCTTGAGTGGCTGTCCGGCTGTTCTACAAAACTGCAGTGTTTCATAATAAAGAGTTACGATGACCGGGCCACTGCACCCAGACCATGTCATTGAGAGTGGTGTGGATGACCTTAGTTGTCCTTTAATATTCTCTGTAAACCTCAACATATATTTGATCGCTCACTATCTAGATATAAAATGGAATACTGTGTATATCCAATTCATGGGTTTGAGTCTTACATTTGCTATAAAGGGGAAAAATGTAAAAAATATTTTTTTTAATTTAAAACATTAATGTTTATTACAAAAACAACAAAACAATAGCCATTTACATTTATATTGTAAATGGACAAAAATCCCACAGGCTAAATAAAGAAATCCCACAGGCTAAATAAAGACATTAAAATCCACTACCTTGACCTGACAGACTGACAAAATATAGTAATATAGTATAGCAGGTTTGCATGCTATTTACTGATATTATTAATCAGTTAGGGAAATAATTATTCCCCCCTCTTCCCCTCTCTCAAACACAATTGGACCAGAGGTGGCTGTACTTTTTCTTTCTTCTCGACCCACCACTTTTCCACTTTTCCACTTGACCCCACCTTATCAGATCTCTCTCATCCACAATGCATATCTTCAACTGCTATCTTTCTCCTGGCATTGTCCCTCCTCTCACTAAACATGCTACTGCTGTACCCATCCTAAAAAACACATCTCTTCACACATCTACCCCTTCTAACATACCATTTCTCTACTCCATTTCTGCTCCAAGCTTCTAGGACAACTTGTCTTTACACATCGAACACGCTTTCTCAACTAGAACTCTCACCTCAACCCTCGTCAGTCTGGCTTCTGCCCCCCCCCCCATACCCCCCTTCTACTGAGACTGCTCTCAAATTAGTAACCCTTCTAATTGTGGCTAAATCCAAAGGTCACTCCTCTATACTAATTCTTCTGGACCTCTCTGCTGCCTTTGACACTGTTGTTCATATTCTCTTTCTTCAAACTCTTCAGTTCCTCTGTGACACTGTCCTATAGTGGTTCTCATCCTATCTCTCCCAACGTTCATTCAGTGTCTCCTTTTCTAATGGCACCTCCTCCCCTCATCTTGTCTATGTTGGAGTACTCGAAGGCTCTGTTCTCGGATATCTTTTGTTTTCTTTCTATACTGCCTCTCTTGGCGGACATATTAATTCCTTTGGAGTCCGCAACCACATGTATGCCAATAACACCCAGAAATATCTCTCCTCCAATGATCTCTCCCTTGTCATCACCGGTCGCCTCTCTTACATCTCGGATTGGATTTCCTCCCACTTTCACTTAATTTCTGTAAAACTAAGCTTCTAATCTTTCCTCCTCATAATACTATTCTTCCTCCTTTCGCTCTCCATACAAGTTGATGGCACTTGCATCAACCTGTCAATGCAAGCATGCTTTCTTGGTTCTGACCTCACCTTTATGCCTCACATACAATCTGTTGCCATTTCCAACTTAACAACATTGCCCTCATTTGCCCCTTTCTTATGCAAGATTCTGCTAAGGAGCTTATTAATGCTCTGGTAAATAATTTTTCCTTATCGATCTCCCTAGAGTCCGTAATGGATGCCGATGCCGAGGCTGATTTTTCTCTCCTGTTGCTCCACTTCCTCCTTCCTCCTCTTCTTTCAAACCTTACATTGGCTTCTAGTGCCTTATAATAGTTTAAAATACTAACCCTTACTTATAAAGTTCTAAACAACTATAGCCCCCCCACTACGTCTTCACTAATTCATAGGTATGCCTGTTCTCTGTCACTCTGCTCTGCCAGTGACATTTTCCTGTCTGCTGCTTGCAGGACTTTTCGCGGAAATGCGTGTGGCTTTTTTCCTTTGGAACAGCCTGCCTACTCCCATCAGACTGTCCCCTAGTCTATAATCATTTAAGGAGTCCATTAAAACCAATCTGTTCAGAAAAGCTTATGACCTCCCAGAGTAACTTTTATTTCACAAACCTGTCTCTCTCTCTCTTAAAGGGCCACACTCAACTCTTACTTCCAGTTCTGATACATTCCAGCCTTGTCGCTTGGTTGTTATCCCCCATGCTGCCCTTCTACCCCACCTCTTCTAGATTGTAAGCTCTTTCAAGCAAGATCATCAACCTATTGTTCCTGTAACATTTTGTAATTGTCTCATTCATTGTTAACTTTCCCACTTCTAATATTGTAAAGCGCTGCAGAATTGTTGCTGCTATATCATTGCCAATAATAATAGTAATAATAATAATATAGTAACAATTTAATAAAACACTCTTAAAATCAGGAGGAGATGATGCTCCTCCTAGTAAATTATCCTATTATGAAGCGTGACAACTCCAGTGTAAATCATAGATTTATGACTGTAACGTGATTACTAAGTTTAATCTGATTGGCTAACATTTTGTTTTGAACTGTTTTATTTGTTTGTGGCTCGATGACAAGTAAAACAGGTACATCACGATAACCCAACAATACTGTGTATGTTTGCAAATCGTGACTTGTATATCTTAAACAAAGTTTTCCTTTTTTTTTTTTAAATCATGAAAATTAAATAAAGTTAGACAAAATAGACACTCTGCATACTCAAAGTAAAATGCTGGACATCCCAGTAGAGTGCTTAAAGGGACATTCTTTGCTTTTGATTCATACACTTTGTTCTTTTTCTCTCACAATGTAAACATCGCAGTTTCTGTAAAACAGCTACATATAGATTTGATCGAGACCTATAACCTATAACATGTGTTAAGCTTTATTTTTATTTATTTTTTTACATTTTTTAAAAAAAACATTTAACATAATTGTACATACAACACAAATTATATATGATTCGTACTGGAATCATACATCACAAAAGACATACCATATTCACAGATATAAATTGCATTACAATTGTATCCATTATACCAATTTAGTAATATCTAGGCTTAATAATTAGGGCTTTTCTAATCATCTTTTTTTTTTTTTTTTATAATTTCTTGATGTTTTACTCTCTCATCTCTCTCTTTCCTTCTTTTCTCTCCTTTACCTTTAATTTATTTCTTGTAAGACCTTTATGGAGCTACAATGGTTATCTTATTGCTCATTTATTTAATTTTTTTACCATATCTGTGACTATACCCATTCATACCAACAATTTAATTTGGGTTAGATCTTAAGATCTTGCATATAACTTTTTCTTATTTCCTTTCTTTCTCTTTTACCTTCTGTTTCTCCCACGTGTTAAGCTTTATATCATGAGATGCTCCATGCACGAACATTTAATAAATGAGATCATAATTCAGTTTACACAAGGCACAGCCAGGGCAATTATTGACAGATGAACAAATAGAAACATTGCTAAATTCTCCTTTTGCTTTCTCTATGCTGGCAACCAGGTGCCAAAGACAGAGCTAATAACAATGATTGACAGGGAGCTAAAATGGAGACGCACAGTTGCAGGAAAAAGGTGTGGATTTCCATATTTAATTTTATTAAATATTTTTTATTTTATTATTCACACCTCACAAGTACATATGTTTAATATAGATAAAAGTAAATATAATATTACAAATTTTTGCAAAGTGACAGTTCACCTTTAAGACTTTTGATTATTGAAGATCTCACTGTATGTGGATCGACTGCTGTGAGACTGTCTGTGTGCTTAATTTTTTAACTTCCTTTTTTCCCCAAACCTACTCAGGTACATGCTCTATATTTTGTTTTTAACATTTATAGATTTTTTGGGGGGGACATTTTAAGGTCTAAGTCCCATAATATTTATGATAGATTCACATTTACCATATGTACTTTAAAGCTCTACATAAAGTTGGGGAAATAAATGGAAATGTGCAGCAAAATGTGGGTCTGACAAACCATTTTCCTGAGCAAGTAGTTATTGAAAAGGCCTGAACTTTAATACAGACATGGTTGGCTGCATGGGACAATGGGCTTTTATCCAGTGTGTCTATCTATTCCCTTTACATAAAAATCCAAGTAATGAAATTGAAATTTTACCGAGTTTTTCTGCATATCGGCCGGACTCAGAAAGCTTGATCCAGCCTGAGTTTCCTCAATCCACAGAAGGCAGAATAGGACAATCCCATAAACGGTGGCACGTGCCAGCATCATTGCGCAATCTGTTCTGTTATAGTAATATGAAAACGGCAAGATCAAAACATTTGAAATTATTTATCATATATGGTAAACATTTTCATTAAAAAAACGATTTACAAAATACAGTTTTTATGTTTTATCAATAACCTGGTGTCCAATATATTTATTTTAATTTAAAAAAACAAAAACTAGCCCAGCATATCTGAAAAGTGCCAATTGAGACATGGGAAAAAAAGAGAACGTTTTGGCGCTAAATTAGTATTCCCATTGACACTCCTATAGTAGCTAATTTAGAAATCTTGTTTTTCCCATATTATAGCCAAAATCTTGTTTTTCCCATATTATAGCCATGTGTTCATTTCTCAACTAGTTAAAAGCATAGGAGATAAGACTTATAAATGTAACTTACTTGAAAGATCCGAATGAATATAATGAATCTTCCCGCAATCTTTGCCATATTTATAGGAGATCACAATAATGCTCCACGTAAAATGTTTATTTTTAAGTTGCATTGTAAATGTATTTCACATTTTTGAATCTCCCAAGGAACTCAAGCCAGTGGAAAAAGCATGACATTCTACAGCAAAAGTATCTCCCACAGGCCTTTGTTCCCTACTTGCAACGTTGGAATGGCATTTCTGATTCCAAACACAAGATGTGGTTACTTTCCGATGGTGTTAGCCTACTTTTTAGTTAATGCTTTATTCAATCATTTCTGGTTTTGGTGATAAGAGGTAAAAGCCTGGAAGTCATTGAGCAATGTATTCATAGAGTTTACCTGCACACAGAGAGATTAGATTTGTAGATTAGGCTGTAAAAAGGTACGTCTGAGATGGTACAAGATATTACATTGCTAATATTATTTGTTTAGCAACGTTTAAACAATAGCAAAAAAAAAAGAAAGTCGGAAAATTACAAATATCTAAGAAAACTGTGTGCAGTTTGCACATTTTCAGAATTCACCTTTCAAATGGCACCATTATATTTACTAGAATGACTTTTGATCTTACCATCTGTATAATGGAATAACTGGGGTTTGGATTATTTTTAGTGTACCTCCTAAACTCAATTTTCACATTGGTTCAGGGACACATTAGATGCACTGGATTGAAATGAAAACTGAAATAAAACTGTTCCTTATCTAACAAAGGAATTAAAAACAATTAAAGGAGCCCCTAACTGCATGACATGGACTCAGCTATTAGTCAGGTCACTGGGTGTCGGTCCACATGAACCCAAGGGGTAAAAGGGACGATATGCAAAGGGTCTCAGACGTGGGAACCAGATTGGATGCTTGAGACCTTGTCGGGGACCGGCAAACCCAAAGTTTCCAAGATGGCAGCAGATTCAGCAGGAGAGGTGAGCCTGTGTGTTGAGCCGTTGTGGGTCACCACCATGACCTGGGAGCCATCCACCTGTAAATCACTCCAGCCGACCTTAGTTGGCGTGTGATCAGAGCGAGGGATCTGCCCCATTGAAGTGTGAATTGAGTGAGTGGCCTCGTACCAGTCCACAATTTAGGGATTACCCAGTTGTGGGCAAGGTGTTTTTTTTTTTTATTCTTTATTTTTTTTTGTGCAAAGAAATGATACAGTTGAGTGCAACACCACAACAGTTGTTGCTCGCATGGATATCAATCAGGAAGTACAGTAGTGGCATCACGGAACATTGCACATTTTTATAAATAACATTAGGTATAACAGTAGTGGGAAGCAATTATTGTGCCCCGTGTGGATATGAGTAAAGTACCCCCTACTATTGTTCTAGAGCAGGGATAGGCAACCTTCGGCACTCCAGATGTAATGGACTACATTCCCCATAATACTCTTAGAGGACCACTATAGGCACCCAGACCACTTCAGCTTAATGAGGTGGTCTGAGTGCCTGGTCCATCTAGGGTTAACCCTTTTTTCTATAAACATAGCAGTTTCAGAGAAACTGCTATGTTTATGTTAGGGTTAATCCAGCCTCTAGTGGCTGTCTCATTGACAGTCGCTAGAGGGCTTCCGCGTTTCTCACTGTGAAAATCACAGTGAGAAGATGCCAGCGTCCATAGGAAAGCATTGAGAATGCTTTCCTATGGACTGGCTGAATGCGCGCGGCTCCTGCCGCGCATGTGCATTCAGCTGAAGAGGAGGAGAGCTCCCCGTCCGGCGCTGGAGAAAGAGGGAAGTTTAAAACCCTTCCTCTCAGTGTTTTCCTGGCACTATAGTGGTCCTTTAACACCCATAATGCTGGCAAAGCATCATGGGAGGTGTAGTCCAAAACATCTGGAGTGCCGAAGGTTGCCTATGCCTGTTCTAGAGTATAGAACTCTTGACTGGGATTATCTAATTGCTGGGTGGGAGTATCTTATTCCTGGTTTGGTTTGTCTAATTGCTGGTAGTATAGAACTGTTTAGGGCAGGGCTGCCCAACAGGTAGATCCCCAGATGTTGTAGTTCCACAACATCTGGGGATCTACCTGTTGGGCAGCCCTGGTTTAGGGGTATCTTATTCCTGGGTAGGAGTAGAGAACCGCTGGTTGCGATAATCTAATTGCGGAGTGAGAAATTATATCAGAGTTTGTGGATGGAGGTAAAAATATTTTTCTCCTACAGAGTAGCTTGCCACTTTATCTACAGAATGAGTGGCTGCTTCTCAAAAACTGTGTGCAACAAATTTTTAAGCAAAATCAGTTCTGAACCAATAACAACCAAATCTAAATAGCATATTTATTGCAATCCATGACAAACATGTTTAACATTGAAAAATTAATCACTAAATGAGCTTCTACGTGATGAGAACTGCTCTTTGGCCATAAACCCTCGCTGTACAGGAATTTATAGGATTACGGTGGACCTCAGATGAGAACCTCCTGATAGGTAAAATAATAGTCTGCCCATAGCTGCACCTTGCACTGAATCTTCAGGATATTTTATTTATTGTTTTAATGCATAAAAAATAGTTGGTCGGGGGCGGGACCTGACCGCCAAGCAGACTGGCCGCACTAAACTAGAGCTCAGAGTAGTAACCTGCAAAAAAGAGCCTAATAACTGATAAAACTAGACGAACCTGCTAATTGGAAGCATAAGAGAATTGGTGTTACCCCCGAACCTCCTCTGGGCGGACTACAGTGCTCGGAAAATGAGCCGGAGTGGAAACAGAGTAGCTGCCTACCTGCGGCTGCAAGCGTGGGAGAGACGGCCGACCTCCCTGCGAGCTGACAAGCGGGATGTCACTGAAGAGCCTGGGACCCCGTTTCCCCCCCTGGCCGGTGAGGGATATCCCGGCACAATCGACAGACCAACAGTCTTTACCATACAACGACAAGCGACATTAGGGAACTCACTCGACCCAGTCTCTGCCAAGATGGCGACCACCAGGCTGCCTACTTACGGCCTGATGGAAACCAACGAACAGCGGCTGGACGAGGACCTCTTGATACAGAGGCTTGAACCTCAAACAGCAGAGCCGGACCTCCTGGGATCGCTGGACAACACAATCAGCAGACTGGACCAAGCATTCCAGCGATTCTGGAGACGGCTAGAAGCCCGGATGTCGGCACCGCAGGCCTGGCATCTAGGGAGAAAGAGTGGTGATGGAGGCCGCAGAATGCCTGAGCCTCCTCAGAGCAAGGCGACCCCTCAAGCAGCGGTGAGACCAGATCATACACTGCCACAAGGGAAGCTCACAAAGACGAAAAAGGTGAGACCACAAAAACGGATAAGCAACAGCCATCTGAAGTTACAGCAGTGTGCACGACCCCTAAAGGCCTACATGCCTACAAAACCGCTCTGGAATCCCGGCGGCAGACACGCAGCTCAGCGACCAGGGCTGACTCACATCAAGCGACAAGGCTCACACCGCCGCCAGCGGGAAAAACTAGAGCGTGGTTATCCCAGGCAGAATAGCAACCATAGAGCAGACGGGGAACGCCAAGGCTGGACGGCAATCCACACAGAAGGGCTGAACACCCCCCCCCCACCCATCGTCAGATGCACCTTCACACAGGGACTTGCCTCTTTGGGACAGCCACCTTGCTCCTCAAGAAGGGACTTAGACTCGAGCTGCCACATGCACTGGGACTGTATCCAGCACAGCAAGATGCAACACTTATCACCTGAAGCCCACCTGCACTCGATTAACCGTAATAGAATAACGCCAATATGTTTCATCTTCAGCCTAGCACACACCTAATGTTTAACGGGAGACCTGCCTCCACAACACAGGGTTAATTAATGAAGCAATTGATAATCTCCCTTGCCTTAGCATATTGTTTAGCAAATGGCAGCGCAGCCAGTAAGCACACACACTCAGCCTGTTAATACTACACTTCAATGCAGAGCTTAACCTAACCATATGTGACTCACCCATGTATAAAAGCTAGACCTAGTCTGTATCAATTAATTCATATGTTATTTTATGGTACAGCTAGTTAACTCGTGACACTAGCGAGGATATATTCAGTTATGACTGCTATGATAAGCTACCTTTTCATTTTTATTTTAATGACTTCACTGTTTAGCCAAGCTGATGTTTGTTATAATTATACAAAAATGTGCAATTCCTCTTGCCACTGTTCAACTTAACCCCTTAAGGACACATGACATGTGTGACATGTCATGATTCCCTTTTATTCCAAAAGTTTGGTCCTTAAAGGGTTAAGCACATTCTCAGACACGCTGTTGTGGCGTATGACATTGCTATGTATAACATGCACAACAAAAATAAAGAATTTAAAAAAAAAAAAATAGTTGGTCAGTTTTAGTTAATAGATCCCTTCAGCTAAATTTTTTTTTTTTTAAATCAATAAAAGTACCAGCAGGTTACATCAGTCTGTTTGGCAAAGTATAGATCACATATTTTAGATGATTTTTTTTTTCTATGTATTTATATTTTGTAATCAATATCTATTGCATATATAGATTATTTTACAACAAACAAATGTCATATTTAGTGTTCACTGGCTATTACATTTTGTCATTGCTCTAAATCTATTCAATTATTTTCAGAATGTTTCACATTTCCTTTATTTAGACAAGAATAGATTTGATCAGACACTTTGTGTGAAAGTAGATGTGTTTATTAATATTATTTACTGCAAGGCATGACTAAAAGAACTGAACACAGCAGCTGTAATAATTCAAAATTTATTCCAATGTATTTTTTTCAATAATTACACAAAAGAGCACACAAGCAAATAAAAAGGCCCATAAACTGATTCTTCTTTTTAATAAAAATGAATTATCTGCTTTATGCCTTTCTTTCTGATCTTATAAATCATGTAAATCAAGGACACAAAAAACCCTTTCAACTAAGGATAGAAAGGTATTAGGGATAAAACATTCTCACAGGAACGTCTTTCCTGAATGTACAATGTTTCTGAGGCAAAGCAACTGCTTTTCAATTTATAACAAATGCCTTGTTTGTTTTTTCATATGTATAAATAATTAACCTAATTTTCCTGGTAGTTCCTTAACCCTCTTACTGGCAAAGGATGATTAGAGCACACTGCAAAGAAATTAAGAGAGAAAGACCCTGCAATGATGTAACATTCAGCAACTCTGCCAACGGCGCAACACGGAGCAATGTGCTGGAGGGGGAGGAAGTGTGCAAATCCTCCTGTGAGAGTCACCCTCTCAATGCCGCTGGAATAGAACTAGAACAGGAATTGGAGAATAGGATGTCCTGCAACATTGCAGAACTGTTACTGTTCGTTTTGCTGTCCTTCTGTTACAGTAGACACTGCTCCCTGCCCCTTGTTGACATCACTGATACAAGCCCACTGCCCATCCACGGATTCCTTCCACAAGGTCACCTGTACCACAAAGAGGGGAAGCATGTTAAAATGGCTGAGAGTTCAACATTAACAAAACCATAAATGTCAGAATAAAAATAAAACCCAAGAACAGGACTTTCAATACATTATAAAAAAAAGAAAAGATGTCTGTAGCTGAGAAGTCAAATATTACAAGTTGTAAAACCTGCAGGGGACTAAAAATACTATCAAACACTAAAAAGAGCTAGCAGAGATTTATGGGTATTGCAATATGGCAAACGCAAGCTGGTAATACAGAATTATTTTGTAACCAGAATAGAAATCTTTGTTCATACTGGGATAGTAACCATACACAATGCAATCCATCCCGCCAGCTCTCTAAGCACATACCTTGTTATCCCCACCAGACACAGCCAAGATGTTTGCAGTGATGGACCAGCTTACATGCCAAACTACATCATTGAATTTATGCAGCAGCTTTGGTGTCCAGCAGCTGGTGGTCGGATCATCGCATGTCCATATGTAAACTCTGCCATCCTGAAAGGAGAATGATGCATCATCTTAGGGGGGGTGAAAACCTTTATAAATCACTGCATGGTTAACCTCCCAAAAATCAATCCATCCTTACCTGAGAACAACTTGCTATAGTGCTGGTAGGAAGACCAATAGAAGGAGCCCATGCTACATCCCGTACCCAGTCACTGTGAGCCTCCAGCTTTTGATCTTCTTTCCACTGACCATCCTCTTCCCTAAGAGAAATGAGAAGGACTCTTCAATATTTGCAAGTTTATAGCATTATGAATCTTCAATTATTTATCTGCTTATTTCACAAATCTGCTTTTAATGAGAAAGTATAAAAGCAATATATCTATATTTGTCAAACTTATTGCAGTGACGTGCATGGGAGATGCTGTAATAAGAGAAAATTAATTATATCTCGTCCATATTCATGTCTCTCAGAGATTCCCCATCTCTGCTTTGCACTTTTTAAAATTAGTTTAATCTCTGCCAAACTAATACGGATAATTCTACTATAGCCTAACTGGATTATAAAAAACAATAATGTGTAATAATACAACGTAAAGGTGTTGTTAAAAGTGATGAATACAGGGACCAGACAGTCGAGCTTGCCAGACGTGCTTTGCTAGAGCTCTGGGCCATGAGGCAAATACTGGCAATAAAACTACAAACTCATCCAACCAAAATTCAGAGGTTACCCACAGCATCTGCCAAAAGCTCATAGTCTGGAAGGATGAACTCAGTGGGGCACTAGCAGCCTACACCAAGCTACACGAGGGTGGGAGACACGGCTGATCTCTCCATTAGCATCTAACCAGTAACGCAACGAAACAGCAGAGACCCCGTTCCCCCCCGCCTGAGATGGACATCCCTGCACAACAGAGTTAATTGGTGTGAAAAGTTTAAGCGAAGACAATGCTGTGTGCTTAGGCCTCACTAAGATGGCAGATGCCACATGCTCCTCCGCTAATGGAGACCTGCCACACACCACCCAGCAATGACTCGACAAGCTGTTTGAAGCCTTCTGGCACCGATTCAACGGGCGATGACAGAAGTCCGCACATAACAGAGTGGCACAGCAACTCCCTGACCGACCTTCGACTACCCACCAGCACCCTGTCAAAGCCACACCACGGACAATCACCATGTCTTTGCAAGCTCGATCGAGCGCTCCGCATACCCAGAACAGGGGAACTCGCAAGGGGGCGCCTAACCAGAGAAGGCTCTTGAAGAAACAAAGCGGCCGGTTCGGAGCCAGTCTCACACTACCTGCAGCAAAGGTGCCGGACACTACACTCACCAGCCGTCTGGTGCCCTTCTACAGAAGACACTGCTGAACGTGCCGGTGAACCGCCACCAATGTCTATCTAAGGGTGACAACCCCTCCATAAGAAAGCTTCTGACACAAGGCCAGACTTCCAACTGGTGGGACGAAGCTGACCCCATGCAGGGAATAGGCTAGGCAGAGGGCAATCAATGGGCTTCTTTACCCAGTATCCTGTATCAGCAGAATCCATATCAAGAGACAGTCCACCTCAGCCTTATATCTCCCTCGACCCACCATATGTATCCTATTGGAATGCCTTGCATTCTTAGCGCATTAAGTAGAATCTATGCCATAGTACTACTACGCTAATTTTCTGCAGTTAATTGATTAGCTTATGCAACCTATTTAGACATACCAGCAAGCTAAGCTTTAACCTGTATTTCCATAACGCTGTGCTTTAAGCATGCTTTACACCATATGCTATCAACTTTATGACTTCTCAGCTCCGTTCTATAACTCATGTTATCCACTAGTTCTTTCACCTGCTAGAACAGTGCTCCTGTTTTTCATTTCCTACTTGCTTATAAAAAAAAAGTGCAGTGTTGGGGGGCGGAGCCTGGCACTCAGGCTGAGCGGCTGTGCTACACTTCAGCTCCTGCTACTTATTGAACTTCGAGGGGGTATACCCCAAAAACCACGACACAGTCGCAAACCAGCAACGAGAAATCATGTCGGGGATACCCGGGAGAATAGACCGACACCAAATTCAAGATTATACCACACCGGGAACACGAAAGGGAACCCTGAGGCCTACCGGAGATCGAGCACCGGGGAGACGGCCGCTTCCCGCGCTGACTGACCTGGTCGGGTATACCTCAGGGGCACCACCTCCTACCCCCCTCCCCCCCTGGACCGATGGGGGTCATCTTGGTCCACAACAAGCGAATGGAGAGGTGGCTACAGGCTGAGCCTACAACATGGGGCAACACAGCAACAGGACAGGCGAACACGAGGCGCAATTAAAATGGCGACAGTTAGCGCACCAGGCGAGATATCTGAACGCCACACAGTCATGCCAGACTATGAAGCCAAACTCACCGCTCTCTTCGACGCCTTCTGGGCACAGCTGGAGCACCGGGCAAGGCTGAATAACCAGAGCACATGCCAGAGCAAAGAACAATTTAAGCAACACAACCGCCAACGCATTATTCCTAAACGGCTCAGGGCCCCAAGATGGCGCCGCAGGAGGAGAGATCCTCTGCCTGCAGGTAAACTCATGGGAGGAAAACCACCACCGGAGCACAGCCACAGAGTGCTGGGGACCCCTC